GCTCACGCCTCGCGCCATCGCGCCTTCAATTTTGTAACTGCAACACGGACATCCATTAAGCACGAATAGTTGTATCTCTGCGCCGTCATCAACGCGTATCCTTTCCCTTGCTCTATTTCTATATTTTGTGTGTTTCCGTTTGTCTTATTTGCAGTGTTGCTATGAGGGCTGCGCGACCAACACAGCCGAAAATAGGAAACACGTAATCAGGTCTCATTTTTTAACTTTTCTTCTGAATGGAAGCGACACATCATTGACAGCGTGGAGCGGAGCAAGGCTTGTTCGTAAGAAAGCAAGAGTCCAATACTCATTCTTCTTCTTTTTCAATTTAAGGATTTAAGGAACGTAAGGATGTATGATTCTGAGCGGCAGCAAGACTATGGCGCATTTTTAAAGGACAAGAGTGATTATATTTTTTGCTTTTGAGGGAGACGAAAAATCGCGGTGGGTAATTTTCAATCAGATATACCGCAACAACTCCCACGAAGGCATAAAGGAAATTCGTCAACACTTGGAGCCAATCCACGGATTTACTTTCTATCCATTTTATTTACAAAGAAAAGAAAACTTGTAAAACCGAGTTATTTTTTAAGTTCAAATTTTTTGTAGAAAAATAGGTACCAAGTTTGAGATTTTAAGACTTTGACAGTATTATGCCTTTTTACATGAAAGTTCCCTACAAAAAAGTCAAAAATTCTTTCAAACCAGAAGAAAATTTTGAACCTCAACATTAAGAGGAGAAAATGAGTGTATATCGTATACCCTCTGTTAGAAGAACCATTTTATTTTTTGCTTGAAGCGTTTTTATTTTTAAAAGTATCTTCAGTTCGAACAATTAATCTATATTTTCATGATTAATCTTCAAATTGCTACAAATTTCTGACGCATATTCATTATTCAGAACAAGTTTTGGAGTGAAAATCAATGAAAAAAAAAATCTCAACACTAATGATAAAAGTTCAAGTGTCATTGAAAGAACCTGGGAGACGATGTATTATTAAAAAACCAACACTTGAACCACACGACAGGCATCTACTTTGAGTGATGACTTGTTTTTTTCACCCGTCGACTATTTACTCCTTCCCTCTTAGAATCGATCATGCCTCTCAGCTCGCATCATTTAGAGGTATATCTTTCACCGCTACCCGCTTCGTGGGCCGGGATTCTTCCAGTCTATAAATGATGGTAATTAGCGGGTAAAAAAGCGTTTGATGATAGGTACAAAAATATACGAACGATGGTTATACATAGAAAAGAGAGGAAAATTGCGGGGGCCAGTAAAACATGAAATAAATGACTCGTTAAATAAAACTCGGATAGAGGTAATTACAGTTCAGCGCATTACATCACTGCCGTGAATCGTGGGTTCGCGACACCCCGCGGAAAAGCTTATCGGGTGATTCGTATTTTTAATAACCGGATTTAAATTCGGGAGGAATCTCATCAAAAACCACGGAATCTCATCAGTAACCACGGAGAGCGATGTTCGGATAAGATGTGTGACCCTAAGTCAGTTGGGCTGGTCGCAGCATTGTGTTTTGTGCCTTCATCAGTTTTGTGACAGTAAAATTTAGCGCCGTTCTTGTTCAGTCCGACCAAATGACGGAAGGCAAAAAAAAATGGACTTTTTGTCTATGAAGCACCTTTGCAGTAGACCACGAGACCCTGAGACCCTCAGAACATGAAAACCAAAATGGCTCGAACTATAGTGTGCACCACCACGGTGGTCCACGTCATGTGCCGTGTTTTTCGATTGGTGATATCCTTGATGATGGGCGTGGAAAATTGGTGTTTGGACAGATGTTATTAAGTTTTACTGATCTATAAACTGAAATCATTGAAACACGATTCTGTGACAAGCGCACCTGAAACTGGTCCAGTATTGAACGGTGGTTAAACTCGAAACTGCATACCGCAATTTGTTTGTTGTGCACTGAAACGGGAAAGATACTCGCACAGCCAACTGTCTGAGTACCGCAAGCTGCAATGAATTGCAGTTTCATGGTGTAATTATCGCTATTGTATCGAAGTGTTGCGTATGTTACCTACACAGAAAAAAAAGTTACGGGCTATATAGACATACCATCCGTTCCGGATTCAGAGGCCAAAAGTTCCGGGTGCTGGAGCCGTGCCTTCGACGTTTTTTGCGTTTTGAGGAAAAAGCCCAGAAGTTTCACTCATGCGCTTTGAACATGGGAAGAACCCTGTGAAACATCCCGTAGAGACAAGGCGAAAGCTCATAAACTGGAATAGACCGGGGAACGGGGGATACGGCAAGGAACAAATGGAATGATGTGGGAATGAAAGAGGGAACGGAGATAGGATTTCGGGAATGGGTTGATCAAAGACGACAAAAAGAGTCCGATTCGTGTAATCTTCATTCCCGTTTCCGACATCCAAAGGCCGCGTTGGCTCAACTCTCTCTATAAAGAGACTCTTCCTCGGAATAAGACCCATTTCACTCCTCGACTTTCAACAGTATAGCGCGATCTCTGGAATACATCGTTTCTGGGGCTCGGATCCGGAGGGCGGTATGGCACGACGCGCCCTGTGAGCGGCACAGTAACGGAGTCGAATCCGAGAATCTGAGGCTGACTGCGTTTATTTTCAGTGGCAGGTAGCGCGGATGGATGGACCGGACCGACCGAGCGGAATTTATCCAGCTTGCTTATAAATCATCCGCAAAATCACACTCGTCGGCATGATGTCGCGCTTCTGACTTCGCTTCTCGGCCGCGAGTGTGCGGTTCGCGTCGCGACGCTCGCGACGCCGCCGCGCGCGCGATCCATTACATTCGAAATAATTCACGACTTCTGACTCCGGCTCAACGTTGCCGATCTTCTCTGGCGTCTATGCATTTAAGGCGTGGCTTCCTTTGCGATATATCGATTGATCTGCCATTTAAACATGTGGAAAAGGATAGATTGTTAGGGTGTTCGCAACGAACACCTTAATAATCGATTCTATACCATAGGTTCAAATGGGGAAATCTCGATATACATCGAAGCACGCCCCGCCACTGCTATACATGTACAGGGTGTCCTAGCGTAGGCGCATCCAAGAGCGTAGGCGGCGTCGTCCCCCCCCTTCTCCTGTCCGACCGAAAAAAGAGGGAAAATAGGGAAGAAAGTAGGCCGATACCAGTAGTAATAATTTAAGGAACGGAGGGAGGAAGAAGGAAAGGCGCTCATATTTGTTTATTATTCATGACAAAATTTACTCATACTGCATATTCAATGCTTTAAAATGTCAAACATTTTCGGAAGGAACTCCCTGGACCGCCCGACAGTGGAGCAAGTCAATTAGGGAGGTCGGGCGTGAAATTTTTGACTAAATCTGCAAATTTGTATGTTTATTTCGTCACTTTTGAAATTTTAAGGGGTGGTTTGAGAAGAAAATTTTACGAGGAATCCAATGGAATCGGATGAACCAGAGGAACCATTTGGACGTATTTCTGCCAAACGGAACTATGTGCAATAGGACGTGAGCCCTGTTATGCATATATTCTCATGGGTCTCAGGGCTCATGTCTTAATGCACATAGTTCGGTTTGGCAGAAATACGTCCATTTATCAGATGACCTCTGGATCGATTGGAGATTAGGTGTCGCAGCGACTTAAATGTATGTGCCAATGAAACCACTTTTAGAACCTCAAAATTTTATATAAACAGAGTTATAAGCATTTAATTTTTTTTTTTTTTTTTTTTTTTTTTTTTTTTTTTTTTTTTTATAACGTGGTTTTCTTTACTTTTCGGTCAACGAGAACTCAAAACTGAGACTGTCTGATTGAAACAGAGATGAAGATGGCGGATCTACGAATCTAAACCCGCCCGACTCCTTCTCCACCCTCCCCTGTCCTTGCGTTCATCCCTATTCATTCGGATCCCTTCATAAGCCGCAGTAGAGAAGTTTTCCAACTTTGTCAATTATAGCAAGAATTCCCGAAAACGCTAACTTGTTCTTCGGGAGAATTTAAGTTACTTTTGCTCGGGTTGACAATGAACTTTCTGGCCCAGTTTGGCAAATTTTAAAGGAACTTAAAAACACACAATTATCTGAAAATTTCAAAAATCAGAGATTCGGGTACGCATGCTCATATTGAGCCTTATGAATAATTGAAAAAGCTGTACTAAAGGTCTATTGGCTCGTTCGAACAGAGCAGAGAAGAAACGATGTCTCCTCAGCTGTCAGACGCGGGCACGTTCATTGTAACCGCCTGGATGCATCTATTCGTGCTCCAAGGGTGTCTGTGTTGCATACACGAAAAATTGAAGGCGCTTTGACTTTCTAAACGCCGACGCCTGAAACCCTGTGTTCTAGGGATTCCTGGTTTGCATATGGGAACAATTGAAGGCGTTTCAATTTCTACTGTCCTGGAGTACAAGAAACAGCCGCGCCGGCTGCTGTTACAATGTAAGTCATGGGCCAGATTGTATTGCTCCGATTCGAGGGAAAATATTGAGCGCACTGCCCTGAAATCATTACTGGGCCCGAATTGTATCGGCACTTTAACATAGACTTGCAACATCCGTCGATGAAGCCAAACCGCACCACCAGCCAACCAGAGGCACTGGCACGGACTTACGGAAAAACGGAATTACGTGGTTTCGAATTTTGGCCGTCGATATATAATTTTCAATTTATTTTATCTCATTCAGGTACATTATTATTAAACATTTGGTTGGTATTTTCTGCTGAACTCTATCTCAAAGGTGTAAGTCGGCAATCACATAATTCGGTTTGCGACGTCGCAGACTTCCTGTCATACTTTATTTGTTAAACAGAAAACTACTCAACGGCAATTCTTCAAAACTGCCGTGATTTTTCCTCTCGGTGCGAAGAAAATTCTGCATAAACTTCATGGGATGATGTCAATTTGTTCTCCTTTGAAAAAATACCATAGGGATGAAGATTTTCAGACACCGCAAAAGAGATATGTGATTGCGGACTTACGCCATCGATCTATTGTAGAAAATGCGTCTTGATGGGGAGAATATTACCGTTTTTGATCCGGGGTGAAGAGATTCCGGTAGAGAGCGCTGAGGCATCCAAAGGCCGCCAAAAACAGCAGTAACTCCCTGTAGATGAGTTTGTAAAGACTTCCTCGCCACATGAACAGGAGTTTCGTGAAACCACCGCTCGTCGAAGAGGCCACCTCATACTGGTAACTCACCGTCATTTTCAAAGAGGAAAAGCCGGCACCAAAACTCGAAAAGCGGGAGAGAAGACGCAAGGTTTTGTGAACAACGGTTAGGAAAGTACAGCGTGAATAAGCACACTAACACTGCCCTGACAAAGATTGCACTTTGCCCTATTTAGGCTTGATACCATCATCGAGTATCGTATACTTCGACGTGAAAGAGGCAAAATTTGTTTAATACGCACTAGGGTACATGGTTTTTGTCACTCCGAGGAGAGAAATATTTTCCAAAACACAAGGAATCTTGAACATGGCGCATAAGTACCGTACTTGTCTCTTTTGATCTTTGATTGAATTTTTTCACGTGACTTTGCCGTAAGAAAATTCACATTTTTGGAGCCGCACAGTTGACATTCGAGAGTCAGTGAGATACGCGTGAATCGAGGCGAAAAAGCAAATATTGAAGGTTCACAAACGAAAACGCACGCACTTTTTACGTCTATATCTGCATTTAGAATGGTCCTAAAACGTCTGTAGAGAATTTTAGAAATTTACTAGAAAGTCTCCACGGTTCCATGAAAAATTAGAACATCATGGAGTGAAAAAAATAACTAAAAAGTGTCATTCATCGCCGAATCCCCTTGCTAAACATGAGTCCAGTCAGCTCCTGCACAGGAAATCATCTCGTTCTTACTATCTTTTGAAGCACAAAAACGGTTAAGTCGCGTAGTGTAAAAAAAGACAACAGAAAAACAAACGTGACAGCGGAAAAAGAGTAGAAAATTAGAGAAATACTATTCGCTGGTATGTTCAGTCGAACCAAGTCAAGACACTTCTCATTTAAACTGCAATCATTTCCTGAAAAAAAATCAGTTTGTTTTTCCGTTGAATTAAGATATTCCTGCAAACTTCCTTTTGGCGCTGTGATCTGATACTATACAGATCAAGCTTTTTAATATGGTTATTTTTGAATGAAGAGGGCATAGAAAGGAAGCTATTTTTGAAAAGAGAGCGACATCGTTTGGCGTATTCTCGTTTGTTTCTCTGAGATCTTCCTCAAATGTAATCCCTCACTGTCTTTATTTACGAATCTGCCTATGTACCGGAAAACCCCAAGATTAGTTGGCAAAAATTCGAAGTTGAAATCATGGAGCAAAAATCAGTTCAAAGGGATTAATTGACAAAATAAATCGGTGAGTGAGAGAACGGACCATATTTGGGACGCAAAACTTTGCGAGGAGCAGTAAAATACTACGTATAGTCTAAAATTGTTTTAAGTGTAAAATCACTTTTGGAACAAGACGCATTAGGAACAAAAAGTTGAGGTGACAACGTTTTGGTTTATATTACTGGTTGAGTTACTTATGACTAGACGAATGTCACCACGGGCCCTTTGCATAAACTCCAAGGTAAATGGTCCGTAAAAATGCATGGGCAATTCATTTGAATTTTTCCATTTTAATAATCTCAAACTAACACTTTTTCGTAAAAAAAAACTAGTTCGCGATTTTCTGGATCGTCATGACGATCGATCTCTGCTGCACTCACCGAATGAAATGATCTGGCGCGTAAAAATCGTTCCTCTGAAGTAAACTGGTCTGTTTTTTTTTCTAGCGCAATTTCTTTTCTAACTCGCAAAAAAACACAGAATTCGGGTGAAAATAGGGGGTTGCAACCACTGAAATGGGAGGCGTGGGTAGCATGACGAAGTGCCCGCCGAGAGAAAAAGGACGGGAGCCGAACACGATCGACTACTTCGAAGGGAGATCGCATCCACTTCGGATTCTCAGCCAGCACCGAGGTAAACTGACAGCCCCGTGAGAATCCGCCGAGCAGATATCTACTTATTCCGCAAAACAACAAAAATAGTCGCCCGTCCCGCGCCTCGAGTCGCGCGCCACCTGCATTCTCCCCGGGAAACTATCTACTCCCATTGCCGCCAGTCATCGCAAGAAAGGATATCACGCCAAGAATGTGCCCACGGCTCAGAGACTGTTTCCTCTTTTTTTCGATGATGAACACGTGTCGGTTTAAAATTTCATAGACAGAACTACCTCTCACGCTATAGGGAAAATTTAACCCCCCCCCCCCCCCAAAAANCCTCGGCTCGGAATGCTCCGCAGCGCGGTGGCGTAGACAGGGGGGGGGGAGTGTCCAGGGGGTCTGGACCCCCTCCCCCTCCCCCTTAGCCTCGTTAATTGTACCTTTTTTTACTTTTAGAGAGCAGACATAAAATATTATCAGGGACGCAAACGTCTCGAAACCAGGCGCAATCAATTCTACGCCTCAAACTCCGTAAGCTCAAATGTTTCCCCCGTCCGAAATAGAGAATAGTCGACAGGGGCTACGAAGACTCAAACGGGATCAAAATTGAAAGTCCTTCAATCAGACTGAAATGCAGCTAGTCCCTTGTAAAATGACTTGCTAATTCCGATTTTTTAATTTACCTAAAATCATTTACGAGTTCATCGCAGCTCACAACTGGCGAATTAGGGTGCGACTCCTCGAAAACTGTCAAAACGGTCGAAACACTCGTTTCTCGGCTCAGGAAGCTCCGCACTCGGAATTATAGGCGCAAGCTATTCTACTCCTCGAACTACGTTAAATAAGCCAAGTATCTCAAAAACAATTTTCACGTCCAAAATTGAGATAAATCGACATGGGATACATGGACTAAAATTTAGGGGTCGAAAACAATCACTGCAGTTTTAAAGAATTGCCGTTGAGTAGTTTCCTGCTTAAAAAATAAAGTGCGACAGAAAGTCTGAGACGTCGCAAACCGAGTTATGTGATTCCCGACTTACACCGTCGATATGCGTTTCACGCCGAGCAGCGACCGCAGGCGCAATGCCTGCAGTATTCGTGCACTCTTGTAGGCGCTACGTGAACCGGCGATCGCGCTGAGTGTTAGGCGCAATGCGTGAAGTATTCCTGCAGTCCTGTAGGCGCTCGTATGCGCTTGGCATGCGTCTGAGACATCGCAAACCGAGTTATGCGATTGCCGACTTACACCTTCGATTTGTGGTTTAGGGATGAAAACAATGCTGCCTTGCTGAGGAAACCCGTCGTATCAGGGTTGCAAGGGTCGAAGAAAACCTTGGTAAAGTCAGGGAATTTGAAAACATCCTAAAAGTCGGAAACTTTTGATCCGAATCAGGAAATTCTCAGGGCTGCAAAACAGCTAAAACGTCCATTCTGCCGTGCTACGGAAAAACGCCGTATGAACCTTCACGCGTTGCCAAATTTCCTTTCATAAACCACGAATTTCCTAGTAAATTTATGAATATTTCCCTCCCAATTTTTCAGATAATTTAGTTCACAATTTTACCTAAAGATTCTGAAACTTTAAAGGAAAAATATTCATAACTTTCCTTAAAAATGAACAGTTTATCAAAGGAAATTTGGCAACTCTCGAATGTTCATACGGCGTTCTTCCTTAGCACGGCAGCATTGAACGCCGGTGACGCGCGTTGGTGTTGCTGACTTTTCTGGAATTTTACGCCTCACAGCGAGTGGCATGAGCGTACTGAATCCGCAATTAGTGCGCTGGTTCAGCTTGAAGGTTTCTAAATATTTCTACCGAGGCACCTGTTCTTGATTAGTTATTTCATGCCTTTCGTCTAATTTGTCTTATTCAGGTATGGAAAAATTGAAAATCTTTCAGGGCAACACGCAAATTGTCTTATGCAGGTATTTTGCAAGGTCCAAATTCTCACATAGATACCTACAATAATTGCGGTCAGGGTCTCTACTTAAACGGGATGGCCAAAAAACAGATTTTTTACAGTGCTTTTTCAGTACATTCTAAAGAAATTCAGGACATTCTCAAGAAATTCAGTACCTTCTCATTAGAAACATTCCGTACTTATTCAGTACCTCCGTTTGACGAACTTTGAAAATTTGAAAGACGTAGGTAGCCATGAAATTTCACAGGCGGCTTGAAGATAACCTGACAACACAATCGCGATCTTGCAGGTAAACCCTTCTCTCAGAATCAACGCGCAGGGGATTGCATACTTCCCAGGCTTTATTGAACGACACGCTTGGTACGGAGGAAAAAATTTCGGATATTTTTGCGGAATTTCCGCACTTTTCCAGTACTTCCGGACCGGTGCAGTTTTTGCTATCACGAGAAATACATGCTTGAAGTTTCGAAATTACATGGATCCTTATGGCGGAGAGAAAGTTCAAACTGGTTCTTTTATGCTAAAAAAATGGAAATTGAGACCGATTTTTTTATGCAACCCTTGTTTCGTAAGAAAAAGTGAAAAATTTACACTAAAAATTTCGCAAAAGGTGAATAGATTTTCAGAAACACGCTGGGGCACTGTAGAATTCTTCTTAAATTTTCCAAATAGTATACTTCTTGGAAAATTTCTATCTGTTTTCAAGATTTTCAGAACAGAAGGATATTATTAGTATCTGCGTTTCATTTTCTTCCGTCGTCAGATCTCCAGTCTGGGCATCCTCAGCTTCAATGGATCATGGCACAACTCCCTTGCCATAGACAAACGAAGGGGGAGTCCAGGGGGGCCTGGCCCTCATAGAACTGAAAATAGTATCATATCCCCCCCCCCAAAAAAATAAAAATTTTCCAGATGTTTTGAATGCAACAATTCGCAAGTATTTTGTGCTAAAAGTATAAAAAAAAAAAAAACATAATTATTCCGCGGATATTGATAGGAAAATTCTTTATGGAAGCTTCGAAATGCGTCCAATTAGTCGTATAAATTCTAAAATTTCTCGGGGGATGCCCCTCGGACCCCCCCCCCTCCGTGCTTGGGGCCCGGACCTTAAAACTGGTACCAGGGCACGAGATGGGATGTGGCGATCCTGCATAAAAGCTATTTCCATTTAAATCTTCCGTCACATTCATACGGCATAATGATACAACTATTTGAACTCTCCGGAATGCGTGAGGTATCACGCCGCATTTGAAGGCGTTTTCAAAACAGCCAAGTTCCGTTATCGGAATAATCGTTTTGCGCATCTCATATTATTTTGTTTCCATTTCTAACCACTTGTTTAATTATAATCCTCCCACAAAAACTACCGATTTGCTAAATACAATTCTAGCTGAAGCGCACTTAAGCGCATTCACCACTGCAAAAATATCAGAGGAAATCGACACACCCAGCGTGCATGGAGGCTATTTCAATTGCAATCTTCCGTCGCATTTTTAAGGCGCAATGATACAACTATTTGAACACTCCGGAATGCGCGAGGTATCACGCCGCATTTGAAGGCGTTTTCAAAACAGCCAAGTTCCGATACCCGGATTATCGTTTAGCATAGTTCATATTCTTTTGATATATTCCGTACCACTCGTTTCTTTTTAATCCTCGTAGAAAAACCACCCATTTGCTAAATACAATTCTAGCTGAAGCGCACTTAAGCGCATTCACCACTGCAAAAATATCAGAGGAAATCGACACACCCAGCGTGAATGGAGGCTATTTCAATTGCAATCTTCCGTCGCATTTCTAAGGCGCAATGATACAACTATTTGAACTCTCCGGAATGCGTGAGGTATCACGCCGCATTTGAAGGCGTTTTCAAAACAGCCAAGTTCCGATACCCGGATTATCGTTTCGCAAAGTTCATATTATTTTGTTATATTCCGTACCACTCGTTTATTTTTAATCTTCGTAGAAAAACCACCCATTTGCTAAATACAATTCTAGCTGAAGCGCACTTCAGCTATGCATTCACCACTGCAAAAATATCAGAGGAAATCGACAAGCCCGGCGTGCATGAAGGCAGGCCCGCCACAAGGGGGGGATACTGGGTCCCTGGTACCGGGGCCCGGGCCCCGGAGGGGGCCCGTGTTACCCGTGAAAAACCACTACGAATTCACATGCAACCCTTGTTTCGTAAGAAAAAGTGAAAAATTTACCCTAAAAATTTCGCAAAAGGTGAATAGATTTTCAGAAACACGCTGGGGCACTGTAGAATTCTGCTTAAATTTTCCAAATAGTATACTTCTTGGAAAATTTCTATCTATTTGCAACAATTCGCAAGTATTTTGTGCTGAAAGTAGAAAAAAAAACATAATTATTCCGCAGAAATTGATGGAAAAATTCTTTATGGAAGCTTCAAAATGCGTCCGATTAGTCGTATAAATTCAAAAATTTCTCGGGGAATGCCCCTCGGACCCCTCCCCCCTCCGTGCTTGGGGCCCGGACCTTAAAAGTGGTACCAGGGCCCGAGATGGGATGTGGCGGGCCTGACCAGAGGCGTGCGAAGTTTGAATGATGCGGGGATTTTTCACGAGCGTCTACACCTTTCCGCGCTGGCAGGCCAATCCTCCAAATCCTGGATTGCATATTTCAATCTGGATTGCACTCCGCGCTCGCGGACGAAAGCAGACCGAACAGAGCTGAGGCTGGAACAGTTTAGCTCTGTCGCGGGAACGCTCCCAGAACAATCGTCCGTCATTCGAATTGCGCACGCTTCTGATCTAGGAACTTCCAACTCGTTGCGCTTTGCGCTGGTAAAAGGTGCACGAGTAAAACATAGGCGCACGCGTATGGCTACGCGTCATTTTGAATTTCGCGCGCATTCTAAGCTGAGACCTGCCACTTTAATTTATTGGAGCATGTGCGTGGCGGGTGCCACCACGCACTCTCACTTTTGAGGCATTTCTAATTCACTCATTTAAAGATTTATACAAAGGTCAAAGAAAGAAAAGAAGCTTTTACTGCTTTTTAAATAGTTTATTCAATACATAAATCATATTTAAGAGCAAATAAAATATTCCAGTATAATAATCATGGTAAAATGATACTTAATCGGCTGAAAACGGGCAGAAAATGACGGGTTGATTTAAAAAAAAAAACCATAAGGGCTGTGTATAAATAACAAAAAGAGGGTGAAAGAGAGATACATACTCCAGGTATAAGCAGACCATCCTGTGGTGGTTTCTCTTATCTTGAAATAGGGGATCATGAAAATGGGAGGATCTACATTTTTACGTTTCATTTCTGAGCACGCGAATAAAAGTCAATTAAAAGAATAAGATACAAACTATTTCATTGGTCAGATACTAAGAGTGATACATGTTTTAAAACACTGACATAAATATTTCAAAAAAGATAGACAAATGAAGATAAACTGATGTACAGAACCAAATTTTAATGAGAAGGGGGCGGACCTGGGATGGATCTGTGTGAGTGGGAATGGGGAGGGAGAAGGAGAGATTGCAAAAAAGGGTAAGAATGTAAATACTTCGACTGATTTTCGCCACAGGTGATACTCGCTTTTGTATCAGTACAAGTACAAATAAGTAAAACAACTTTTAACTCTCCGCTGAAATTGTAGGGGTGCAGTGGTCATTTACGTCTCTAAACTCCACCGGAAATCATTTAAGAGGAGCGCACAAAAGGAAGGGAATTCACTATTGCATTTCATCAATGCCAAAGAAAATGTTAGCAAAAAATTGAAAGAATTCGATTTTTCATTATTTATTTATTTATTTTTTTTTTGGAGGGGGGGGGGGCAAATTTACCTACTTGATGACCAATAATGTAGACCTCGCAATATGTTAAAGTAAAATACCAATTTTCGTGCAACTTCCTAGTGTGGTATTTTACGTTCTGGGAGCTACAAGCTAAACATAGTTCAGGCAGCTTTAAGCATAAAAAATCAAACACTTTTCGAAAATTTTCGAGCATTTTTCAGAACATTTCTTGTGGTTTTCTTCTAAACGGACAGTTTTTTTTCCGCAAGTCTTGGTGAGTCCAAACTAGTAATTTTTGGTTCTCTTTGAAGATAGATTGCAAATGCTTTTGTCATTAAAACGTCTTTCAAAACAATATCTTCAACATTAAATTTTTCTTTATGTCACTGCTGACAATGAGAAAAGAGTAATTAAAAATGAAGCAGTTTTTAAGCACCTTCTAAAAAAAGCACTTTCAAAGTTATAATTCAACAATTCAAAATTCAGCACTTTTCAAGCTCTCTCAAAGGCCACATGAACCATGTTAAACAAGCCTGATTAAACAAAGGGATATTTTACTAAACATATTAAACTGACAATGAGAGAGAACAATATAATTCCACATCAATGTTTTAAGAGAGAAAAAATTCACTGATATGAGACACTAAAAGTACTCGTCTCATGACAAGAATGGAATTAACATAGAACGATTAGACATGCCGATTGCTGATGTGCAAAGAAACTCAAGATACTTTTCAAATAGGTTATCGATTTGCTGACTACACGCTTGGCTCAAAAATCATTTATGCATAATTGGATACTTCTTCAGTTCAAGGATAAGACTTTGGAGTCACAAACTTACAAAAAAAAAATTTCTTTGTGAAATGAACAAAAAAGATAGCATTAGAAAAATTCGGCACACACTTATAACGCTTGATGGCCTACTAGTAGAATTGCATTCACTAGATGAGTGGATAATTTATTCATCGCTTTAAATTTCATGGATTTAAAAGCAAAAAACACACTAGAATTTCTAAGTAAACTAATACTTTCAGATATTCTTCCTGATTGTAATATACAATTTTTTTACGTTTATATCAATTGGGTGACATAACATTTCAAAGTGAAATCATTCGATTGGATGTCTTACAGAAAGAGACAATCCCTTTTCTGCCACAGGTGAAACAAAATGAACCAAAATATTCTTAAAACGGCAAAAAAGCTAAAAAAAAAGTCAAAAGTAATCAGGCAGTGATAACTTGCTTCGTCAATGAAATTTTTCTGGGATAAAGATAAAATCCAGCAACTATAAAAGATTATTGATAATATTAATAAAAAAGTAAACACATGAGAACAATTTTTATCAAAATCATGGGCTGAAGAAGGGCTAATCAAGATCAGGGGAACCTACGACCTACCTCAGCCTTCTTAAGCCCAACCAAAGAAAATATTTAACGATAGGTGCAAAGAGATAGTTTGCAAAACACTTGATAAAGCTGAAAAACAGAAATAAATCAGAACAAAAACCAATTGCTTTGAGGTTGTAGCTTAAATCATTATCGCAAAAAATTGAACAAAAGCAGGGAAAAAAGAAGAGAAAAACGAACAAAAAGAAGGATACGAAAGTTAAGCTTTCTACAAAATAAGAAGAGCTATAAAATACAACATTCAATCTCAGGGGAAATTCAAGAGAAAAATTTACCATAATAGTTTGAGGTTGACATTTACAGGAAATTAAGGGCAAAAATTTGACAGGAGCTGTGAAAAATGAGATATATTGAGCAGCACTAAAATATTTATGAAAAATAATAGATAAATAAAGGAAGGAGACGATTGAGTGTAGATATGTACCTGCTTGCTTGCTGGAATATTAAACTGCAAGTTATTGAGAGCTGATAGATTTATTCTATAGAAATAAGTACCCAAAAGTCGAAAAAAGAAAGAAAGAAAAAAAAAACACAATGAAGAAAACTTTACTTTGAAGAAGTAGAAAAAAAAACAGAAAGTTAGAAACCTTTTAACAAGAAATCCTGTCCCAAAATTGGTGGTTGAATGATGCAAGGGGAACTAAAGAGCCAGTACTGAATTCAATTAGTGCTTGAATATACGGATCATACATCCAAAAAAAAATTAATCAAACCACCATTTTTTATTTCATTTCAACACCTATTATGAATCATTCATTAATTTTTTTAATTTCTTCAATTGAGTAAGTAGAAATAACACACTAAAAGATGTGATACTTCGTTGGTAGAAGAAAACAAAAATGAAAATAAAATAAATAAATAAAATAAAAAAAAAATAGACGTGTGAATACTCTGATTGAAACTGTATAGTACGTACACATTAAGTAGAATTCCACACTCTAACGAGGGACAAAAATAATTTCAGGAATGAAAAAGAAAAAAAGTTCAGTTAAATAGTGGTATAGCATACGCATTTCTCCGAAACCTGGATTAGTTTTCATTGCCTAGAAATGCAGAATAGGACAACTCTTCGAAACAATGAATTTCCATTGACTACTCAATTTTTCACACAACCTTTTCAGTGAACATCATAGAACTGAGTATAACGGCCAATAAGCCAATATACAACTTTATTGGGCCAAACTTTCTTGCGCCATAATAGAATAACAAAAAAAGGTGATCTTTCAAGAAAGTCATTTTCCAGAGTTAATAAACTCACTGACTAAGATCTTAACAGTTTCATGAAACAACTTTTATAAAACATAAATTAACTGGATGAAACTCAACAAAAAAAAAAGAAACTAATAAGTTGAAAAAAAAGTTCTTTAAAAAGAAAAAAAAAATCATGATGAGCGGAGGTTCCTCCTTCAGATCATAACATACAAAGAAGGAAATGAATTGATCATACTTGAGGGTATTTCATTAAAGATTCATTTCCAAAAAAAGAAGAAAAAAAAAAACATTTTAAACAATTACGGAACAGTCAAAAATTTTAAAAAAAAGAGGCCCAGTCAGAATCTTAACTAATTATCATCATTGACTGGGCAAGCACATTTGACTCAACGACTAATATTAACTTTCATTTCAATCAGAACTCTACCGTGAAAACACTTTACAACGAGGAATGAGTGAACCGAGCAAAACCTCTGAATGAATTAGAATTAACAAAATCTAATCAAATCATATCAGTGTTCTATAGGTGCCCTAAAATTCTGGGAGCCACCTTAACCAGTAAGTTCGATTTTAAGGAGCCAAATGAATTTTTTTCGTAAACTTCATAAGGCATAAAATTGGAAGATTTTTAAGATCTTTCCAAAGCTTTTTCTTCTTTTTCACAGTATTCTGCGATAGAGATTGGTCTCATATAAAATCTGATTGACAGCTTTAATTTTCAGCCACCAGTTCACTCTTTATGTAAAGAGCAACAAAAAAAGCAGAATGCTCTTTCATTAGTATTCATTTGGCGCTTTAACTTTGGCTGTATTTATGCTTTTGAGGATGAAGTGAACATATCCAAAGGCCCCTTTCACTCTTCCCTGATGCTTCTAAACTAGAGAAGATTTTTCGACAGTCATCACACAAACAATTTAAGAACGATTCACATTGGATTGCTGCAGGGTTAAGCAAATATAACTGAACAATCCTTAATCCACGTTGAGCCAATGACATGGATTTACGATAAAATACCTATATTTAAGAAATAATATCCTACGTACAAATTAATAAAAATATACATGTTATAGCCTGTTTTCACAAGAACGTCAATTACATTAAAAAAAATAAAAAGAGATGCAGTATTTGAATTAACTGCATGAAGGTAGAAATTTCAGAAATTACACTCGTGAAAACAGGGTAAAAAATTGAAACCTTTAGTTCTAAAAATTTAAAAAACTTTTTCTAAAAACTTTCAGGGCATGGGCCTTCTAGACTGGCTTTAAAGGAACAGCTAATGGACACTGATGACACATTCACCACTGGAGAGGTCACTTTAAAACTGAGTAAAATCATGACTTATCGTTTGCGGGGAGGGGTGTATTAGAAGACTTCCATCTTCACCTCACCTAATCAACCTGTGAGGGACATTTAATTAAACAGTTGGCTAGAAACACTGAGACAATCAAATGATGACATTTACTATGACATTAATTTCTCATTAGCTTGTGTGCGATGACATTTTTTACAGAAAGGAGCAGTGACCTTCCAGAGGTTAGAGTGCTTATTCTGAGAGACCATCGTAGCAGTGAATGTACTACACACTTAGCTTTAACTGAAAACCCTCAGAGAAAAAATTTCTAATTGAGAATGATAGGAGCCTCTATTCAGTCTTTAATTATTTGAGTTCATATATTCATTGGATGGTGTCATTTCAATGGGCTTCTTCTTTTACACTGAGGAATTGTATTTCAGAATTCATTCAGTCACTCACAATGAGCTTTTACTTACATGGGTTCGACCACTAAATTACGAAGGATACAGATCGAAAAGTGTTCATGTGTGGGAGGTCCACAGACCATTTTTTTGCTGGTGAGAATTCAAAACATAGCTCATACTTGTGTTTCTGAAACATTATCTCACCGCACATATCCTTGTTTTGCACTTTATAATCGATGTTAATGCATGGATATAGATGTCAGTTGAATATTAAAAATTCAGAATCAGTGTATAAAACCTTTGTGACTGCATAGACTTCAGGACCTAGATGTTACAGCTGTCAGGCATCATGCAATTAACATAAGGTTTCAATACAATAAATTTACACATTGACTGAGTGCATCAGCCGGTTAAAAATGATTCCAGAACATTGACAATGAAAAAAATCTTGCACTGTTTTATGCGATCAAGATGATAAAACTAAAATAAAAAACAGATAAACGAAATAACATTCAAATGGGAAAGAAGACAGGACCCAAGATAAATTTGAATACCTACACATAAACCTCGAGCTTCAACTGATAATTTATCAATCCATTGATTGCTCTTTGAGCAATCCTCACCTTTGAGCCACTCATTATTCTACACTTGGGTCCTTAGGGGGGGGATATTTTAGCCGGATGAATTATTCTAGGTCAAATTCCTTGTTCAGCCTGCTCAAGTCCCTAAAAACAGAAATTCAAAATTATAATTAAGAGGAATGTTGATATTACTCTTACACAGGAGAGATTCCTGTTCTTAAGTGCAAGATTTCTGTTTGATACAGGACAAACAGCAAAGATCCTTCTCTTAAAATTTTACAACTATATTACAGCCACATAAAGATGAAGGATATCTTTGAAGCTTCCAATACACTCTCATAATCTGTTGAGAATATTTGCCGATTTTTCCGAAATTGAAATAAACTTTTCTCATAAGCTCCTTTCCTCCCTCAATCGAAAATGTATTCATACAAGGGGGTATTTTCTGTGTTAATTCAAAATTCTCTGAGTACAAAATATAATTCCCCAACAAGTTTCCCTAACAGGCAGCAACCCTGGAATAAGAAACAGAATATTGCTCCTGCAATTTTTTCAGAATAAGACAGGGCAAGTTTTCAAAATAAAATTCCTGATATTTCATTCCTTGCAATGGCGTCAGCTGTTGGTGACCAAGAAGTATAAATTTTGGGTCAGCATGCCGTGTCAATGACTTACGTTCGTATTTCATACTATGCACTGATGAATCAATTCATTCCCAAGTTATGATCTTTTAACCCTTCAAAATATCTCAGAGACATATTTCTTACTGAAGATCCAAACATCATTAGATTTCTGAGTCTGACTCAAGAAATAGTCGATATTCCTTCCAGGAATTCATCAGTAACTGATAGCTAGCCGTGAGCCAACCCAATAATCATTGTTGACTGGAGGAGCTTCTGTCGCCAACGTCTTACATTGGCTGATTCTCCTCTTTGTTGAGAACTTGATTTGAAAGCAAGAAAAAAGGCTTTACCTATCTTGAACTGCAGGTATTAAGTCAACTTTTTCCAGGAGGGATAGTACGAGTCTAAGAGTTGCCCATATTGAATCAGACATGCTGGTTGAACCACTATTGCCAACAACTCCTCTCCCAGCTGCTTGGAAGTTCAAAGCCTGCAGCAAATGTTCTGCCGCTTCTCTGTAATCATCAATTGCTTGGCTATTAATTTTTTTCACAGAAAATACTTAAATTTTCAAACATTCAGTTGTTTTTTCAACTCAGGTCATGAATAGAATATCAACAAATGGCTGGATAATACTGACCTTTGTCTTAATAAAGCTATTCTTCTACCGAACTTTCGAAGAACAGGACAGCTATTCTCAGAATCAGTTTAATTGCATTTTTGCAAGTTACTGAATATTTACTTTTTGAGAAAAATCATCGAAAATTCAACAGTAATCATATGATGATTTATTTCAATCGCTCTAACTATTTTATGTTAGCTTAGTAGTTTATTTTATGCCTTAAAAATGTCCTCTGTAAAAACAACAAATGTGGTCTTCTTTTACGATATTTTTTACTCAATTGATGTTTACTTTAAATGTTAAAGTTCTACAGCTCATTTTGTAGAGGAGGATTCCCTAGGGTGGACCGTTTTTGAACTTTTTTCGAAATTCCAAGACGGCTAGTGATAAAAATTTGTGTTTTGGCATAAAAATAACGCTCAATTTTTTTCAGAATTTTTGGATGATGTCCTGAGCCCGTCCCGACGCCATCTTTGTTGCCAAATTTTCGATTTTTTCGAGAAATTTTAAAGACTCTGTTTAAGGCCCGGGAAACGCGTAGAATTAATCAAATTTCAATTTAAAATACTTTAAATATCATTTCAAGCGATACAGGTCAGGATAGGACACTCCCAACGCGCAGAGAATGCCTTAAGGGACGCAATCATGGACCCCGAAATCCCTTAAAAATGCGCTTAAATACTACCTATATTTTATGTTAATTTTCATTGATTCTATTTTGCTCATACTTTGTGTTATGACCAACAAAACTTATCAGTAGACTATGTCCTACTATTTTACGGCTTACGATGTGGAATTAGGGTGCAAAGGAGTGCTACAGGGATGCCATATCCCTCAGTAATGAAAAAATAACCACCGGGCTAGAATAGGCCTCTGATCCGTGGATATCACTGGAGTAATGTTCCTGTCACCTGAACTGAGTACTTCTTAGTACAGTATGCTCAGACTGATGGTAAGATATAATACAATTCAACACATTAGTAGTTCAATCTGGCAGCAGTGGGTGGCGGTTTCCATGCGTTTCGCGGATCCTAGAGGAACGAAGTTAACTACCCTCGGAGGGTGTTCCGTTTTGAGGCGACCATCTCAAAACCTTGCTCCCCGGGCTTTTTCTCATTCCTTTTTGTCCCCAAAGGATAATTCTGTTGTCTCAGCATATTATCTGAAGTCTATATATTCCCCCAAAGCTGTATTACAATTTCGGAAGAAATCACATTGGTTTAAATGGGAAGAAAATGGTCGATCCGCGGAACTGCGTTTTCCGGCTATAAAATGCGTCCAAATTATTCCAAACCTAGGCATGTCTTCGGAAGACACCCTGTAGCCTATTTTAAACGAGAAAATTTCATTTTTGACTCAGGGGTCGGGGTAGGGTGGATCAAGGCACAGTTAGTTTTGAAGCGCTGCGCCCAGCAAACTTATCGTATTTGACAGTATTTCATCAACCTCAAAGGAGGTCCTCCAAGGTAGAGAAGACTAATATATCTCACAACGTGTAAGAAAATAATAGATGTTTTTAGCCCTTAAGAACTATTTTTGACAATTTACACTGTTGCCAAATTTACTCGAGCCCGGGAGAAAATTAGTGTATTTTTTGTTCTGTATTTGAGTGCTTATGGCAACAGTGTAAATTGTCAAAAACAGTTTTTAAGGACTTAAAAAAACCATTGTATATTATTTGCTTACACAATGTGAGATACATTAGCCTCCTCAATCTCGGCATACCTGTTTTGAGATTGATGAAAAACTGTCAAATACAATAATTTTTCTGCGCTCAGCGCCTTAAAAAACCGGCAACGTGACCCACCCTCCGATCCGCGAAGCGCATGGAAACCGCCACCCACTACTGCCAGATTGAACTACTTATGTGTTCAATGGACCACTAGACAAGGTACGAACCTCAGCATTCTGATACATGTTTCTCAACCAAAATTTCACGTAGAACACGATACGCACAACGAAAATTACCCAAATCAACTCCCGACGAAGATATTTAATGATTCTTGATGCGTGAATTCAAACCACCCGCTCATGAAAACTCAATGCTCTACGTGATTCACATCGCGCGCTAAATGTTTATCATGACAGTCTCTGCGATGTAAAAATCTTCAACTTCAATCTTGACACTTTGGCTCAGCTATAGCAGATTACCAATAGTTTGAACAACTTATGGTGGAAAATGAACATTGCTCGATTGAGAAGCTTGCTGAAACCGTTGTAGTGCGCGATTTGACTCACGTAGAGCTTTGAGTTTCTTGTGAGCGGGCAGTTCAAATTCCTCGTACCCAATGTGAAATAAAAACGTTAATATCTTCGCTAGAAGTTGATTTCGGTAATTTTCGTAGTTTGAATCGTGTTCTACGTGAAATTCTGGTTAAGAAACATGTATCAGATTGCTTAAATTCGTACCTTGTCTAATGGTCCATTGTATCATATCTTACCATCAGTCTGAGCATACTGTACTAAGAAGTACTCAGTTCAGGTGACAGGAACATTACTCCAGTGATATCCACGGATCAGAGGCCTATTCTAGCCCGGTGGTTATTTTTTCATTACTGAGGGATATGGCATCCCTGTAGCACTCCTTTGCACCCTAATTCCACATCGTAAGCCGTAAAATAGTAGGACATAGTCTACTGATAAGTTTTGTTGGTCATAACACAAAGTATGAGCAAAATAGAATCAATGAAAATTAACATAAAATATAGGTAGTATTTAAGCGCATTTTTAAGGGATTTCGGGGTCCATGATTGCGTCCCTTAAGGCATTCTCTGCGCGTTGGGAGTGTCCTATCCTGACCTGTATCGCTTGAAATGATATTTAAAGTATTTTAAATTGAAATTTGATTAATTCTACGCGTTTCCCGGGCCTTAAACAGAGTCTTTAAAATTTCTCGAAAAAATCGAAAATTTGGCAACAAAGATGGCGTCGGGACGGGCTCAGGACATCATCCAAAAATTCTGAAAAAAATTGAGCGTTATTTTTATGCCAAAACACAAATTTGTATCACTAGCCGTCTTGGAATTTCGAAAAAAGTTCAAAAACGGTCCAACCCAGGATTCCCTCCATAGTTGACTCCTCACTGAGAGCCTATTTGCTTCACAGACAACAAAATGCACAGCTTTGAAAACTGTGACCATAATTTTTTCAAAACTTGAAAACTTGACAACTGCAGTTTATACACACGGCTTAATATGAGAACACAGTAAGAAACCAAACTTTGGATGAGAAAAAATATGACTATGTAGAGAGAACGCACTTGTATGCTTTCAGATGAATGCATGTTATGCCTAGATTGTATCGCGCTCGTATGAAGCCAGGAGCAAGTTGTAAAGCATTGTGATAAGCATCTACTGCCTCCTCTGATCTTTCTGAATTTGCCAGGGTGGCTCCAAGTCGATTCCAAAGTTTAGCATCCTGAAATTAAATTGAAGAGCAAAGACAATGACAAAGAAAATGAGATAGTACTTTGACAATGTATATAAATACTTTAAGAGAATGTATCCAAAAAAGTTTTAGGCGGCAGATATAAAAAGCTAATTGCATTTGGAGTAAAGCTTTACATTAGTAATGTTAATACTATCAGAAACCAAAAAAAGGTACTTACTTTGAATTCTCGCCTTTTTCAGAATATCTTTCAAGAAAGCATAAGAATGCTTCAGTATAAAGATAAAACGCATTTTGGAATTCAAAATTAAGCAGTCTTACTGGTTTCAGTAGAGTTAAAAAGAATTCTAGTCAAAATGGACCACAAGACAAGAGTACAAAACAAAGCGCAAGGTTGCCACAGAATTTAGAAAATGAAATTTCTTTAATTTCCCTGTCACATTTTTGAGAAATTCCCTGACGATTGAAGGTAAGCCAGATGGTTAAAAAGACATAATTTTAAATAATTTTCATGCAAAATCTGCTTCTTAGAAACGTCAAACTCATTCTAGAAAGAAAATAAAGATGACTAAACAATTTTTCCCTGACACTTCCTTCATTATCCCTAATTCTACCCTGTATTGACACCCATTAAAATTTTCTGAGCTTGCTCCTAAATCTAAATAATCAAACTAACATTCAGGGACTTCTGGGAGCGGCTTCAGACTGAGAGCAAAATGTGTTCCTGAAAATACTCACATTTGGTCGGACCTGAAGGGCTGTTTTAAAGCACTCTATGGCCTTGTCGTATTCATAGCTCAGATTGAATAGGACACCAAGGCCACACTGGACATCCGCATCAATGTCATTGGTAGGGCTCTGACGGGCAGCTTTGAAAAATATACTCTTTATTTCATCATGTAAATCCCTGGATAAAAAATAAGAAAGGCATAAGAATTTATCGCAGAATCTCCAACAACTTCCAACTCAACAGCAAGGGTAGATAGATAAGAAAAAAATCTCCTATTTTTTATACAAGTATGAGTTCTTTCACCCCTGTAATGGTGACCTGCTTCTTAAATCAAGAATTCTTAGGATGATTCGTCCAGGGCTCTTGTTAAAGTTGAACTGATGTGCGATATATTACATCGATATCGATTAAGGTAAAACCCTTGGCAGATTTTGACTTATAAGCCCAAAAAATAAACCTCAATTTATTAAAAAATCAATTTAGCATAACAACTTCCTAACAATTCACATATTTAATGTGCACGCTTAGGACAATGAAAAATTGTTGGCATTAATTTCAATCCTAATGGCAGAAACATGAGCACAGGTCCTTATCAGATATTTATCAGGTATCCTTTAATCCTTCAGGTATTTATCATTCACATTACTATGGCCCTGTCCACACGAGCATGGTTCGAGGAACTTATTCGACCAACTGCTCAGTTTCCCGAAACTTGTTCCTTAAAACGAGCATGCTGTCCACACGAGTTTGCCGAACTGGAACCGGAGCTTCAATATAAAACTATATAATTATTGCAAAATAACAGATTACTACGGCCGCAAGAGTAACAAAAACGAACAACAAGACATAAAGGACGTAAAAAAAAGCAATCAAAAACACAAAAAAAGAGACACAGAAGCTCAAAGTACAGAGGAAGTTTTGGGGTTTGGAGGAATAAGTTTTAGCTCAGCTAAAACTTGTTCTGGGAACAAGTTCCCCGAACTAAGTTCCGCGAACCGCGCTCATATGGACAAGGCCTAAAATTGCAGACAGCACTGAAGTTTTCTAGCTTATTCAAATTTAGTCTTTTTTAAAAAGTTCTTTGACTTTCTCAGATCTAATGAAAGTCTTTGATAGTTCCCAGTTTTTCCGGTTATTCAGACTTACAGACACCCTTAAATATAATCCAAGTTTTAAAGTAGAGTATTATTAATAGTTAAAAAAAAGTCTGCAAAACTACAGTACCGTATAGCTCCGCAGATAAGACGCACTTTTTTCCCCATTTTAAGCGCCCAAAATCGGGGGAGCGTCTTATACGCGAAACTCGTGCAAATTGCATATCTCACAGGCGCGCCTAAGCAGATAATCGTTCCCCCTGGCCCCTCCTTGCTATATCTCACAACCCCAACGCGTACCATCCTCTTATCTCTATAAACACACTGGTCTGAGTCTAACTGAACGATAGTGACCCATTCCTGCCAACCGACACTCTTTTTTTGCTTTTGAAGGAGTGCAAACAAAGCATAAATTGCCCAACGCATGCCTTCTTTGCAAAACCGCGAACGTAAACACCTTTTTCGACTCGCAATCTGACCAGAGCTAGAATTGAATCTGGCCCATGGTGGGGGGAAGCGTCAGGAAATAGGCCGCGTCTCCTTCGATTCATCGCCATCGAACAATCGAAAGTGGCCACCTGTTGACAAGGTCAATGGCTCACTGCATTTTCGGCACGCGCCGCATGCAGCGCTGGCGCGGCGCAGCGGAAGACATGTCAATCGCCCACTCAATCCCCGCTGTTATCGCAATTTTAATCTCCCTTTCTTAAAGATTTGAGCTTCCTTTGAGGAAAGATCCTTTTTGCTTTAATTCTTTTTTCGTATCAATGGCTCTGCCTTTCCCTCTTTTCAAACTCGACGCTGCTGCTTTGAGAAAGGGTACAGTAGGGGGTGGGGTTGGGACGATGACCGCGGGTCTTAATTCAAACAATCGGCGTGATTTCACGCCTCATTAGGTGTTGACACCCTCCCTTTCTTTTATTAACCTATGCAAATTAGGCTTCATTCCTTTGTTTACCTAATCATCCCTTATCATTGTTTACGTTTCCGGTGGTTAAACGACGCGATCTTTGATCTTTGGTTTTTGATTGTATTTATTGCTGTGAATGCGAATTATTAATTAACCATGGTTAATAGACGGCATCCGCACACCGCGGGTGAAAAATTAAAAGCCATCCGGTTGTCCGAGGAACTCAAATCCAATCGCAAAGCTGCAGACCGTTTAGGAATCAATGAGTGTCTCATCCGAAAATGGAAATTGCAAAAACTACAATTAAAAAAGACGAATAACCAGAGAAGAGCTTTTCGCAAGGGAAACCCCAAATTCGTTGAGCTGGAGGAAAAATTAAGTGAGTATATATTGGAGCACAGAGCAAAAGGTCATTCCATTTCCTGCGCCATGATCCGTATTCATGCTATGAGGCTCAAGAGAGAAGTATGCCCAGATGTACAGTTTAAGGCTAGTCGAGGTTGGCTTTATCGCTTTTTCAAACGACAGGGTTTTAGTGTGAGGCGACGAACGACCATGTGTCAAAAATTGCCGGCTGAATTTGAGGATAAACTCCTTGAGTTTCAAAAGTATGTGATTAAGAAGCGTAAGGAAAACAAGTACATCTTATCACAGATTGGGAACGCAGACCAGACTCCTGTCTACTTTGACATGCCGTCTAGTACGACTGTCGACAAAAAAGGTGCGAAGAGCGTCTCCGTAAAGACAAGCGGCGGGGAAAAACAACGCTGCACCGTCATGTTAGCTGCTACGGCTGATGGGCGTAGGCTTCCCCCCTACATCATTTTCAAGCGGAAAACTCTGCCCAAAAACGTCATTTTTCCGAGAACCGTCATTGTCCGCGCAAATGAAAAAGGATGGATGCATAACGAGCTTGTTGAGGAGTGGGTGAAATTAGTTTGGGAGAAGAGGCCGGGAGCACTTTTAAGGCTACCCTCCATGATTGTGCTTGATAGTTACAAAGGGCATCTGACCGAAAATGTCAAAGATCGGCTCAAAGGTCACAAATCCGATCTAGTCATCATCCCTGGAGGTATGACTAAGATGTTACAGCCGCTGGATGTTTCGGTCAATAAGCCCTTTAAGAAACACCTACAAGACTTTTGGGCCGATTATATGGTGAAAGAGGTGCACGATTATACAGCTTCTGGCCGACTAAAGAAGCCATCCCTCCTCACGATCGTCAATTGGGTTGAACGAGCATGGAACCTCATACCTCAGCCACTCATCGAGAAAGCTTTTAAGAAATGCTGCATAAGCAACGCCATGGATGGGACTGAGGATGACATGTTATGGGAGGAGGAGTATCGACTCCACGCTGCCGCTGATAACGAGGAGCCGAGTGCAATAGCAGGTGCCGGTGATGACGACAGCGACCTTGCGCAACCGAGTGTGACTGGAGGAGGGGAGCATGCCGATGCCGATCCCAGTTCCGACTCCGACGCTGAGTCAGTGGCTACCGGCGAGTCAAGCGATGATGAGTATGACACGGAGTGCGAGGCGGAGAGCGACTGAAACCGTCAATGATCCTCTTTCATGTAAATTTTAGAAAATAAATTTGGAAATCAAGAGATTTTTCCCAGGAATGTTGTTTGTTATTTCTTTCTTCTCCTTTGCATTTTTCCATCAAAAACCGCGTCTTATACGCGAGTATTTATTTTTTTCTTTTTTTGCCCCCTCAAAATCCGGGGTGCGTCTTATCTGCAGGGGCGTCTTATCTGCGGAGCTATACGGTAGTTGTTCAGTGCTGAAAGCAGAAGATTACATTAGCAGCAAAATATGATCGAAGTACTAGATTCTAAACTCAGCCCACCGTTTAAATAACAAAAAGGATTTGAATGCATTAATCAGCTTTCAAAAACTGAGTTACTTCTTTCATTATCAAAAAAAAGGTTGTGGGCATGTTCAAAGAAAAGAGGCAGAAAACATACTTTGACATTAAAGTTAGAACATTCATCTGATCTGGACTTGAGCTTCCTGGTGGTACTAAACTTGAGTACTTGGGGTTGTTCCTGATCCATTCCTGTAACAAAAAAAAAGCAAGGAGATGAATTTAAATCTTTAACAAATGTTTTCATCCTGTCAGACGCACAGAAAAGAGAAAAAAGAAAACAATTACAATTGCACTCCAGTTCTGCCGAGATAAATGGTTAAATTACAATAGGTACACAAATATTTGCCTCAAGAGAGGCAAGATTAGGTGATTTTACAACCCCCGGAGATTTCCCAATAAATTTGAGGAATACTCTCATTTCCATTCCACAATTGACTCTCCTGGGGCATTTTGATCCCTCACCCCTTGTTACTTTCCTTGGCATACCTAGAATCGAATTAAACATGAAGAGAGACAAACAATTCATTGGAGGTGTCTAATGTGACTCAAATTGGGCAACTAGCAGAACTGATGCACTTTTTAACAACTTCTATGAAACTCTAGATGTGTAACATTTTAACTACACCAATGATCATAGAATAAATATTGTTTCCGGAGAAAAAGGATAAGTAACATGTTCTCATCCATAATATGCCTATCTATAATCCTAGAACCGAACATTGTTACTTGTATAACTGAAAAGTAATGCTAGCATAAGGACAAACTCTTACGAGTTTTTTTCTGTTTTAGCATTTCTAACAGGGATTAGGTGATCAAAACACTGGTGCTATAAAAAGATTGAGAACTTGAAAAAAATGGCAGAACATTGACAAAAAGTTCAAAATTTTTGTCAAGATTTATAATATTTTGAATAAAAGGAAAAATGTACCTTCAAGGCGTAACAGGCTTGATTCTGGAAGTTTTCATTTGCACAACTTACAGCCAGCCCCAACCAGGCTGTCAAATTTTTGGGGTCTAATTGAAGACATTTTCTTAAGGCACTGATAGCTTGCGGATCCTACAACAGAGTAAGGGAAAGATGGTGATACACAGTCTTTTATTACTGACTTATAAGGGCAATGAGTGCAAACAAAACAAACAAAAAAGCCGAATACCTGGAGCTTTAGGCTGAGTCAGTAGACTAATTAGAAGAATTTTTTCGAGAAAATCCCAAACGAATGACCAAACAAGCCGACTGTTTGCACTAACCAACATTTAGGAATATTTGCACTCCTGCAAAATAGCATAGATAGCATCTGGCATCAACTGTATATTAGTATCATATTTGCAGTCAGCCACACAGAAAATTGTTGTATAATCCATAAGCATATTTTCACTGAGATTGGAAGCAAATTTTCTACCGCAGTGAGTTTGCTCCATACCTGGGTGGCTGGTTTTGCCATGCAAAATTCCATCTCTGTCAAAAAGTGTTAATATAAATTTTCAATTCCAGAATATCATGGCTCGGGCTACAGCTAAAAGTTAAACAAAAGTAATTTTTGCCCTTCACGGCTCATTATCAACGCTATCAATTTTATGATTTAAGTAATATCATAAATTTCTAGTAAAAAATTGAAGGAGCTGAACGCATCCTACATAATTGCGGTAGATGTGTATTACTGTGTTTCTATTTTATTTACCATAAACACTGTGGGTCAGCTTAGCAACTAACGTCAAAGTTATATGAGCCTTTGGCTGTAATCAACGAAAACTTTATCTCATTCTCATATACTTAGGAACTGAGTTGCTACAAACCTGTTCGTTTTCCGCTTGAGTTGTTCCAAGTAATTGCCAAACTTGCGCATTTTCTGGCTGTTGTTGCGCTGCAGCTTCAAAGCACAAGACTGCTGAGGGTAGATCTCCAGCCTCAAGTTTCTTCTTCCCCTCCTCAAATGCGTCTTTATCATTGACTACCGGGTTTTCAGGCGCAAAAGTGTATTCCTTAAACACAAGGGAAAACTGTTTCTAGGAGAAGGATAAGAGTGGAAATGTGTTAGAGGGAAATGGTTAGTTGTGCACTGGGTATTGAGAGATGAGTATTTGAAAAGAGAAGTCTTTTTGATGAGGACAGAAGTGCCAGAAGTTCTGGCTTATGAAAGCAGTGACACAAAAACCGGTGTAGAAGAGACTATAGAACATGTGTTTACCTTTGCAATACCAGATGTACATGTTTTGCTAGAGCCATGCTTTTGAAGCAGAGAGATAAATTAAAATGCATTTCACGCTGACTGAAAGTAGAATTTTGGTATGGAGAGAGTTTAAGTACTTTCACTTTTTGGGTTTAAACGCATAAGTTGACCAACACTTGTTAGAAATAGAAGAAAAAGAATAAACAAAGCAAGAAAAGGCTTAGAGAAAGAAAATATAGAGGTAAAAAAGGGGGCCATACAGCTTTATCGAACAAACTTCTTTGTCAGAGAAAAGTCACATGCTATTTCTTTGTAACTTAAATAGGAAAAGAGTCACGCAAAAGATTATATGGAAATTAACTCCTGAACAAGAAAAAAGTTTTTACGATGAGCCACTAGGCAAGGTCTGAAAAAACTTTTGGGGAAAAGATGCCCCTGAAAATTCGCTTTTGATACATGAACCCAAAATAAGGAAGGGAAAGGTCAAATTTGCATCAACCTCTTTTCAGACCAAACTGGTGACAGCCATCCGATTTTTCAACAAAACTCTACAAAAATAACTCTTTAAAAAATTTCTGCTCCAAGCACTACAGCTTTTCTTTGTTTCATGGACGGTCGCATTTATCTTTTGTTATCCTAAATAGAAAAACGAATTACCTTGAATGAATTGAAATTAGTGAACTCCGAGTTCCAGGACTCAGATTCCTCCTCAACATTGAGCATTTTCTCCCATCGCTCACTGAGTTCTTTCCACAACTGTTGTGAGAATTTTTCATCACCTTGCTGTTTCGTGGACTGGAAATCTGGCGTAAATACAATGGAATACATAAAAATATTAATGAAGTTAATAAATGGATGAAGAAAATTCATTACTGCTTAACCCTCAGGGAAAATCTTCAAATTAAGATAAGCGATTGGAGAATCGGACAGGATCAGAGATCAAGCACTGGAACACACATTTAAATTCCAACTCCTGAGCATTGGAAGAAAATTTTATTTGATCAAAATGTAATCATCTGTCTTACAATTCAGGTTTTCTGCGATAAATGATTCTTATACTGCTTTTTTTTTGGGAAGCAAGAAGTTGGATTCGACCAATCTGAATGATAAAAAGAAAAAATGGCTTCTCATTTATAACAAATATTTACGTTTATGTCTATTCAACAGGTTCTGTGAAAAGATTTGATAGGGTGCCCTCTTTGATGACATGTTTTCATTAATTTCATATTTGATGTTCAGATACAAATGAACAAAGTTTATCAAGTCGCACCAAGTTGCACTGCGTTTGAATTGAGAAAAGAAGTTTTAAGTTTTATTTGCCATCAGACTTAATGTTAAGGACAAAGTTTAACAGCTGTTTTCACTATAGAAATAAGTATATCTGCTTGTCCTGGAATTTTTGGCGAAACAAAATTTGTGACTTGTTGAATTAAAAATTAGTCCTAAATGCGACTTGGTGCAACTTTGGAGAGCTCGGTCCAAATGAATGACTTCGTTTCCAATGTTCCTGCCCGACTCAGAAAAAAGTTTAGTTGTAGAAAAGTTGCTTCAACAGTTGTACACATCTTCAGAGGGAAGGCAAGAAGATAATAAACAGAACAAAATGGAGCTATGCAGCTCTGAAACATCTAGGGTTGTGTTTGTATATTTTAACCTTGTTTACCTATCTTGTTCTGTTTATTATAGAGTAATAGGTATTAGATAATAGATGGATCCTACAAAAAGTAGGTTAGAACATTTTCGAAAAGGTAAGGTGAAGACCATACAAAATGATAATTATTCACACCTGGATGTGCAGCGAAATCTTCAGACCATTCTCTACTGTCCTCAATAATTTGTTTATCTATGGAAGAGGAATTTTGTAAGTGCTCTTGCGACCACAAACTTGCTACTTCATTGCTATTTTCTAAACTGTTTTGTAAGTCGTGGTGTATAACAGCTCCATCTTGGACAGACACTCCGCCATCACCAATTTGTCGCATGAATTTCATGAACTGTGGGCAGAATCAGAAGGTTAAATCAATTTAGGACTAGAAAACTGATGTCCAATTACAGGAAGCAGAGTACCTTTTAAGATGAAATTACTTTTAACAATGTACCCTACCTAAATAAGATAATTGAATGACTAATTTACCATGTTTATAAATGAAAGCTTTAAATATAGTATAGTATAGTAGTATACTTTTTGTATTTTATGATTATATACATGACAGTTATGTGGCTCTTAGATAAAACAATTCTGCTAACAATCTTTATTTCAAGACGCTTTCTGACTTCTAGAGCTATATGAAGCTGCCTTTAATGCAAGCGCAATTTCAGCTGCATTTTTTGGCATGCTTGCTAGTATAATATAGCCAAATTCTTCCGGTGGTATTTTTTGAGAACATATAAAAAGCTTACACCTGCATTGTAAACATTGGTATAGGAGCTAAACACAATTCTGCGCCCTTTAAACTTAAGAGCTGAAACACTATGATGGTAAGAAAGAACTAAAACAAAGTAGCAGTACCTAGATGTGTTGAAAATTTTATAATTTTAAAGACAATTTTCTTAAAAATGGTGAAAATATTCACCAATCCTCATCCATTTCACTTGCTACATAGGATTGTCCGCTTTAGAACTAAGAGTCAATATTTTCTACAAGTATGTTCGGCACCTTCTCTGCAGGAAAATAATATAAAATAAGGAGGCAAATAATACAATCGTTCATTTATTACCTTAGAGTAAGTAAATTTTGAATCATCTAAGGCAGAGACCACTTCATTGGCAGTCTGTTGCAGCTCCGATTCGGTTCCGCTTTTTTCAACATATTCTTCAGAGGCAGATATATCAGGCAAAAATATTTCGTTTCTTGGGTCCTCTCTGAAATAGAAATACATACCAAATTAACTGTTTGTTTTCATGTAATATTCAGTTGTTCAAAAACAGAAAAGTTCTCCTTAGTAAATAGTACATGGAATGTTGTTTAATCCTAAGAATCACTCATGTTGAGGCTAAATATAAAATTAACTACAACTGTGTAACATAAAATACTCAAGTTGAGAGCAAAAATTAGGTAAAATTTTTGTTAAATTTTACTCAAATGATGTGATAAAAACTTAAAAAGTTGAAAGTGCCATTTTTACAGAAAAAATAACAGAGAGGATTTTCTAGCTTATTTTTATTGTTTGTTTAAGAATTTTTCTGTTTGAAAGTTGCCAGTTTTTTAATTTTTTTTTTTTAAACAGCAAACGTTACTAGGGCACCTTCTAGTTGCACACACTCACTGATTGTTATGTACATGCCTCCTGTCAACACTCAACGTTTGACATTTTAAGGCACATTTGTTTGCCTTAGTAAGGTTTCAAGGTAAACCGATCTTAAAACACCTGAGCAGTAATAAAAGCATTGTAAAAAATATTGAATGAAAATACACTGAAATGATGGGTTGGTGCACAGTACTTACAATTCATGTTGATTCTCTAAATAATCTTGAGCCCATGAGGGGCCAAAACCTAATTCTGAAACTTGATTGTTATTAGGTTTCCAAGGATCAGATGTCCATATTGAGTCTCTATTTACATCCTGAAAAAACCAAACATATTTTGCTAGAGAAACAATTTTTCACCGACAATTACAATCAATACAGTACTTGACAAAGTCTAAACTAGAATAAACCACCACATCGTCCAGGGATTTGAAGCGCCTCACGAGGTTATGCTGTACAGTATCGACTCGCAGAATCAGCATTAATGCTGTATGCCCAGGTAGCGGCCCTGCGGCCTGCGGGCATGCGGGGCCGCGCCTAATGCGTGCAACCCGCCTGATACATCTCTGAACTTCCAAGCTTCAAACAGTAGAACTTGAATCTGAGCATAAAAGCGCTCCTCTCAGGGTGTTACAGGAAAAGCTGACTACTGACCTGAAACTGTGATCCTGTTCCTAAAAACTGATCTTCCCAGGAAGCGGAGTCCTCTTGAAATGCAAGTTGTGAGACAGGGGCCGACTGGACTGGCCCAGTCACACCAGTCGAAGATGATTCTAAATCGCGCATCTCAGCTATCAAGGAGTCCATACGGAAAGTTGGAGAGTTGCTCATTGTCTCCTCGAAGAACTGCTGTATTAACTGAAATTGAAAAGGCAATAATTTCACAGAGAGAAAGTACAGCTTAGCAGAATTTGTGAAGTACAACTTAAAACTTGGTCACTTCACAGGACACAAGACAAAACCCAATATTTGAAATGCTTAATCGAAATGGTGAAATCATCAGATATTAAATGTACAGATACAGAAAATTTGAGGCCTTCCCAATTTGAAAATCACTTTTCTGCCAAATTTTCCAATCAAATCAATCAAGTTCCGATACCCGGATTATCGTTTTGTATAGTTCGTATTCTTTTGTTATATTCCGTGCCACTTGTTTATTTTTAATCCACGTAGAAAAACCACCCATTTGCAAATACAATTCTAGGTGAAGCGCACTTCAGCTATGCATTCACGACTGCAAAAATTTCAGAGGAAATCGACAAGCCCAGCGTGCATGGAGGCTATTTCCATTTAAATCTTCCGTCACATTCTTACGGCGCAATGATACAACTATTCGAACTCTCCGGAATGCGTGAGGTATCACGCCGCATTTGAAGGAATTTTCAAAACAGCTAAGTTCCGTTATCGGAATAATCGTTTTGCATGGTTCATATAATTTTGTTTCCATTTCTAACCACTTGTTTAATTATAATCCATATAAATTTCATGAAGGCAGGCCCGCCACAAGGGGGGGATACTGGGCCCCAGAGGGGCCCTGTGTTACCCGTGAAAAACCACTACGAATTCACATGCAACCCTTGTTTTGTAAGAAAAAGTGAAAAATTTACCCTAAAAATTTTGCAAAAGGTGAATAGATTTTCAGAAACACGCTGGGGCACTGTAGAATTCTTCTTAAATTTTCAAAGAAGTATACTTCTTGGAAAATTTCTATCAAAAAAAAAAAAAAAAAAAAAAAAAAAAAAAAAAAAAAAAAATATTGTACCGCAGAAATTGATGGAAAAATTCTTTATGGAAGCTTCAAAATGCATCCGATTAGTCGTATAAATTCTAAAATTTCTCGGGGGATGCCCCTCAGACCCCCCCCTCCATGCTTGGGGGCCGGACCTTAAAACTGGTACTAGGGCCCGAGATGGGATGTGGCGGGCCTGCCCCCTTCTTATCAAAACTCTATCTACTAAATCTCAAAAAATATTTGAAAATATATTGAATAAAAAAGCTTCTTAAATGCTGGTTGGAAATGAAGAGATAACAGTTACTTTACGTACTTCCTGTACAGCCAACTCTTCAAAATAATCAAAACCCTCCTTCATTTTCAACTGAACTGAGCAGACGGTAATTTTTAGAAAACCTCACAGCTCTTGCATATTTGACACGTACCTAAAAGCCTACACAAATTGTAACTGATTGTCATGGTAATAAAGTCCTGCTATGCATTGAAAAAATATCCATCAGGATATTGCCAAATCAACTATCAACTATCAACTTTTAATTGACATTGGTATATTTTTTATATCAACAAGAGAACATAGGATCTCACAATGAATTGGTCGAATGCTTACCTGCTCTGACTGAGTTGTGAAGCTGTCATCATGAGTGAACGGATGACGTACTCCTTCATCCTTTAAACTTTGATCCTGTACAAAATGCGACGTCAGCTTGACTACTGAGCTGTTTCGTCCACATTCTCCTTCTACTAAATCTCTGAGTGCCATTTTTTCTAACGAGGAATTCTTTTGCAAGAATCAACTAAATTAGAGACTGAAACAAGGGAAGAGCAAAATAGTGAAATTTGAGGAGATTGGTACTGACAAACAATTGGACAGCGTTTAGCTGAGAGGAACCAAGCCACATCAGCTAATGCCTAATTTAATGGGGCAATTTAATTTTTTACATGAAAACAGTTGTGCACATATTTGTGTAAATTTCAGGAAATTTTCTGCATAGTACAAAGCAAATTCCTGAAAATGTACGAAGGAATCCTCACAGGCGTTCTCTTGTAAAAAATTAAACTGCCCAATTAAATTTGGCAATAGCTGATGCAGTTTGGTTCCTTTCTGCTGAACGCAAGATGACAGTCTAGACTTAAATCTCATCCAGGTATACAATTCCTAGGAGCTGTGCCTTTTATCTGTCTCTGGCAAATGTGCAGAATGTTCTTCGGGACGAGAATAGGTCGCTATCAAGCTCAAAATTGCCTCATTTTCCTACAAGGTAGAAAGTTCAGTACAAGTTTAACCAACAAGTTTAACCAAAGACTTCAATTAGTCAACCAGTTCTCTGGGGTTTTTTCCCGCATTTATTGCTTCTCCTCCTTCCCTCCCCCTTGCATTTGAATCATTCATAAAGGAGGTGTCATAAGACAGACGATATCAATACGTTTTATTTAAGGGAGCATATATATAAAAATGTCTAGTTTCAAAAATTTGTGTCTACATTTTCGAAGGTCTCCATAGTCTGACGAAGATTAATTTTTCACCAAAACTGTAAACCATATTTCGGAGTTGCTTCCTAGTCTGTCAAGAGGTCACCTGCGGGCCAATTATTGAAATTTTAAAGCAGCCCGATAAGACATCGAATTGCGATATATTGCATGGTTAAGATAGGGCTATGTCTTGTCTTGTCGTGTCGGGCTGGCATAGTTTCAATGATTGGGCCGATGGGAATCGTTACATGATGCACAGAATATTTACGGAGAATAATTAGAAGTCAATTCATTAAACAGATAAAAAACAAATTGGACAAAAACTAAGGGGACCAGAGAGAATCATATAACCACATGAGCTACATAAATAGAGGTTGACTGACAGTCAGAGTAATAAGACATGAAATGGAAGACTGCATTTTGCAAATAGGAACCACAATATCTGTTTCTTGTTAAAAACAGCATAGGAGCTATTACTTTCCTTATGCAGATATGAGCTTTAAAGGATGAGCCTAAAATTGTAGTTCTTAATTGCAAAATGCAGTCCAAATGATTCATTGGCTTTGGAAAATTGGTTTGACCACACAGCCGTTCTACGGAAGAACGCTGTACGAACATTCGAGAGTTGCCAAATTTCCCGAGATAAAAAGTGTATTCTCAAAGGAAGATATGCATGATTTTCCTTGAAATTTTCATTTTAGTTTTAGAAAGCAGCGAGATCCTAAAAAACCCTAGTATGATCACTTACAATTAACTAGATACTTTTCATTCACTATCTATCAGGTTCTGTATTCGACGAATTTAAAAGTAAAACTCAGCTTACAAAATACTAGTTGCACAAGGCTTGTGAGCATAGCTATACGGCAAAACAATGACTTAGGGATGCAGTTAAAGACTTTGAACTGATAAAGTCATTCAAGTCAGAATGTTGTATGTTACACGACTGTTGGGCGTTAACATAAGCCTAAAGAAGATATTTGCTTACAGCTAAGTATGGTTGACTCCAATGAAGTACATTCTTGCCACAGCTGTCAATTAATTGGTAGGATTAAACTTAAAAGAACTTCATGACTTCGATGACAAATGTTAAACGATTGCATACTGATAACATGACGTACAACTGAAGTGTAGATTAATGAGGTTAAGACACGCAATTAGCTATGAGCAATGCAGAATTCAAGCAACTCAAAACAAAAAAGTATAAGCCACATTAGACTGAATTTTAATAAGAATGAGGAAAATGGGAACAATGATAATCGCGATGACACGCCAGAGGTGAGCAACAGACTAGGAATTTGTATTGTATCACATGCTATTGGTCCTCCACAACATTGCATCATGACATGAAGAAAGGGAAAAAGAGTGAACGGAAATGGATGATGACTAAAGGTGTGGAAGCGTTAAAATTGACTTACATGGCACTTGGGGCAAATCAGAAGGATAATCACGACTATTTAAGCGTGATACCCTGACAGCCTGACACTCCCGCAAGAGCAGCAAGCTCTCGGAGCTTTGCAAAGAATTGTCACGAAGTTGAAGGACGCTGTTACATCAATAGTAAATTGGAACACCTAAATAAGTTTATCAACAAAGCTTGATTAAACGGAAGAAAGTAAACGAATACTCGCGCACTTTAAAAAATGAACGAGAACGCGGCCACGATTGAAATTTTGGGAATTGATTATTCGCGGTGAGAATGTGATAAAAACGCGAACTTTGAACAGGAGAGAGAGGAAACACAGGTTAGAGCCAAAACTATGGCCAAGGTCTGTGGCCAAACAAACCCAAAATCAGGTTTCCGCTGTTGCCGGAGCTTGATAAGATTTGTTCGTAGCTAGCCGTCACGTGATTCGTCCGCCAAATTGAGGCGTGATTATGATTGGTTGGTTACAAGAGCTCCATAATCAATAGCCAATCAAAACATGAATTTTCAGCAGAGGACCACGTAGTCAAAATTTTTAATATTAGCATTTTTTATTCCATTCCGGCAACTCTTCCTCACTCGTGTGTTTCGAGATCGAGAGAACCGCCATCTTTTTCCTCGTCCTCCAAAATTTGCATCATCGTTTCGTGCCTGTGAATTGAGATTGCCGTGCGCGTGGGTACTTTATTTCTGATATTTGTGTTCTAAAAATAATCTATCGTATCGTAGTTTTTAGTTTGCAACCATGTCTTGCTATTTGCAAGTTGTTGAAGAGGAAGGTGATGAACCCATAGAATTACCAGCTGAGGAAGATGGAACTTTATTGCTCTCAACGCTATCAGCCCAGTTCCCCGGTACAAGTGGTTTGAAGTTCAAAACAGAGAACAAGACTACCCGAGGGGTTCGCCTGGTAGATGGCCGGCTCCATCCTCCAGACAATGGATGGGGTGACACTGTTTACTACTGCGTCTTTCCGAAAGGTAAGTGAAAAACCCATTCGATACCATCAGTGCCTAATGAGGTACAATGTATAACATTCTTCAGAACATTGTACAGGAACTCCCTCTCATTAGGTATTTTGCCACCAATTCAACATCTCTAATCCATCGTGGAGATCCCTTATGTGCTCTTTATACCAACAAGTCTCATCACAAAGCTTTCCTAATTGCACTTTGATGTACTCTTCAAGTCAATAGACCCACATGGTGAGCTTATTATTGTTCTTATCAAAATCTTGTCAAAGGCTAGAGTTAACTTAAACATTAGAAGCCGATCTCAGTAAACATAAGCACAGAGATGTCAATGCTACCTACAGAGATCGTTTATTTACTAGAGTTTGTGCATTGTGTGCTGAGACGAACGTCAATCTCTGATCAGCTCTGAATTAGCACCACTCAACAGGTCTATATGTGCTGTCAGATGGTACCTCTGGTGAGTGGTGACATAATCAATACTTTGACGTTTGTCTCAACATCTGATACGTGAGCTCTATGGCGTACGGATTTTACTGAATTTTGTAAGATGAACCCATCAAATGCGCCAGTGACAGGCTCAGGATTTGCCTATCGAGAAGCAAAGTTTTCAAACCAAGTACACCCAATTCCATTTTACTCCTCTGCTCACTCAATTTAAATCGATAGTCTGAACAATTTCTAATGATCACATAGTGATCGGTGAGCATGTCGGGCAGTCATTTGTACTGATAAATGTCAGCAAGAATAAGTTACTTATATTGGAGCCCAGCAATGCTGACAGTTATTATGTTTTCAATCTTTGTTTACCTTAAGAGCGCGGATCATATAGAGACCACAGTCAAATGATTTTCTATCAACACTCATTAATGGTAGCTCGTAATTGTAATGAGAGGTACCGATTTGAGGCCAACGTTAGATTTACTTTGATCCCATTATTTGAAGAATGACTGTAGGTCATTTTATGCCGGTGAACTAGGGTTGCATCAATTGAACCTCAAATTTCTGTGTCTCCTACCCTCATCTGGCAGAGCTCATTGGAGGGACATATTTTTCCATGGGTAGGAGAAGTTTTTATATCAGTTGTCATGCTGCATAGTTTTGTGACAGAGGTACCTGACTCTAAAATAAATTTTATCTGTATTGTGGGCTCTATCCAGCTACCAGTAGGCCAATTATCGAGGTCTTAAGCAGCCTGATGGCATTCTAATGCAATAAATTACATGGTTAAAAAAATGGCTGTGTCTTGTTCTGCTGCACTGACATAATTTCTGTAGTTGGGCCGCAGAATGGCCAGCGTGAGTCAGTGAAATTCACTTCAAATGAATCTGCAGACTTATGAGGAATGTCATCTGAATCATCATAATTACCTTCACACAATTCCGTTTCTAAAAAGATTAATAAAGTCAACTTTGTGTTTTTTCGGCCCTGGAGCAGAGAACAAGAGAAAATCAGACGACCATCTGGAGAATTCGACAGCCAAGACAAAGCGGATGGAGACCAAAATGAAATGCTCTGATCTCATCATCCTAGGCCTCCCTTGGAAGACAACCGAAGAGCAATTGAAGGAGTATTTTGAAACATTTGGTGAAGTCTTGATGGTGCAGGTTAGCCTCATTTAGTACCTTTTCATATTGAATGTATTTTTGATTCATTGTCATGTAGTGGTTTCACCATCTGCTCTGTAAAAGAAAAGAATAGGTTTGTAATTCTATGAAGTTCCCCTCAGCTCCTTTAAAACCTATTAAGTAAATTTTTCCTTTTGCTAAAGTGAAAAATATATTTTTCTTTAGTTTAACCCATTCGCATGTATTGATGAGTATAAGTATAGTTGTCATGGCGTGCCCAGAACAAATATGCATTGACAAGTCATCTCGTGGCGTTGCTGGGCGATCGTTTTTGTCACGTTTTAATTAATAACTAACCTAAATTAATCCTAGTGATTTTCTTTTCATGTGGAGCAAAACATTATTGGAATTGAAAAACATAATTTTATTTCTAGGCGTGACAGACAAATTATTAATTGCATGCGAATGGTTTAAGGATTCCACTGACAATTCCAAAGGTTTTGGTTATGTGTTTGATTTTACTCAATAAAAGGTTTATTTAGACTGAATTACAGTATCATCGATCACCAAACTACTTCCTTGAAGTGATCCGGTTTATTTTGCTGACATCATTGCCACTAAAGCTACTATCGGAGGATTTGGTACCATAGATCACCTCCATCTTTTATCGGATCTGACCAGAAGATTCTTTGGTAGAATCCGCAGGTCTGCAGGTGGTAAAACGCAACCTCCAACTCATTAATATTGATAAGTAATAGCTGATCTAAGTCTGTGATTTTCTCCAAAGGCGACTGATAGACCCACACCGGTGGCTTTGGTGATCAGCAAAAGAAAACCTTTGTTCTCAATTGATGCTTTTGTGTATTAATAATCATTCAAATGGCAGTGTATAATGGGGAAGTCCTTTTGAGTGTTAGGCAATGACTTGTGCACGTGGAAATAGAAGAAATACACCTCTAATTTCTGATTGTAGGTAAAGAAAGACAATAATTCTGGGCAGTCAAAAGGATATGGCTTCATACGATTTGCTAATCATGAGTCTCAAATTCGTGTTCTTGCTCAACGACACATGATAGATGGACGTTGGTGTGATGTAAAAGTCCCAAACTCTAAGGTAATTCACATCTCTATCTCTTTCTTATTACACTTTGCCTTCATTTTTCCCTGAAATTTTTCATGTTAAACATTTGAAAATACCTATTTTTTTTGTCTGAGTTTTTTAAAGGACCCCACTCATCCCTTATGAGGCTTGAACTCGCCTGTTGCTCCTGATCAAAAGTTGTAATTGACTACTAGACGAGGTGTGAATTTGAGAATTTTGATGTATGTTTTCTCATCAAAGTTTGATAAGATTGGGTTTCATTTAATAATGAAGAGCAGAGCAGAAATGCAAGGTGACTTCGGTGCATATAAAATTTGATTTAGTTTCACTATTTTAAGATAACTCCTGTCGAATAAAATTTGATTTAGTTTCACTATTTTAAGATAACTCCTGTCGAATGAAAGTCAGTTCCATAAATTGGCCAAATTTTGACCAGTCGTTTATTCCGCAGCACTATCCTTAAACTGTCTCAAAAATCTATCATGTAGAAAGGACAAAAAGTAAGAAGACAACAGCCGTATTTTGCAAAAGTTTTCTTAAAGAAAACATAGACCTTAAAAATAAGTTGGGCCTGGTGGAAAACCAAAAGCGTGTAATGAATCATAAAGAATCTCACCTCTTTGAACTCTGCTCCGTTTGACGGCTCACTCAACCCACCAAGGGGAGCCCTGCCTTTGAAGAAATTTTTCAGGGTCCCAAGAGCGAATAAAAAGTGAATCATTTTGAATGAGTGCATATTTTTTTTATTAGCCACCCATCTATGAAGCTGCTCCCTGTAGGATGTCCTACATCTATCCTTTGAGAGCACCAGTTCAATTGGGAATTTGTAAGAACAGATTTTTGTGCTTAACACATGTCTCCTGCCTCTATCTATTTCTCCTTTAGTCTCAACTTGGACTTTTGGGTTTACGTCCTGTTCAAGATTTTTACTGTATCTTGAATTTTACAAACATTTTACTGTTTCCTTTCTCTATCATTTGATTTTTTGTGTTTATCATCCAGGGTGCTGGTTCTCAAGTTCCAAGCAAAGTTTTTGTCGGTAGGTGTACTGAGGACATTTCTGCTGATGATTTGAGGGACTATTTCTCAAAGTACGGAGAAGTGACTGATGTATTTATTCCTAAACCATTCAGAGCATTTGCTTTTGTGACATTTTTGGATCCAGAAATCGCTCAACACCTCTGTGGTGAAGACCATATCATCAAGGGTGTTTCTGTTCACATATCAGAAGCTGCTCCCAAGACAGACGCCAACGCGCGCAACAACCAATACCAAAGTGGCAACAATCAAAGGAACTTTGGGAACCGTAATGATAACAAAAGCGGTTACGGCAGCGGTGGCGGTGGCTACCAGCCAAACAACGGAGGTGGCAATCAAATCTGGCAAGGAGCGCCGGGTAGAGGTAATCTTGACATGCCTAACTTGCAAGCTCTTGGTATTAACGGCCAAGGAAATCAGAATGGGCCTGGGGTTGGGTCCAACATGCCGAATCCCCTCCAATCCAATCCTTTAAATTCTGTCCCCATCAACCCTGTTCTAGTAGCTGCTGCATTGAACCAGGCTACAAACTGGGCATTCACTCATCTACAGAACTCGCAGAACTCGAATGATGGTGGGTTTCCCAATTCGAACGGGCCCAATTTTGGTGGGCAAGGCCCTCCTGCTGGCGGCACTTTTCTCAACTGGATGAACCAGGGCCCAGCAGGTGGGAACAGAGGCCCAGATAATGGGCCCCAAGGTCAGCCAAACAATCAGGGCAACAACTCAAATCCTGGGCCAAATCAGCAAGGCTCCTGGAATAATAAGCAAGCAGATGGGAATAATTTCATGTAAAACTGCACTGTCTCATTTGTTATGCCTTTCGTTTGACTTTGTTGGTGAAGTTTATCATATCCATATGCAAATGGTGTTTACGCACCTTTTTTTCTCTCGGTGCAAAGGTCACTTTTTAATTGAATTGTTTTTGCCTCCCTCCGTGGAAGTGAAGCCTGTGTGTGCTCCTTCTTTGGAGTTGCTTTATTAGCTGCCTGCACAGAGAGTATTCACAAATTTATTATTTTTTGTTCATCTTAGTTTAACTCTGACTTCTGCTGGTCCTGTCTCTAAAACTCAGAACCCTTGTGACAGTGATTCCTCTTTTCCGCTGACTGCATAATTATCTATGCAATTCTGTGTTTCAAATTTTGTTTAGTTGAGAGAACTCTATTTTTTTACTGTATTTTTTCGTGAAAATTGTTTTAAGTGCAGTTGAATAGTCAGTAATTCCTGCCGCATTGAATCAAAGATACTTTTCCTGAGGACTGTGGAACGCCAAAGTTCACTCTTCGTAAATGCTGGCCTATAATGAAAGCAGTAATAAAAGACTGATAGTAGTTATGCCTTTGCTAATGCTCGTGCAGAATAGATTGGCTGGGTTTTTCCTTTCCATACGGATTAGATAGCACCGCAGTCGTCCAAAAACGATCAAGGATTGAGCAAGGAATCGGTTACCATAAACAGACATGTAAAATGGTCTGTTCTTTGCGGAAGGCCAGGTAATGAACTGCCACTTCATGTGGGTGAATTATATTACTCCTTTCTCTTTCTTTCTCAATGAAGCATGTCACTTCGATGAAAATAGACGCAATGATTCATTGAACAACAACAATGCTTCTTGACCTCCTGTCATCTAGTGAAAGAAAGAGACTGGCGTTGAGAATCCTCTGTTTCTCAAACATTTCAGCTGTTTTTTTTTTTTCGGCCAGTGCCTACAAGATGTGTCTGCAATGGTCCTCTTTTTAATTATAATTTTTAAATTTAAACTAGGCATCCATTATTTTCGCTTCTGTCACAGACTTTTTTCCCTCATAGATGTGGCTGCTGTTTAATGTACTTGCCTCTCATTAAGACGGGTGTAAGGTTCCTCAATAAGTATCATGGATTAATACGGACTGATTTTTATAATATATGAATAATAAGGAGTGATAGAAATGTAGGTAACTAGGAAATCCTTGAACAGAGACTTAGAGAGAAATGATTTTTGTAACCTCTACCCAATATCCTGTTTAGCTATGCGTTTATTATGGAAAGAGAATACAAATATTTTAAGAAGCTGGAGGAAAACTTGGGGCAAAATCATTAACTTTAGAAATGACTAGGATTGTGGGTAGTTTTGTTTTCTATCCCCCTCCCTCTTCCCACCGATTAATTCTCCATTAGTTTATGCATTAGATGGATCACTTATGCTTTTGGAAAACTAAGACCTAAAAATCGTTCAAGGGTTCAAGGAAAGCTTATTAATTGCGGGTTTTAATTTTTTCCCCTCCCCCTTTTGTTGAAGGTTATTCAGAAAGACTAAAGAAGGAATTTTTGAACGGCATTTCTTACAGAATAATGCACGAACGCATGTAGTTCTGTTTGTTCTCTTTCTATAATTTCTTTAGTTCTTATCCTCTTGTGTTTTCAGGCCCGGTCCAGTTTTTAGTGTTCAAATACACATTGGTATAATGATTTGCCATCTTTATTAGCTGAAGAGGTTAAAACTCTTCAGTCCTTTTTTTGTCTATTGCTTCTGGGGCCTCTTTTTAATTTTGATAACTTTCCAGACCATCACATTCTATCCTTATGAATTAGTCATTGCTTTTGGGGAGGTATTTTTATCTTCATATTGAAAATTACAACATCAGGCTTTGCTTTTGACGCAAGTTTATGCACCACCTCTCATGTATAGAAGCCATGGTTTAGCTCAACCATTCTAGTCTCCTTTTTTTGGAATTTACCTTTGAATTGTTACAAAAGTGTTTTAGTATTGGTCTTCGCAAAACTGGCCAATTTAACTGGTCGTTTATCAAGACTGCTTTTCGATGACCCCCAAAGAGAATGCCACGAGTGGTGCAGAGACAAAACTTCATTTGAATCTACAACTCATCGGAAAACCTCACTCGTTTTTTTTTACTTTTAAATGTAATTTTCATCACCGTAAAGATAATTGATTTCCAAGATCAATTATTTGGTTAATGTAGTCAACCACCATAACCTTTAAATCTTTATCCTAGAGCTTACAAAGGTTTACGAAATGGGTGCTTAAATTTTTTATCAACTTGAGTTAAATGTCTTTAATTTTTTTTTGTTCACCTCACATCACCAAATAACACATTAATTTCTTTATCGTATCTGTCCGAATATTTTTGCTGTTGAGTTTTACTCTACCATGATATTTTAAATTAGGTCCAAGTGGATCTGATCTTCTTTGTTTTGTTATTTACTCCTGAGTGGAGGATTAAATGACATGCCCAGCTTTTCAGGGCCCTACCAGGGAGTATTTCCCCATCATTTCTTGCAAGGACTCAAATTTTCAAGAGGAAAAACTCGCCAGTTAAATTTCTGAACAATATTCATAACTCTCCTGAAAATTGAAGGTTTTATCAGAGGAAATTCTGGACTTACAAATATTCTTACAGCATTCTTATTTAGTATGGCAGAACTATGTGCAGGAGAAAACTTGGGATCAGGATCAATGAACGTTAGCAGGATTTTTATCCTCACTGCATTTGCATTGGGCAGAAAGGTGGTATTTGACAATTTTTTTAGCTGTTTGATAATTTCTGCACCAGATGCGCTCTATTCATAGAAGCTGAGAAAAATGTTTTTCGGCAAGCGTCAATGTGCATTAACCCCAATATGTCTAAAGCACAGTTCATAAGATATTTTGTCTGCTAACTAAGTTAATTAAAAATTCCCATCTGACATGTTAGTCGTTCCATATTCTGAAGTGTTTGCATGTAACCTGCACAACATCAAAGGTTGTTGAAGTCTCTGCTGATGTTCGCTCTTTTCTGAAGCTAAGACGGACCTTGATATTTTTTATCTAACTAGATTTTTTTTGGCTTACAGTCCCCTTTGCTAAGAACGTTGCTAAGAAAGAGTCTCTGGTCTGGCCCTGGTCAGACAATACGAAATAGAACGGAGTATACTATGATCAAGTCTGATTGTGTGTGTGTGGTGAGTGTGGTTGATGGTTGCCGGAAGGAACAGATTATGATCCAATGTTGTATTTGATTATGAAATCTTCAGAATGGAAAAAACTTCAATTCATCGCTACTTTTTTATTTCTCTCTTGTATTTTTTTCCATAATGTGTTTGCGTTTAACATTGTAAATAAGATTAGTTCAAGTGTTTGGTGTATGATAGGTTTATTGTATTTGAATTCATTGGTAAATTTGTCTGCATCCAGAAAGCAGCAGTGTGAAGTCAAATCTCCAGGTAGCCTTTTAACAGCTTAGCATCACCTTTTGCCCAACTCCATGATTCATGTATTTAATTTTTCTTTTTATTTATTCCTTTTAATTTTCTTTGAGTCTTCTCAAAACTTGACAAAGTGGAGCTGCAATTTAACTTGCCATAATTTTCCAGACAAATCCTACGGGTTCCTGATTTTTGCTTCAATTTTTTTTGCAAGTCCATCCACAGCAGGTCCCTCTCTTCCAACCCTCTTCAATATTTCATCCAAGTGAAGTTTAAAAGTGTAGAAATCGTATGGATTCTTGAAGGAGTATGTTTTTATGCCATAGAATCATTCAACTTATGATTGTAATGTTTTTTGTCTTTTCGAGCTGATCAGAAATACTCCTAACAGGTTTTTCTGGAGATTTATGAGTTTAAGGTTTGTAAGTGATGAGAACCTCTGATTCCTTTTCATCTTGGTAATCCCTTAACCCAACTTTTCTGACTTTAAAATGAATTCTTCAGTAGGGTTTAACTGCGAAATACATTCAAGCTTTAGATGACTGATGCTTCCAGGCATTCCTGAAAGTGGTTGTAAAACTCAGGTTTCTGAACACCCCTTTTAAATGCAGTGGTGTCGCTGTGATGAAACTTTTTTCATGATTGAAATGAGACTTGTCGAAATTTCTTCAAATCATTTGGCCTCTAATTATTCAGATAGATGGTTTGAAATTGAACAGATTCTTGTTTCAGTATTGTATTTTAAAGAATGACTCATGCTCAGAGATGAGTGAAACTATGTGGCTCTGGATCAATCGCCAAATTATATGACATTGTGATGCCTTATGAAAAACTTGTAACATAACTTCGTTCCCAAAATGGTCGCTGGTCAATCAAGATGAATGGTCGTCATTCATCTTTGTTCCATGATTCATGTATTACATGTATTTCTTATCGATGAGACCAGTTTGTAAAATACTCAGGTACTAACTTGATTGAAAATTTCATATTCGTATTTTCCACCAAATAATATATTGATCACTGCGATAAAAAAAATGTGACAGTTAAAGAAATGTTCTCATTCTTTGTCAAATTTTAAGTATCAAAAACAGGAACAAGATCCTACATCACAGCCAGTTAAGCCTTCCCTAAAAAAAAAGGCGATCAAGAAATCTACTTACTAACAAGAAAAGTTTGTGAATTTTTATTCTGAACAAATATCTAATTGGACACTAGCAAATAAGGGTTGACACATTAGCATACCATCATAAAATACTACCACTTTGCTTGGATCAGAGCAGTACTTGTGAATTTTCAGTATGCCTGAGGAATCTTTTCTTAGGCCACCTGATTCTCTATATTCTCTCAAAAACAGATCTAACAGTTTCGCCCATGTTCAGTCACTACTGTTTGAAGTTAGCTTTTATTTTGGTGTTAAAAGCCACTTAGTCCTACTAAAGTTACAGTGTATGTAATATTCTGTATGTATTCTGAGAGGATTTTGAATGGCAGAATGTATCATGTACCATCTGCTGGGAGTTCAAATGATAGCACTGTCTCTGTTTTGGGGGGGACTGAGTTTCTTGATGAGGGTTGAGTCCACGTCCAATAAGTTAACGCGTTATTAAACTGTGACAGAAGATCCACCATCTTGATTCTTGCAGTTACTTGAAGTACATACTTCTTGCATCTACTCATAGAAACGCTAAAGTGGTGTCACTGGATCTTCTGTTGTAGTCCAAAGGTGTACAAACTTATATGGCGAGGACCCTGGAACACGAACCTGAGGCTGCGTTGTATGGAATTCCCAATTGTGTATATTATCAGTGAATGTATTTGATGTAACTAGTGTGCAAGTTATTTGAGTATGTGTTTTTGTGTATCTTCTGTATGTCCACTGTTTGTATGCAAGCTCTTATTTGTTTTAAGTTTTGAAAAAACGAAAAAATAAAGTGTTGATAACCTGATTCAAAGAGATGTGGTTGTGTTATTTTTCTGTATCTTTGAGTATTCCGACGGATGCTTGTAGTCTGCCGTGAGTGGTCAGCAAAGTATGTTACCTAGTTTATCCTTCTCACTCTCCTCAAACTGTTAGCATTTCAATGAATGGTAGCTCTGCAGACGGCAATTCACTCCGTCTTGCTCATTTTGATTTATGGTCTGTCAAATATTACTCTCTTGCAGGAGAATGCGATGAAGTGCAGAGGAAAGCATCTGTTTAAAATTATTAATAACTCTCTCTGTAAAAGGTTTTAGCAATTAATGTCAGCAGACTGTTGGTAGTTAGCTAAGCTTCGACCATGGAAAGAGTTGTGTCCCAAAATTGAAAAAAATCCCCAACTTTTGATAGGCACTGTGCCCTCGACAGCATCTTCTGAAACATCCACAATAGATTGTGGTTTTTCTTTGATGCACCAGGTCGCAGCGTTGCAATTTTTTGAGTGAAAAGGTTTCTAATCTCATAACCTTTCTATTTTTCAACCGATTGAAATGAAGTTTTTTCCTTTTAAATACCCTAAAAAAGATTGCTAATGGTTTAGAAGGAATGTAATTTCTCTCTGCACTGAGAGTGGCATTTCTGCAGTCTTCATATTTTTTTAAATGGCAAAATTTATTTTAATTTCTCTACAAGTTTCAATTTGATGGAACTTGAACAAAAATCAATCTAAATAAAGGTTCATTTTTCTACCTTTCTGATGAGCACAAGACTATCCCAGGAAATTAGGAACGTTGCAACTCAGCAACTCAAGCTAATACATTAATGATGTCAGGCACCCTACCGACCTATGTAATAAATTAAATGAAATGAGACTTTAGTGCACAAATTTTACAGCTTGCAGTGTTTTCTGTGCTGGGGTACATATTTAGGTAACCTTGATTTAACATTGACTGGTTAGTATCTCAGAGACCAGACACTTTCTTAGGTAGAAATATTAAACATCATTTGTTATGTTATTTGATCAAGTTCTATTAACTCAAGATACTTCTAGGGAAATTAAATTAAAATGTAGTAACTGCAAACAATGATACAACCGTGGAAGTGTAACCCTGTACAAAGCAAAATAACTCACATATCATCAATAATTATTTTTAATATTTAAGTTTAGGGAAAAGTTCATTGAAATCCGTCGAAAATAGTTCCGTAACGATTTATTTAAGGCTTTTGCTTCAAAAATTGGCAATATCACGACCTGATTTCCTTATTCAGTGAAATCAATTTAATTTTGTACCAATGAAATTACAGAGGCCTGAGATAGAGATTTCAATACCCATCCAATTATCTAGAGCATCGAGGTGGAATGTTGAGAACACATAATAGCAGCAAAGAAATAATTATCTATTTGAAGATGAATACTTCTTTGGTGAAAAATAATCTAGTCTTGAAAGGTGCTAGTTTTACTTACTCACTAACTTTGCTTGAAATTCACAAGGAACTTTAAATCATTTGCTGCCATACTTTAGTTCCCCTTGATCATTTATGGAGAACTGACATTGTTTGAACAAAATTTCAATTTTTCATTAATCAGAACCAGTGTTGTAGTGAGATTGCAGGTAAATACCTGGGATTTTACTTGAAATAAGAGAAAAATCCAGGGAAGTTTCCAAAAATTGATGTCGAGTAGTTTGCCATTTAAAAAATCAAGTACGACAAGAAATCTGTAATGTTGCAAACCAAGGTACTGTGCTTTGGGAGTTTCATAGTGGTCATGAGGAATAGGATGCATGAGAAAGAAGAAAAATATCAAATAACATTGACAATTGGCGCATGGTAAAAATTCTGAATGAGTAGCAGGGTTAATACGAAGTGTGCCAAATACATCCGGGTATGTACAGATGTTCGGCCAGGCGAACAACCAGATATTTGTGTGAGTTTCCTGGAGAGAGAGTGCTGAGTTGTGTAATCAGTTGCTAGGTTCCCAGACCCTTTCAAATCGTCATTGATAATCATAAGATAAAAATAAAATGTGCTTAAGCCAAAGAAAGGAAAGCTACTCCACATTAAACAAAGGAAATGTCAGGAGATAAAAAAAAAAAAAAAACAGTTTCAAGTTCATTTCTGTAGTTTTTCATTGGCAAGTGTGAAGCCTCTTTGTTTTAAAACTTCTTAAAATAATATCAACCTTGATGCTTAAGTAAAACTGCATTACTGAAAAGCATAGCAACATTTCTCATTCAAGAAAGGAAGGTCTCAGAATTAGACAATAAAAACTAGGTATTTTTGGCACTTTATGATCATCGTTGAGGATACTGATCCTAGGCCATGTTAACAGAAACAGCTGCTCATCTAATACAGTGGTTTTCATCCATGTAGTACATTTATGCGCTTCTTACAATCAACGCCTACAAAAACTTAAGGTTTACCTACAGGTCAGAGAACAGAAAAATCATTACTTGAAAGTTAGTGAAAATAAAAGCACTTCAACTCAGCAGCTTTGAAACTCCCAATCTTTGATTGTTAAAAATGGTTCATCTATTTAAAGCGTCTTTGCACACTTGCCCCCGGGCTTTGAAAAGCTTTTCCTCACTCTGATTTCTTCATCCACTGTGCAGTTTTTTGTATCTCTCAAACATTTGCATCTTGCGGAGTCAATGTGTTCTTGTTCAAGTGGATTCAAGTGCAAAGATGCACTTGGCTGTTTTGAGTGATTTGGGCTAATGTTTTCGCCTGAATGCCAGAAACAGATGAAGATGGATTCATTGCCAATGAATATATCCAATGAGCTTGAGTTTCAAAGGTGTAAGATTTTATTCATAATTACTCTCTTCCAAGCGGCCGATCTGAACGAGTTCACAGGAGTGGGTGGCTAAAAAAAAACAACTGGTATCGATGGTAAATAATTGTCCACAAGTTAAACAGGAAATTTCATGAAAAAGACTGGATACTTTTCAATGAGTAGTTTGAGTTTTCTCTCATTAATATAGCTTTTTCAATATTTTATGTGCTCCTCGAATTTTCCTCTTTTTAAAGAAAAATTTCTCAGATTTTAAACATTTTATTTCCAAGTATCCAAGTTGTGTCATAATGTCTGCATCTGAGAAAAATGCCTCATACCCAGGTAATGTTTGACTAGAAGCGAAGGGAAAATGCTTCTCATTAGCTGGTGGAGCACTTTGAAGTCAGGTATAGGTACGCTGCCTAACAGAACGCCTTCGTCCAACTAAGGTAGAGGGTCGCAAAGAAGAACACAAAAACTAACCCACCAACAATGCCTTTTGATTTCAATTTAATCCTATGTAAATCCCCCATCAAACTTGATTATTTACACCCACCATAAATCCTTGCTCCCAAAATTGGAATATTAAGAATCCAAAAGAAGATGACGCTTGTCGAAAATGCACTGAGTGGAAACTTACTTTCTTCATTATCCAGAACAAAATTTCCTGTGCCTTTTAATTGTATAAATCCGAATTACAATGTGTTACTCTGTTAGAAAAAAAACAATTGCGCATATTTTTTTCTTCTTGCAGATCGTTATGGCTACTGAGGCATTTGAGCAGATTTTATGGATGTAAAAATGGTCAATTGGACGCACCATTGAAGCAAAAAGAGATAGACTATTAGTGCCTGGAATTTTGATGTTATGGGTGAGTTATAAGTTTTTTTAGTGGACCATAAGTAAGGCGTTTGCTCTTTCTTTGCATTTCTCAGCTCTCATACATACACCCTCTGTAATATTCCAACTTTGGATGTCACTTCAACCTATAAAACGTTTATTAAAAAAAGTACCAACAGCAACTGACCCCCCACTGGTGTTGTACGATCATTGCAAGGTTAAATGGACTGCAAGATAAGGTGCAAATTTAAGCATTCTAATATATGCTTCTTAACAAAAATTTTAAGTAGAAAACGATTCGTGCTAGAAAAATTACAGAAATCTAATCCTAACTAGAACATAAATATTTTTAGTTTACATTGATTATGGAGTTCCCCGCTTACAAGAAACAACAGTCTACTTGAATGCAATCGCAGACTATAACGGTTTTAGTGAGCTTCTTACTTGAGCAATGTTCCTTCACCGCCTTGTGTTGTTCCAAGTGTCAACCCCGTGCAACAGCTGACAATGAGCCAAAGCACCGAGATCGAGGTTGCCATATTTTCATACCGCAGAGACTGTCATGGTAACATGCAAAGTGCGATTTGAGTCATTTTACCTTTTATTTATGAGCAGGAAGTTAGTCTTCATGCAGTAAAAAAAAACGTTAATATCTTTGTCAGGAGTTACTTTCGGTAATTAATCGTAAGACCGCCAGAGAGACCTAAGTAATACATAATTTCTTATTGCCATGTGTTAGTTGAAAGAAATCTACCTGTAATGATAAATGCATAACTGAACTGTATGTAAATTTACCATACCTCACGGAAAAAGAACCAAATATTTTCCATTGTAATGAGGGTTGACTGTTTCTCTCAGTTCCTATTTTCTCATCATCATCCATTTCCACTTTGAAACACCTACGTTTAGCTCTCTTAATTTTGAAAAACTGTTTCATTTTCTGTTTCAGCCAGTTACAAAGTCAAGAGTCATTTGGCCTGTTGGGAGATAAATCAAACTCTAGCTCTGACCACTGAATCTTTTTGTGAAAAATGTGTATTCTGCTCTTCCAGGATATTTACATTTTCGATAATAGTGTAAGTTGCACTTCAATTCTATTCTAAACTCTCAACGAAAGAAATTTAATGGTCTGAAAGAGAAAATATGTCAAAAATCAATCGAATTTTCAACATTATGAAAACTAGGTAGTGCAGTCAACCCCTGTCAAATCTAACACTGCATTAGACAAATTCTCCTTTAAGGCAAATTTTTGCATCGTTCCGTCAAATACTCATTAAGCTAACATTAATGAACTGCGAGCAAAGTAGCATCCCCTTAACACAAACAAATATACCCGTTCAGAAGTTTTTCTCTCTCATCTAACTATTTCGACTACATCAGCCAGAACCTAAGAGAGGGGGCTTATGAATATCTATGGCCGAAGTGCAAAACAACGTATCCCCGTTTGCAACGTTGCAGATTTCCTGTCATACTTTACTTTTTCTTCGGAAAACTATTCTGTGTAATTTCGGGAAGTCTTCCTTGGATATCCTTCTATGTCAGCAAAATATTCTATATAAATTTCAAGCTATTAAGTTGGTTTGTTTTTCTTCGAAAAAGTAAAATAGGAGCGGAAATTTTGAAACATTTGTTGCAACGGAGGGACGTAGTTTGGAACTCAGGCCATCGATATTATCTTTTCTGCTAAAAATTTCAGACAACTAGTACTGTGGTTATTGTGCACCTATATGCTTGCAATCCTTTCAACATGTTTGCACTCTCTTTTCCTTCTGTAAAACTTTTTTTTTCTTTTAATTAAGCATTTTATGACCTTGTAAAAGAAATTACAATGGAGGACTTCCACTACCTAATGTTATTTTAAAATTCTTACATCTTTGTTACAGATTTCTTATCCAGCCGGAAACAAAAAAAAGGAGAAAAGGATATACTGCTCATATTTTCAATTCGAAGCTGTCACGTTAGCACCTAAGTAATGCACTGAAATACTGATGAAAAATCCTTCACGGTATTATTTTTGTTAATTAATTTTTTAATTAAATGATCTTCAAGCAGAGTACATGAATTCATGACTCCTATTGATATTTTATTGTTATTCTAGTCAGTAAAAATGTTTTGTAAGGGGACTTTATTTTTCTTTAAGATTATTTGCTATGACTTGCCCTATAAAGTGATAAAGACTGCAAAATGAATGCTTCATTGTGGTATGATCTGTCAGTCAAATAACTTTGTTTCAAAACGTTTTCACATAATTTATGAGATACTTTTGTAATAATTCCATTTGTGGAGTTCGTTGGGATTGAGACTGATATTCTGAAATATTTTTTTTATCACTCTACTTATTAAATTTTTTTATTTTTTGGTGAAAATGATGACTTTTCGTTGTTGGGAGAAAGATAACTTTTTTTCAGTAAAAGGTATTTTGATACAATGTATTATATTTTTAAGGTAAAGTTTTTATATTTGTAAAAAAGCTGCGAAGACTGATGTAAAAATAGAAATATTACAAATGAATAATGTTGAATTGAAAGTTGTTATCTATTTGTTTTAACTTGTGACCAGTTGTGTGTAATTATACTGAAAGGAGCATTAAAATCAAACCCTTTGCACATACTTCCTTTCAACATAAATAAAACCAATCATACCTGTCATTGCAGAATCAATTTTGGTTTTATGGTTATTAGTACCTCTAAAATTTGGATAGGAACTGACCGACAAGTAGACTCTGTTGACATACTATATAGTTTTAATTAGGCAAATTACACATTTTTACAATTATTCTTCTCTCAATTCTTTATTTTGTTTTTTCAACAGAGAGGCTCTGCAGAAACTTTACACTAGAAATAAATAATCTATGTGCAGTTCATTTATGTAAAAGACATTCAAAATAATGTCATGACTGTCAGAAAATTCTGAGAGAAGTCTGCACAAAGTAACGGGGTAATCACGGAAGTGATCACACTTCTGTTTATTAAACAGAAAATATTCCTACACAATTCATAAAATTGACCATGTGACCAATTAACGACTGGTCAAAAATACTCAGCCAGGCGTATGAAGTTTTTTGCCCTTTAGGCAAACATCCTGCATCGTTCAATACAGTAAGGTGCATGGCGTTTATTCTAATAAAAAGGAAATTTAAGCTGAACTTGGATGAAAATGATGCTCTCACTCGCCCCTTCTGAAAGTGAGCAATGATAATTCAATGTTCCTTACATCAGTAGATCATGAGATAAAAATTACACTTTGATTGTCATTGACTTCTGGCCATCCTTGATTAGAGCATCTCTCCTACTCTTGGCAGAATACGAGGCAAAGAATTTGCCCAAAGGTGTTCCTCGTTGCCGCATGTTTAGTTCCCAGGCTCTGATTTTCTTCTCTTCATTGAGAGGTATAGCTGCTTTTCGCCTTTCAGTGTCTATGAACTTACTATTCTCGTTGATTTTCTCTAGCAGTTGCTTCAATTTCCTTACATAGTGTGAATTAGTGCAAGATTTGGTGAATTTTTTTATCTGAAAAAAAAAAAAAAAACAACTTTGTCAATATTCTGTCATGCCACAATTAGAATGATTCTAACAGGTACATGCATTTTTGCAAGAACAAAGAAAATTTGAATTTTTTTGGAATGCAAATTTGACATCTATGATAATTTGTTCAATATTTTGTTTACATGTGGTGAAGCTTCTTTTCAGCTAACGTAATAACTTTAACAGTAAGTTGGTCCTTCAATAAAGTAACAGGCATAGTGAATGGAAAAGATTACAGAGAAAATAGGTTGTAGTGGTTTTTAAATATTATTATTATTATTATTCATCCAAAACCACTTTGCTGTTTTATAATCAAAAGTATGCATTTCAAGCTGTAGAAAAAAACTCTTGGTTGGATGAAAAATTTTTAGATCCTTGCATCTATTGTCACATACTTCAAAGGGAATTTTTATTTTTTCTTTTCTTTTTTTTTTCTTTTTCTGTAATTGAAATTGTGGATCGCAGCCTTTTCACAGAAACCCATCCCAAATTCTCAATGGGAACCTTTCATCATAATCAGATCTTGTTCATTCCCCTGGCCAAAATCCTAGCCTTGAATCCTTGCCAAATATTCTAGGCAATAGTGATGGTCATTACCAGAGTTAACACTCGTTGAAATTAATATTCGATAACAACAGAAATAAAATAAAAATGATCGATACCTGTAAATTGGCAAACACAACTAAATCTGGAAAGCTCTGGCGATAAGATTCGCCACTGAGGTATTCCAATGTGCAACTATAAATCAAATCCATGATTGCATCTTTAAAAGCATTCTCTGCTAGCTGCTGCTTTGAGACTGTGAGAACACATGTTAGTGTCATTGGTTTCATTGAAACAACTTTATTCCTCTTGTTGAAATCGTAATTGTTCAGAACCTTGAAATCAAGAAAAAGATGGATTAAAAATTGGAAATCATCACATGCAAAGTTCAGTAAATTATCGTCAATAAGAGGTAGGTTTGGTGTCTGAGAATGATCAGGGGTTTTTCTTTCTTTCTTGTCTTCTTGGAAATTCTTTAAAATCTTGGAACATTAAAAGAGACCCCTCCCTTCACCAAATTGGTACTTTTCATAGAAAAACAAGAAGACGCATGAAAATTTTCAACTGAATCACCGCATGGACGCAGAAAGTTCAATTACGTGCAACTCTAGCTGCGATCCAATGGTTTCTGCCACACAGCAAAAATGTTTAAATTTCAATAGACCAATAGAGTAGGAGTACCTCAAGGATGAGAGGAAGTACAGGAATGAACACCCCAGTTTCAGTGGACAGTTTTGTCAACATGCGAATCAACTTGAATCTCAAAGGATAGTATTTAGCAGCAGGCACTAACTTGATGCATCCAATAATGATCTGGGAACAAATGAAATTGATGATGATCAATGGTAATTATTCTACACAAACTAATGAATTGCGCAAGGATCACAAGTAAGAAAAATCGGCATTTTATCATTGTTATCACATTAGCATTTTTAGAAGATAGGTACATTTGAAGAAAGGCACTTTTGAGTAGAGGAGCAGAAGGAGAGAACCCATATTACTTGGTGAGAACGGTCCAGCTTGGTTTTAGGATTTTCCGGGAAAATGTATTTTAATGTTCAGGTATCCAAAGCCCATCTCCTTGTCTTATAGACACTGTCAACCTGCCACATTTACTTATTATCCTAGAGTAAATGGATGTATTCCCTCCTCAAGGACTTTGTAAGTATACTTATTTAAAAGCATTTACCTTTCTAAGTTCCAATTTGATCTGATGAGAAAGATGGCACTGGAAAGAGGTGGATGGACATTAATTCCTAAATTTTTCTTAAATTCACCTTCGATAGAAATTATTTTTACCATTTGGTAACTTCTGTATTTCAATATGATGATTAGGACTTACCTGGATCAATGGGTACTGAAGAGAATGTAACTTTTCTTTATCCTGAGCTGAAACCAGAAGATCTACCCATAGATTGAGTGAAGATACGTACTGCCAATTATAAACTGCTTGAATGCTTTCCTGAAATCAAACGGGATTTCTTAAGTTTCAGATTGGAAAATCTAAACGGCTATAACTTTCATTCCAGGGTTTTAAGTATTTAAGTTTTCTTACTGTTTGATGTTTGTGACATTCGGTTCAGAATTTTTAAATACATACAAGGACACAAAACTTTTTGAAGGAAAGGATTGCAATTCTAAGATCTTCATAAATTAAGACAAATAGAAATCAGTAATCGCTGAATTGTCATGCTATGAATGTAAAAATAGGTATATTTTGGCTCGAGTCTCAATCAGCTAAGAATAGCAAGGACTTCAAGACTGTTACAATAATATTTAAGATCCTTTTTCATTAAGTGGCAGTTTAGACTTAACGGTCAAACTTAATACATACAAGACCAAATGAAACAGAGACAAAATCGAAACTAACTGCTTTAATTATTGGTTTAATATGAGACATTGCTTTAGAAGAGGCTATGATATTTATCAGATAACTAACCTTGGAATTGACTGTGACTGCATTTCTGAGATGAATGGCAAGTTGTCGAATGTACAGAAAACCATGGTGATATGCAATAGTTTCGTCTAAACCAAACAATTCTGCCAGAGACTTCCTCATAAACTGAATTGAGCCCATTGTGGTTGGTGACATAAATTTGCAATTGGCAACATAACTGATGTACATCCTCTGTAAATAAACAAAACGAACTTATGTCACTTTCAGGAAACTTGTAAATATAGCGCTGTGTGGTTGTTAACACTTTGTTGTGCATTAAATTCGCGCCACTTCTTCTGAGAGCACTATTAGATGATTACTAATGAGACCGAAAGGCTGACAAATTGACATGTACCACCCATCTCCAGTACATTTAGCTCTTGCAGTGAGTCCTACTCTCTCCCATGTTTTTTTTCTGGATGGGGAGGGAGATAATTTCACATGGCCTAAGTCTTTGTACATATCCTTTCACCACGATAGCAAAAGTTGCGCAAGTTATGACTCAAAATGCCTGTGTATGTGAATTTATGACCATATGAGCTGAAAAAGCTTGCTTTGGAAAGCTAATGAAATGATCTTAACGCTCGTACAACCGGCATATGTTTAGTTTATCTGTTTGCTCGTCCAAAAGTTGATGACAAAACTTTTACTTGTTCACTCATTCAAGAGTTAGTAAGAAGACTATTGGGACACTTTACGTAGACTTCATGACTAAATTATTTCTGTAAAATTATATTTCAATTTGTTTAAAAATATGTCTTACAATTATCATTCAAAAGACTCTTGAGTAGAAAAGGTTGACTATATGAAAATCAATTCTGCTTTAAATTAGGTACCCTAATAACAAAATAATATCAGGAGGGTCCATCGAGAAACAAAAGGTTAATTAAGTTTCGCTGGAGTCCTGAAATTAAATATCCCACAAATATCCACCTCCAAAATTTTTTATAGGTATGAAAAACTGTTTGTATCAAAAACCCTTTCCAAGCCCAGCAGGCAATGTAATCAAGGACAAGAAAAATATTTTTTCCCATCACAACATAGAATCCCCTCATTTTTGTGACAGTGCATTTAAAAGAGAGTACATACCTTAAGCATTCCCTCAAGAAGAGGGTGCATCAATTGTGCTAGGCGAAGGAGACAAACAAATGCTATGACCCTGATTGTTTCAGAGCTTGTGGACCACAAGCTGACCAGTCTGCGCAGTAACTTCTTGAAGATCATTGTTTTTAAATGCACAGAGACAACAAAGACCAGTAACTGGTGAAGGTGCTTCAGCAAAACACAAACTATGTTTTCGGAAGATACTGCTCCAATTAACTGAAAAAAAAAGATGAAAAAATCATTAGGCTTGCACAAAGAGAGATAAAGAGTTGGAAAATAGCAGCTGCATATTACAAAAGATTTGTAATCACTTAGTGATGGACCACTACCGAGATACAAATTTGAGGGTCCAGATACATGTTTCTTCTTCAAAATTTCTTGTGGAACTTGATGTGTGCAACGGAAATTTATGGAACTAACTTCCAAACAAGATATTAACGTTTCCATTCAGCACTGGTTATAATAATTTGAACTCCTCGCTCACATGAAAATTGCAGTATACATTAATCAGATCGCACAGTACAACGGTTTTGAAAGGCTTCTCAAGAGGCTGTGTTTCTTCCCCACTCTGTGATGTTTAAAGTATGAAAAAATTCAAAAGCTGAGCCACAGCAGGACTGAGGTTGCTACAATTTCATCCACTAGAAACTGTTACACTTACGATTAGTGTGCAACTTCACTCAAGTAGATCATGGTTTCTTTTATGAACGGGAGGTTTGAATTTGTGTCCAAAAACGTTGATATCTTGGTTTGGAATTACTTTTAATGATTTTTGTTGCACACATCGAGTTTTTCAAGAAAATTTTGATGAGGAAACATAGATCATAATTCTTAAATTCACACTTTGACCGGTGATACATTAGTTTTGAGGAAATAGCTACAGCCATGAGATCTCTACAGTCTGATAAAAGGAAAATGGATGGATGAATTTTGAAAATATATTTACTCCACATTATCTTTTTCTTATGATACTTTTGAGCCTAAGTGATTTAACTTTCGAGGTCTCTTTTGGTTCTTGATAATTTTGATTGAAGTGAAGTATTCCAGGTTACTTTCATTCCTGCACACTTCCTCTACCCAGATTTTCTCATTTGCCTATTTTTACACTACATAGCTACTGATTTTTCTTAAGATAAACTATTGCAGCTTACAAGCTTGTTTTGAGCTGTTCAATTGGTTGAAAAGAATTTAACTCAGTAATCAACTAGTGTGTTTGACATAAATACTTTTGGTTGTTGTAAAATAGTAACACATTATAATTTTAACATACCTCAATTAATCCTAAAGCATACTTTTTAATGGGATTCCTGATTTTCAAAAACTTTTTGTTGTGCTCAAGCATGTTTTGAGTTAATCTGCCTTTGATACCCATGAAACGAACAAGTGCAGGTTGAAGGTCGACTACACACAACTGAATGACCCCATTGAATACTAGAAGAAGACAAAAAAATACAAATGAAAAAAACCAATTTCAATTAAAACAAAAGACAGAGTCAGCAAGCTTTTTGAAAGTGATGTAAGATATGTCATCTTTCTTTTTAAATTGCAAGTAAACAAGTATCAGATAGTCGATCTTCTGTCAGAACTCAATAATCAACCGCTATTGTGCTATTGGTCAAAAGAACATCCTCTGAGATTGGCCATCCAAAAAAACATAAGTTCATTTTCTGCATGAATCTGGTCAAGAGAGTTTAATTTTTGAGCCATTGTTAAGTACCTACAAAAAATAAGTAACACAGAAACAGTAACATACCAGCACCCCCATCAACGCGGTATCTCATATTGCTTCTGCTGTCCTCTGGTTTGACTCTTTGTAGCGCTGCTTGGAATGCATTCATGACTCTTACTAATGTCCGGTAACATCTGAAAAAAGATATTTAGTGATAAAGATTATAGAAAGAGAGTACAATTTGACAGTGACAATGCTTCCTACCATGGAAAAACGGACTAGTGGAAAATTGACACTTGACATTTTACTTTTAAAAAGCCAAATTGCAAAACTTTCATTGGTGAATTAATCTTCCTGTCACATTTGAAACTATAGAGGAGGATACATTACTCTCTACCCTCTCACTGTTTAATTATTATTATTATTATTATTATTTTTTTTTTTTTTTTTTTTTTTTTTTTTTTTTTTTTATGGCGATTTTGAATCAATTGACATTTTAAAAATGCATTTCATCAGCGTATATATGACTTTCAGTGAAGCAAAAATTGTTTCTGGCAAACTGGAAGACAGGATTGTTTTTTCTTAAGTTTTATGACTTACTTTGATTTCCTTCGAAATGAGGAGGTTCAATAATTTGAAATAAAGATAGTAAGACTTACTTATCGTTGGATCGAAGCTTTTGCTGCCAGTGTTCAATAAGACTCTGGGTGACAATTGTACGGCCTTTGCCATCTTTTATCTTCTTTTTTGGTGCGTCATCTTCAAAATCACTCTCTTCACTGTCAACCTAGGATAAAGAACGGAGTTATTGATGAGTTAAAAGATGCAGATGCAAGGGTAAGAGTTTAACTTTCAACATTAAATTACCTCACACATTTATTTCCGAAGAAGAATTTTACTTGATCTTAATTTACTGCCACATTGGGAATAGTTGATCAATGATAATTCCTAGAATCTATGGCCAAGTCTTGGCTTTTAAGTTTAATTTTCCATTCTAGATATCATCAAACAGCCATATAGACATATTTCTAGACAGAATCTGACTTTAAATTTACTAGACGTAAAAGCCAAAGGACAAATGTGAGGTTGTTTTCCAAAAAGAATCTGGCTTTCATTTTCCTAAATTTTGACAATTGTTTAGTTGAGAATGATTTTTTAGGTTGCTAAAAATGTAAACTTTGCCGAGAGTTTTTACTTAATCCATGCAATACATCATATGGCAGTGGACCATACCAGAAACTGTGATGTGAAATTCAAATGAATTGCAACCTTTGAAAAGAAATCTTACATCTTGAGTCTTGTCATTTTTGGCATCAGCATCCTCATCATCTACATCTTCTTCATCATCATCCTTTTCATCCTCATCAGAAAACACAAGCAAGTTTTTGTCATGTTCTTCCAAAAATTTATAAAACTCTGGGTCCGTTTGTTCTAGTTTCTTTAAAGACTTCTTGTGATTTGACAACGTTTGCTCTCCTTCATTTTCTGATGCCTCACCAGCGTTATCATCAACTTCAGATCCTGTTTCCATTTCGGATTCATTGTCACCTGGAAAAAAAAATTGGGTGGACTTCTGTTAACATCATTCAATTTGAGATCAAGAAGTTTTGATAGTTTTCAACAATCTGAGATGATTGGTAAAAGCAGGGACATCATTTAACCAAAACTAAGGGGGGCAAATGACATATTTTCCTTGTCAAAATAAGAAATAGCATCAGTACCTAAGAAAATACAGGGTGATCCAAAAGTCCCTTCCACCCCCTCTAACTTTTTACCTAATTGAGGTAAAGATTTGAAACTTGGGGGATATTCCTAGGTCAAAGGGAGCTACTTTTTGGCCCCCTAAAATTTTCAGGGGGGCCCCCCTTGGGGGGCAACGACCCCCAACTTTTAATTTTCAAATGGGAAGACCCCCTTTGTGATAGCTCGTTCGAAAGAGCATAAAAAAAGAAAACTTTTCGCGCAAACCCGAAGTCAATATCTTAAACCGTTTCAAAATGGCGGCCGGTTAAAGTTCAAAATGGCCGAAAATTCACACCGGTTATTTGTCGATGGATTTGTGCGAAAATCAATACGTAGGGGTATGTTGACATGAGAAAAACGAATTTGACGTTAGATTTTCAAAAAAACCGAAATTTCCAAAATGGCCGCCGGTTAAAGTTCAAAATGACCAAAAATTGATTTTTTTAGAAATCTAAGTTCAAATTTGTTTGTCTTATGCCATAATACTCTCAAATTTCAAGTTTTAGGCAAATCCATCAGCAAAAAACCGAGGTGACAATTTTCGGTCATTTAAAACTTTAACCGGTGGCCATTTTGGAAATTTCGGTTTTTTTGAAAATCTAACGTCAAATTCGTTTTTCTCGTGTCAAAATACCCCTATGTACCGATTTTCGCGCAAATCCATCGGCAAATAACCGGTGTGAATTTTCGGCCATTTTGAACTTTAACCGGCCGCCATTTTGAAACGGTTTGAGATATTGACTTCCGGTTTGCGCGAAAAGTTTTCTTTTTTTATGCTCTTTCGAACGAGCTATCACAAAGGGGGTCTTCCCATTTGAAAATTAAAAGTTGGGGGTCGTTGCCCCCCAAGGGGGGCTCCCCTGAAAATTTTAGGGGGGCCAAAAAGTAGCTCCCTTTGACCTAGGAATGTCCCTCAAGTTTCAAATCTTTACCTCAATTAGGTAAAAAGTTAGAGGGGGTGGAAGGGACTTTTGGATCACCCTGTAGATAAATAGCATGGTGAGGACATGGAAGGTTAATTTTAAAAATTTCATTTCTTTAAGGCCTCTTGAAAAAACCGGGGAGGGATGGGGAGGAAATGCCCCCCCCCATCTCCAAATGACACCACTAGATATAAATGAATACCCTTGGCTAACATTACCCAAATAAAGGCCTCTTCTCTTGTGCATTCTTAAAAATTTGATTTGAAGGAGGAAGTAATGTCATTTGATAGAAGCTTAGGACGTCTGTGTTACATATGACGATGACTGAAGTCATTTGACAGATTTTAAATAAATGAATCTTTGCCTTGATCGACAATTTTCCAGACTAAGTTCTGTTTAGTTGAATGTTATCAGATATTTACATGATATTGCCTGCTTGTAGAAGGGTTTACTTGGAGAGAGCATGGACCTATAATTTTGAGTGACAAACTCTTATAATCAAATCATGAAACATTCAGCAATTTCTAAAACCGTCTTGCAAACTCTAGTAAAGACATGGAGTCGTTTGAACATGAGACAATGTTACAAAGTCTCTTGAATATTTCAGGATTAGTTCTACAAGAGTCTTCCAAAATCAGTGAAATAAAAGTTTAGAAAGCCCTCATACTGTAACGAATTATATAAGCCACTCAATAAAGAAAATAACGCCATGATTTGAGATGTCCGCTGGACCTACTGTGGTCTTGTGCAACACAGCTTTAAAAAATGCTATTTTTGATGACCTGTCACAGTACTAGTTGTTGATGGGATATATCAACAAAATGAGAACCTCAAGGCAGTTAAAACTTTTGTTTTGCTTTAATAACAGGGAAAATACCAAAACATAATGTTTGCTCTCTAAGGCCGCGAAGGCAGCATGGCCAGCAGACAAACTAGTTTAATGTTAGCCCTGTTACGATGTTAAGAAAGGACAATTGAAAGCAGAAATAATTGACGAGGTTTCCTAAATTTAAAAAGTAATTCACACAAAAAAAAAACTAATTTAGAGAACAATTAGCATAAAAACTTACTACACGTGCTCATGTTGACATCCTCTGACACTACCATTTTTCTAACCTCAAAATTCCAACGCGATTCGATATATCGCAAAATTAAATATCACAACAGCATAACATAACCTAATTCTGCAACCATTTGTTTATTTCGGAAATTTATTGGAAATTTGAAAATTTCCAATGTTATCAACAAAATTTGTTAAATTTTCTCGAAGCAAAATCATCCATGGTGTGAATTACTTAGTTGTGCAGTGAGCTGGCCAGTCTCTATCTGTTAAATTTGTCGTAGAAAAATAAGTTTATGAATTAATTGCCATGTCTCAACTTGTGTGATAACCATGCTGTGTTTTACAAAAACTGAATTCTTACTCCCGTGATTTCTCAATTTTTTGTGTTTTTATGGCATTCTGGAGGCTGCGATATGGCCTCCAAAATCCTGTCATATCAGATTATTAGACGGTTTTCTTCAGCATGTCAAGCGGGGCATGCCGAACCAATAGTCATCAGAGGTATTGAGTACCCAAGAGATAGCTTCACCAATGTAACTCCCAAGATTTTGTCCTTTATTGGGAAAAATAAGCATAATCAAGAGAAGCATCCTCTGTGCTTGTTGAAGAAACGGATCACCAATTACTTCTATACCAGATTTGCAGGCAGGACCGGGAATCCCATTTTCTCCATGTATGATAGCATCCATCCAGTTGTGACTGTTCATGAGAATTTTGATTCCCTGTTAATTCCTAAAGATCATGTGAGCAGAAGTAAGTCTGACTGCTATTACATCAATGAGAAGAATCTGCTCCGAGCCCATACAACTGCTCATCAATCTGAGTTGATATCTATGGGGCTTGACAATTTTGTTGTTTTCGGAGACACCTACAGACGGGATGAAATTGATTCCTCTCATTATCCTGTCTTTCACCAAGCTGATTCTGTCCGGCTGTGCAATCAAAATCAGGTAACTCATCAATGAAGACTAACCATAGGTACTATCACTAGGGTAGAATACCTGATCTTTCATTTGAAAGAAACTGTGAATCCTGTTTGTAACAACAATGATCTCCAAGAATATGTACCATTTCTGTCAGGGATGCTGGTTCAGCCCTAGTCTGAAATTGATTTTGCTCTCAAAATATGTTGACTCTGCTGTACATTATCACCATAATTTATTTTTTTATCTTGCTGATGTAATACCATTCAGTGGACAGTGTCACTTTATGTCAACATCAATTTTTTGGTGCTTAAGAGCAACAGATTTTAGTATTCTTTGCTTTTTACTTTGTTATGCTCAAAATTCTTGAAGTATCTTTTGTTTAAAAAAAGAGTGAACATAAGTTGTTTTGGTAGGATTATAGTTAGCGTCGTTGGTACATTTCTCTTCTCTAGGTCCTTTGATTTGTAGGTCATGGATTGGAATTTTGCTATTTTTTTTTCCTTTTCAGCTCTGTATGCGGATACAAAATGAAATAGAGGTATTTGAGAAAAAACCAACAGAAGAATTTTCTTACAAGCAGCCTGAGCACACACTTGACGCCTCCAAAGTGGTTGAACAAGAGCTTAAAGCTTTTCTAATTGGTCTAACAGAGCATTTATTCGGAAAAGGTTTGATCTTATTTTATCCTAGTATTTCTGGTTTCAAATTGAGGCTCATTGCACAAAGTCAAACCTCCAATAAACGGATGTATTAATATTGCGGTGTTAAGAAACTCACTTTTACAGGATTACTGTAGAAACTCATAAAATTAGGTTAGTTTCTTTTTTTACCTAATTTTGCTCGCAGCATTCCCCTTCAAACAGGAAATGTAGCCATACTACTCTAATACACCAAACAGCGTTGCTGATTTTGAGAGTAAGTATTTTAATTGTAAGGAAAATTAGCAGCATGAGTTGATTTTTGAGGAGGTTTTACCTACTGGGCCCTCCTGCCCCCTCACTATGATCTTGAATTTTCATAGATATCTAGAATCAATACAGTCTCTATGTGTCATTCAGTATCTTCAAAACTCACAAATTGATGGTAAAAATATCAAACCATAGATCTTGATTGTGGTGTTGCCGCTCTAATTTTTTATTCTTTAAGAGCATACTGTGCCTCATTTTTACATGACATTTTCATAAACTATTTTCTGAAGTATAAGGAAAAATCCAAAATAGTTTTGTTGCAAAAACGATGAGCAAGCCTTCTTCAGTAAAATTAAATGTGACAGGAGGTTTATGACGTCACAAACTGAGGTAGGTAGTTTAGTACTTTCACCATCAATATATCTTACTGTCCTTTCCTTTTTTTTTCAGGAATACAATACAAATGGACAGATTCCTATTTTCCTTTTACACATCCCTCGTGGGAGTTAGAAATTTATTTTAAAGATTCCTGGTTAGAACTACTAGGATGTGGTTTAATAAGACATCAGATACTGAAAAATGGTAGGTTTTTCAATAATTTTTGAGTGATGAAATGGAAAGATTCTGCAATTAATATCTTCTCTCTTATTGCAACCTCTATTTATAAACCCTATCAAAGCTTTTGGAATGTTCAGTTTTTCCCCTCTTCTTAAAAATCAATTTACAGAAAGAGAAAATAGAAAGTGTATATTTTCAGTTACCTTTCTTGCTTTTCTAAAAGTTAAAGATTTCATAATTTGGGCCGTGTTCTCCTGATTTCCACAAACTGAGCCTTTAATAATTTTGTTAATAGGTTATAAGCAGCTTAAATTATCGAAATGGGTGACAAGATAAGGTCTGAACTAGGAGAGAACGTCACCTGTTTCCTCTTCAAATTCCTGAACAAGATATTAAAGTATTTTGAACACAGATCAAATGGAAGTTATCATACAAATTACATCATTTGTACCTCTACCATTTAACAAATGTGAATTGTAAACACCTATATCTCGTTGAGGGGTTGATTTCCAAACTTCCCATTGTGTAATTGAGGACACCGCACCAAGAACAGCCTGTAGGCGTATAGGTCGTTATTACGCCCATCTGCTTTTCGGATTCTACGTACCCTGGACTATGCTGTGGTAGCAATAGAATATAGATAGGTAACGGCTCGAGGTTGAAAACCCTTTTTTTCCGGAGTTAAGTCAGGCCTCTGGATCGATGGGTGCAAGAACGACCTATACGCGCGGCCTTATCATTCTCGGTTCGCGGGCATCGGCGCGGCGCGGCGCGGCGATAGTGATGGCTCGATTTTTTTATCTCATTTTATAAGGATTCGTTTTTATTTTAAAAGCGAGCTATTGAAATAATTTATTCTCCTCTCAAACTATCCATCCCTCCAAAAATATATACTTCGCATATTGCCACCAAAATGACTGTTGGGCGTAATACGGGCCCATAAACTTAAGGGCCTGTAAGGTGCTAGTTACCCCTTTCTTTACTCACTATCGATATTCTTTCATTTTGCGTTAATCATGCGTGATTAAAATGATTTATACTTCATATTGCCACCAAAATGACTGTTGGGCGTAATAAATGGCCTATACCTAAACCGCTTTTTTAAATTAAATATATTAGAGTGTAAACCCAAAATGTATCGCAAAATCTACCCGGCATCCTTCAATAGAAGGGTTAGGTCACCCAAAAACACCAAAACAGGGTACCTGCATAGAAAAGTCTGCGCAGTACATCAAAAACAAAACTTTAAATGCGTCTTTCTCAAAACGCGGTTTCCAGTTATAGGCTGTTCTTGGTGCGGTGTCCTCAATTTGTTTACCTGGTGAAATTTTGAAGAGGAAACTTGCTACGCAGTGCTTCAATTCATACCTCCCCTTTCAACACTTCAATTTCATTACTTTTATGGATGATTAGCCCTATTAAGTTTTCACATAATTATTTGAATGAAAAATTTTGAAAAAGGATTCTTGCATTCCGTGGAGCCTCAATTGGATACTGTATCATTCTAAACTTTTCCTTGTTCATGCATTCATTTAAAGAAGGGGAAACCCATTATGTATAGATAGTGTATTCTAAAGAGCCGTTTTTCTCAAAATTCTCATTCACTCAGTTGACGGAATCTTGTACAGGAAGCAATCCTCAGCAGCACTAACTGTTAATTTTGGACCTGAAATTTTTTTAAAAAAAATAATTGTTAAAACAGGTTCACAAATTGAAAAGCAGGAATGAAATATGTTAAAATGTATAAATTGAGAAACCTTTCTTGTTCTTTTCAGGTAAAATTTATAAGAAATTTATGCTAAAAAAAATTTTGAAAAATAATTGTCTTTAAAATTTTGTTAAATTCTAAAAATCACCTCTATTGATGCTGAACACAGATTAAGCTGTACAATATGCAACTTAAAAAACCAACATTTTGGGTAAAATTAACAAAAACAAAGTGATGAAAATTTGTCAAAGTGCAAGATGGCATTTCAACGCAAAAAAGAATAAAAAGGGTATCTTAAATCCTAACTCGCAAGTTTAAGTTTTTTTTTTTTAATTAATTTACGATTTTTTTTAAAAAAAATTTTAAGTGGCCAATGCTACCAAGGTATGGTTTATTGTAGGTTAATTTATTTTTAACCCACCATCTAGGAATATTTTTTGCTGAAATACTTTCCTTTCTTCCTGCAGTTGGCGCTGGAGATCGAATCGGTTGGGCATTTGGCCTGGGCCTAGAGAGGCTTGCCATGGCACTTTATTCAATTCCTGATATAAGGCTGTTCTGGAGTGAGGATCCTGGCTTCCTGTGTCAGTTTGATGTAGAAGATGTTAATAAAAATGTGACCTATAAGGTGCGTTTGCTTATACCTTTTTCCTATGCAAAGCAGTCCTAGCAGTTACAGTGCACTTTGCACAAAGCAAGGTTTTATTACCTATCTGAAACACTGAAAAAAGTAACAAAAGCTGTCAGTGAAGAAACTTTCCGCATTTTTCTCAAAATAAAAAATATCTGAAATTAGTATATACCTAGCCTATTGACAAATCATAAGTGACAAAAACTAATCAACAAGCATTTATGAAAGTTTACTTTTAGACTTTGTAAGGAAGCAGTTAAAATATGAATCTTTTCTAATTTTTCATCAAAATTAAAAATAAGTTGTTGAGAAAGTGCTGATTTTGCTCTTCCTGAGGTCTCTATCAAACTTCATGTAGACTTTGAATATTGTATAATAACTCTCGAAATTTTGATGGAAGTCTTTTCCCTTGAGATAACCTACCTCCTGTAGTTGGCCATTCGCAAAAAGCAAATAATTTTTCTTGATGATCTGAGAATTTTTTTGCATGCATCTAATTTATAAAATCGAAAATTTGACAGAAAATTGGATTACATTTTGCAAACAGGAACCAGGAGTATTCCAGTGTCACTAAGATTGCGCAATTTTGTTTACCTTGCAAGTATAAATTTATCATCTAAACAAGTTTTACACTCCCAATAATCTATGACTGCAAGACAAAACTTACCTTGGTAAATTTAATTTCTTGTAAGATTTCAAAAATTGTTTGAAAAGGATGTAAGTTGCACAATCCTAGCAACATTGGAATGCTCTTGATTCCTTTTTGCAAAATGCAATCTAATTACAATGTAAAATAATTAAAATTATTTAGTATAAATTAATATAAGTGCTTCGTGAAATTACTTCATCTCCATATTTTGTCATAATGCTTAATTTTTTTTTTTTTTTTTTTTTTCAGCCGGTCAGTGAATATCCTCCATGCATTAACGACATCAGCTTTTGGCTACCAGAGACCCAAGAATACTCTTCAAATGATTTTTATGACCTGGTGCGATCTGTAGGTGGAGACTTGATTGAACAGGTATGAATTATTAATTGGACAACATTTTGTAATTAGGATTTAGAATTTGTGGCTCATCCATAGAAACACGATGTCTAAATAGAAACTAATGGTGTATACGTTATTTTCAAACTGAGCCAGAAATTTTAGTTTCTAATTGCTAAACGCAGTCTACTCGGACAACCTGCATAATCTAAGGTAAATTCACAGGAAGTTTCAAGGCATTACCTAGGTGAGCTTGTTTTTTTTTTAAAAAAAAAAAAAACATTGAGAAAGAAAGTTATGCAATGTGAATACAGTCAGGCTGATTCTGCTTTAATTCATTTAAGTGATTCTTCAAGCTCGTTGGGCCTTTGATAACTTTAATCTCTTATTATTATCTCTGCATTTTTCTGAGAGAGCGAGTAAGTATAGAAAAGAAAAAAAAGTGATCTACAGCTGTAGCTAACTTTCCTCTCAAAGGAAAGTGAGGTATTTATCTAAATTGATTTGCTCTTCATACTTTTACCAAACTTTATTTCAAAAAAATTTTAGATGAGAGGGAAGCTGAGGAAATAAAATGAATTAAACAAATTTTTGTGTATGTACTCACTTGCTTTAGAATTTATTGTATAGGGATGCTTTTTGAAGCTATAGCTCCTTCCTCAGTTGGCAGGGAACTCCGTTTGCTACCGGATACAGTAAATATAATAATAAAAAATAAAAAAATAAATTCCAGTGCATGTGAAAAATTGTTTAATTCATTTAATTCAACCATGACTTGAAATTGCCCCAAGAAAAAGTTTATCATTAGGCTAAGGAAACATCCTGAAAAAAAGGTTTAATGTAAGGGTGTTTCAGCTTAATATTTTGAAGCAGAATTCCTCATGTATCACTCAAGTCCTTACACTGAAGACATTAACGGTGTTTTATTTGCAAGGTATTTTACTCTTGAAGACTGTTTGATTGACTCTGCTTTTTTTTAAATTACATGGAAAGTTTTAAATTACTAGGGGGCTACGCCCCCTGGCCGCTACGCGGCCCAACCCCCTGAAGGCGCTCCGCGCTATCAACCTATTTTTACCCTCCTATCAGTGTTAGTTTTATTTTTCCCCTAAAAAAATACGATATGAGGTATACTTTAATTTTAAACTTTACTTAAAATTACTTTAAAATTAAAAGGACGCGTTTTGGAATGACTGCTTGATGAAATATTGCAGTAAAACAATAAACAATGATAGTCAGGTAATAATTAAGATTTTATGAGTCAGGGATCGAACCCATACTGTGATCAAAGTGACGTCTCAGACGACTCGGCCACCGCTCGATATGAACTCGGTGGCGCGAATCTTGTGTAGATAAGTGTAGAGCTGATGCGCAGGCTACCCAGCTACTGCGCAACCTCCTCGACCATTGCGCATCCTCCCGCGCATAGCGGTAGCAGTACCGGAGCATTCTGTAAACTCACTCACTTTATTACGTGATTTTAAAAAAACCTGGGTCCTTTTTCCAAAATCTGATTGCAGCGGGCTCATCTAGGGCCTATTACCTGTCGATTTACGCAAAAATCATGGAAATCGGCCCGGTAGAACGCTCAAACGAACTATGACAAAAAGTATAAATTTACATTGTTTAAATGGGAGAATTCGCAACTTTACCACGTAATATAAAAAAACCTGGGCCATATTTTGAAAATCTGAAAAGAGTTGGCTTATCTAGAGGCAATTGCCCGTCGATAGCCACAAAAATCATGAAAATCGGCCCGGTAGAACGCTGGAACTAAGCGTTACCAGTTTCGCAAAATTAGGAGGTCTTGGAGCTTATAGTATAGATAGATTTGCATGGTTCTGCATTTTTTTAAATGAATGAAGGGGAGAGGAATTTTGTTTCATTATATTTTCTTGGTTGTTTTTTCAGATAAGACTGATAGACTCGTTCACACACCCAAAAAAAGGAACTACAAGTCACTGCTATAGGATAGTCTACCGTCACTTAGAGAAAACTTTGACCCAAGAAGAGGTCAATCAATTACATAAAGCCATTGAACTCGCAGCAGCTGAAAATTTACAAGTAAAAATTAGGTAATGATTAATTGTTTGACTTAATCTTATTATGTCCTGTTAATTTGTTATTTTTTTACTGTAAGCTACGTTATCGTAATAAAAGTTACTCCTCTTTGAAAAAGGTTATTTTCGTCTTTTTTATTCCATCAACATTGTTATTTATCACCATATTGATGGCTAATGAAAAAAAAATGTGTATCTCCGACTGCGACTCGGTGAATCTTAGCTCATGCCTTATTTTTTTGAAAATGATTAAAAAAACTATTATTTATGAGACTAATCAACAACTTAATTACCTTCAAGGAAAATTTATTAACAATTTAAAACAACATGAGTAGAGAACACTTTAAGTTCTTCAAGTTAATCTGATTCATCAGAACATTATACAGATTTATCTCAACAAAAATTCAGCGTTGCTCATTCTTATGCCGTACATCAGAAGTACTACCATTGACTTGAAAATTATCACATATATCTTGAAAAATTGATACAATCAGCGTATAGCCTACTATTCAGGAACATTAATAATCAATGCAATTTTTGTATAGTGAAACGAGTGGCGAAAAGCAAATTCTACATTAAATTAAATGTAATCTGTTACTGTCATCTGCTCACTTTCTTCCGAATATTTTCTTTTAAAAAGCTTTCCTAATACTGCTTATTATTTCGTGATTTTCATAGTGAATCAACGTATGATAAATTGAAAAACGCCTCAAACTTGTAAGTTCAAAAATGAATAATAAATATTGGACAGTAATTCTATACTTTCTTTTGTTAATTAAACAATTATCATTCCGAAATCAAAGAATCTGTAATGATACTAGAATTTAAGTAAATGTGTTCATTTATCCTGAGTTTCTGAAGTAACAAGGCCATGAAAATGATGATTGAGGGGCGTTCCGGAGAAGGAGCCCATAATAGTCGACGTAAGCTTGTTTCTTCAAGCAGCTGCTACGTTGATCAGCAGCAAGGTAGCTGAGACCATTGCCACCTGTTTGTCTAGATAAGGTGGATCATTAAAAGAATTCGCCTGTGTTTCAAGGGCCCTTCTTGAGAATCCTCTCCAATCAATGCATACTTGAAAATAAAATGAATTCAACTTTGATGTTCTTTAACAAAAAAAAGTCAATTTTTCGAGAAGATATTAAAAGTTGAAACACAAGCTGAGGATCAAAAATAAACTTGCCTCTCACTTTACAAAATTATACATGTGTACTTCAAATTTTTTGGAGGTTAGACCTGCATTATGTTGAGGCAAGTTTTCAGCTTGAAAAACCGATCTTTATTAATTTCACTGTTCTTTACAATAAACCAAACATCTGAATCATACAAAAAAAAAGTAAATAAGTTAATTGTGCTACACATTAAAACGAAATACTGCATTCATAAAACTTCCTTACACTTCTCATTCAAAATCAGGTACTTGACAAGTGTTCATTGAATCTCAGAGCGCATAATGATCAAGTGATTGTTTTTTTATGATAAGGAGTACAGTAGCACCTAATACAATGATTCCTGCCTGAAATTAAAGTCATTAGATAACAAGCGGATGAGAAGTATGTCAAACTAATTGGAACATAAACGCTTATTGATGGAGAGCGTCCGTCTGAAGTCCGGGTTTCTCCTTCTTTGCGATTCCTGACAGCAATTTTTTTATTTCGGCAATGGCTCTTCCTGGATTCAAACCCTGGAAATATGAAAAGTAGAAAAGGTATTAAGATGCTAGACCTGATACAGAAGTTCTGAAGAATAAACTGAGAAATACGGATCTAAAATATGTGGTTCATGCAGCTTTAAGAAGGAAAAATCAAATCATCATTTATTTATTGCGTATTCACACAAAAAATTCCTACCAAGTTTTTTTCTCTTGATGCTCAGTTTTCTCTTTTTGACATGAATTCAAGTCGGCAATCTTTGTTTCTTTTTAAAGACAGATCATGAGCCTTTGTAATTGAGTTATCTTCCCACATGATCTAATTAACACAGATGCTGTGTTATTATTTATTGACCACAAGCAAACCAACATTGCAACTCCAAAACCATGTATTTCGTTTGCATGTTTAGAAATCTCCGCTTTTGTTTTATTTTTTAAAGGAGATCAAATCAACATAATTCCATAAAATGTTCTCAGAATTTGCTTTGTACAGAGAAAAAAAAATCATGGAAGCTTAAGAATTTGTGCTGAGTAGTTCTCTATAAAAGAAATAAAGATGACAGGAAGTCTGCAACGTTGCAAACCAAGATACATGGTTTGAGAGTTTCACCATTGATTTATGACATACAATTAGATAAGAGCAGAATTTAAGCACCTTCCAAAAAATCAAGCTTACTTTCAAGGCAGCACAAACCATAAAATACAACAAATGCCCTATTAAAATGGATATCCAACTGTGAAATTAAACATGAAATGAATGTGCAGTATACTCATGGATACTTAAAATACATTGTGATTCCCATTTTACTTCTTCATCAATCAAAAGAAATAATTATTTACCTTCGGACAGGTTTTGGTGCAATTCATGATAGTATGGCATCGAAATACTGAGAATGGGTCACGCAACTTATCGAGTCGTTCAGCAGTTTTCTCATCACGCGAATCAATAATCCAACGATAAGCCTGCAAAGAAACAATCAGTAAATTTTTTTAAGAAAAACTAAAAAAAGAATAGTACATCATGCCCATAAGACCAAAGCTAAAATGGACTTCATTTTGCAATTAGGAACTATAAATTGTGCCTCAGTTTAAAACCATCGTAAGTACCATTAGTTTCTCTATCCAGATAAGTGCTTTCACAGATGGGTCGGAAGTTATATGTAGTTCCGAATTGCAAAATGAAGTTCAAATATTGGCCCACAAAAGACTTATTTGACCTACTTAATCATTTAAAGACGGCATTCATCTTTTATAAATGAAAGATTTCAAAACAACACTTTGTTAACACTGATTGGAATTTCTGCAAAGATATTAAACTTTGGTATGCTAGGATCAACATTTAAAAAATAAACGACAAATAAAATAAATTTTAAAAAAAAATCATTTCTGCACCCTTGAATAAAGTCATGAAAAAGTGAAGAAGTTAATCACTGCGGACACAGAAAAATCAAATATGAGGGGTATAGAAAATGCCTGATCATGCAATCCTTGGTTGGCAGGAAAGATAAAGCATATCTTGAGGCTCTTTACAAATCTGCTGACTTTTTTCCCCTCAAAACTTTGTAAAACTGGGGCAAATGACATATTGCACATTTTGTCGGAAAATTAGGCATTTTTCCATAAATCAAACATTCAGTTAAGAGGCAAAAACTCTGGAAAACAGCAAATAGTTGGCATTTTGGAACTTTCCGCCCTCTTGCCGAATATTTTGCAGAATTTTGTCAACATTTTTTTATAGAAGTTGGAGTTCCACTGTGTTCAATAATCTAACCAAAGCAAATTATTTGTTTATTACTTATTGTGTTTTTAATTTCTATGTATCTATCAGAAATTTTTATTTTATAATGAATTGCTCCGTTTTCTCTATGATTTTATTAAGACCTTTTCAACTGTCGTCGAACGAGTGCTTAACCACACTCAGCGAAAAAAATTTGCCAAATACAATACCTGCATCAAGACAGCAGGTCCAAGATACTTGTCACTGTTCCACCAGTAACTGGGACAAGATGTGCTGCAACAGGCACAAAGAATACATTCGTAAAGTCCATCCAACTTCTTTCGATCTTCTACAGACTGCAGATACTGCTGAGTTCCAACTTTATGGTTGTCACTGCGCTGCAGGAATGGCTGAATCGACTGGTATTGTTTGTAGAAGTTATTCATGTCTGGGACCAGATCCTTGATCACGTACATGTGTGGAAGTGGATAAATCTTGGTTACTTTGCCTGGAGTTGTGTCTATTTTACTGAAATAAACGAAAATAAAGAAGAAATGTAAGCAAATTTGAAAACACAATAATTGTCTAATATCAATTTTTTTAAAAGGAGGAAAAGATCTCCACTTTTGATGAAAAAGATGCTACTTACACTGGTTTTCACCTATTTACATCTAGGACTTGAGGTAGCATATTGACAGTCTACAAAATGATCAAAAGGACACAAGTTCAAGTAGTCTAGAAATCTCTACCACTTTACCACTAATTTTTAAAAGTCTAGATTTATAGGTGAGTCAAATAGACTGGGAGAAGGCTCCTTGGACCCACTGTTCAGCTCCGTAATATAAATAATGGGGTGGTTACTAGGCTAAAGGGTAGTTTTAGAGTCAGGCTGAGCTTGAAAAAACTAAATTGACAACAAACCTTGCTCCATCTCAGATGGATAAGCAAGGCCACCTCCAAACAATCTGCTGTCTTCCGAAGGAGACTCCAGTATCAAACAGTAACTTCCTAAAATTGGGTGCATCAATTTAACTTGTACAAATCTCTAAAATATTAGAGGTCTCTCAAAATTAACTTCTCCAATATTGTTCAGTTCTTCTGTTTACTGAACACATCTCAAGTGTCCCATTCACCTTGGGAGATCATTGAGCATTGGGTAGAAACGTTAGGCATTTAGATGTAAACGTGCAAGTCATTGGGTAATTCATATAAAGTCAAACAACCCAAACCGTTTAGCATCTGGTTATTCTGTTTCCAAGCGATCCAAAACACTTTACTTCCACAAACACCTTTTACCCTGGTGCACCGACCGTAGGTTCAACGGTTAAAAGAGCCCAATAAGCAGCGCTTTTCAGCTGGATTATTACTCGAGGAATTCAGAATCAAGCACTTTGGATAGCTGCTCTGGGATTTTAAGGCTAACTTGAGGATAATACCTGTATAAGCAAGGAGCGCCACTTGCATAACTTCCGGACCTTTACAAGGCAAGTGGGAAAGCCTGAAAACACACTTTAAAGACAGAAAATTTAGCTGTTACAGACAGCTCCATTTCAGTTCTTAAAATCTAGCCAATAAACATACCTGATGCAGGCTAAAGTGTTGCAGCCTCCAATATTCATGGCACAAGATCCGCAAATGCCCTCTCTGCATGATCGGCGAAAAGTAAGGGTGGGGTCGACTTCATTCTTAATTTTGATCAAGGCGTCCAAAACCATAGGTCCACATCTGCGAAAAAATTTCAATTGAGGTTAGACGTTTGCAATGAAGAAGATGCAAGGATACCAACAACTGTAAACAGTGCTGTGATGAGATCACTGTTAAGCGAGTTTATGTAATATGAAGACTTCAATTTTTTATTGTTGAATTTTGTATGAATGGGTGTCCTCGCAGTGTTCACAAAAAATGTGAAGGATTTCTGAGTGCTCTCACCTCAGAATGTAAGAAATTTGGAACCCCTTTGACAGAAAAAATGAGGTAATTATTCTTACTTATCATTTGAGCTTCTTGACGCAACACTCGCAAAATGGTGGCCCTCTCAGACTTTGCTCCCGTCTTCCATAATCATGCGTATGCTGAGTTGCTTGTTCTGTAACTCTTAGGCTAACAACTTCAAACAATGGACACAACAACAAAAACTTCCAGACCATTCAGATAAGTTCGGTTCTTTCCCTGTACATCTACAACTATTTTAGAATTTCTGCATTGTTCCGGAACTTCCAACTCTGAAGACACCCTAGTATACTTCCACAATCACAAGACCTGGGTAGAAAAAGATAATAAATCTTAAAACTTCTCATACTTATTCAGGTCGATAGTGTATTCCTGCATTGTTGGTTTCTCTTCAGGTTTATCAGGGTTCCATCTATAGATTGCAAAGGTTTTTTGGATTGCTGGTTTTGCTTCGGCGACTGCATTGCAGACTGCACTAGTGTGAAGTCTCATAACCTGAAAACGAGAAATTTTACAAAATTTACTTTGATGGGACTTAAACAGATAGGATCTAGGCACCATGCCAATGTGGTTCCCTACATACCTACTGCCAAGCTAAGCAAAACTTGAGGAATGCTACACTAGATTGTGAGAATAATGCTTCATAGAAGCGAAGTTTCCGCGAGCACATTTTTATTATATCAGGATACTTACTTCATACCCTAAAATTTGTATCCCGAGGTGACAAATTGTGTAGACACTAAATTTGCCTTGTTCTGAGATAGTGTGTTAAAAACAAACTTGCGAAAATCTGGAGGAATGGAGAAATGCAGCTCATTGCTTGGCCTGTTGGCGGTGCAACATAGAATTTTTAGATAATGGAAGCCTGAGTTGAAGAAGTCCATAGCTCTCAAGGCCATGGTGGCTCGATAACTACTCCAGGACTGAGTTGGTACATAAAGTACTTGGGTGCATTCTTACTCTCAGTGTGCATTAGTGGGATGACAGCAAAGGTACCTGAATAATGAAAAATAGGGCAATATTCATAGTAGACTGACCGTTCTTTTCCGCGTGGCAATACACATTTCACTTCAAGGTTCCAGAAGCGTAGGAGCATAGTATTGTCTAAATTAGTGGCGAGGGCTACCAAGAGATGTTGCTTCTTTGGAAAATGGGAAAGCTATGGAAAAGGAATCATGAATTTGGTTGAATCAACCATCCAGCATAAAATTATGACTTTTCCCTCGGGGCAAGGTAGGGTGTGATTGGTTTATCAGGGGGAATACCTAGAAAATCCTTCCCAGGAATCGAACGGTGCTGACTTAGGGCGTCAACTGAATGATCAGTAACTATTTAAAAGGGTGGATGGAATAGTACCACAAAAACCTTCATAATTTGACTGGGTCATAGAAAAGGTTATGTAATGGGTGTAATGATAACAAAATGTGACAGTTAATTTTCTTCACAAATTACTAAATGAGAGATAAAGTTACCTGACTCAGGGCTGGTTTGCCCGTTCGGAGTAGCAAAAGTTCGACAGCCATCCTCGAAAAAACACGAATTAAAAAAGGAAAAATTCAGACAAAAGAGTGTAAATATTCGTTATCACTGGCGAAGTTTGCGCTACGTGACGACACTCGAGCTATGTTTAGCAACTGCGACAGTTGCGATAACAGAAATTTGGCAAGTGACTTCGATAAATTTTTGCCAAAGCTGCGTGAAAGTTGTCCTTGAAACAAGTAGCGACCTCTAGTAGCAAACTAAACAAACAAACGAATGCTCGATGCAAAGGGATTCTCTGGTTGGCTCACGGTTCCCGCCAATTCCTCCGATTGGCTGGTATTCAAATTGTTTTCCCTTATGGGAAATAATGTGCGGCTTTTTGCTTTGAAAATAGTTCAAAAACGAGGAGATACATCAACTTATTCGTCAGAAACTTGAAAAATGATTAGAAGAAATTTTGAAACGGATGATCAATGGAATGGTGGGTAATTTGTCTCACTCCTGCCACGCAACTCTGAATTTTGGGGGTTCACCCAACGGCCCTGCCACGGCATACTTTTTTTATCAAGGTAAAACTGCTAGAATTGCTCTCATAAATAATACATTTTCTTTCATTTGATAGTAAAATTATCACTTCTGTAAATATCCTCTATCATTGCCTATCCTGACCGTAAGCTGAACTTGAGGAAGCTCCCCATAAACAATGAGCTCACAGCAATTGCAATGGCGCTCCTGCATAAAAATTTGCGAGAGACAAGATGATGGCACTTTCATCCTCTGAAACAAGAGCTCAAACTCAAAAAAAGTTCTCAGAGGCTGTAGCCAAAACAACCCTGCTATTGTTTGTGCTCTCTTTCTGAGCATGGGGACTGATTTCTGAATTTGACTGGATAGGTTTAGCAGTGTACTCTCTCATTTCGTCTCCCCAAACAATCCCTGCATTACAGCCTTAATTTTAAGAGCTTTCTGTGAGCTTGAGCGTTGGTTTCAAAAAGAATCAATGTCACCCTTGTGTTTCACAAGAAATTTTACATAGGATAAACTATTAAAATTTCAAATCCCTATGGCATGAAAGAGCTCCGTTCAATAGGGTGGCTCTCATACATTGCCAAGAAACAAGCATTCTTCACCAAAATCGGCCTTCAAACCAATGTATGGCTACTACTGGTCCGTAAAGCCTCCAAAAATGTTTGTATCATGATGCATTCTGGTGAATACAGATCTACAATGAGTGGTCATATCTGACTGCAACAGAAACAGAGAATGTAGATAAACCTAACTTTTAAAATCCATTCTTTGACGTCCTTTTATAGCAGAGGAATGATTCTTAGAAATGGACACAACTTTGATGTTTGATTCCCTACTATAGATTTAATTCAGCAAATCAATCGTTTCGCAAACAACTTTACTCGATGGTTTCAGTCAACCGCTTACTTAAATTTCTAAGGCAAAGAGAGCCAGAACATTGGTGCCCATGCCAGATGGTCCCTCAAAAATACTTAAAATAAATTCAAATCACTGGTCGGCATCAGGTCTAATCAGTCTTTTCTTTTTTGCAAATACTGAATTTTATTGCAATAAATTACAATACATTTACAATTCAATACAGATTGGATATAATTTAATTTACAGGAGACAAAAAGAAAGGCAACTCGTTAAAAATTTAAAATTTCACATTCAATGTAACATATTAAAATAAAAACATATAAAATTAAAATCTACAGTTATAAAATTCATTGTAGCTTATATACTGATCACAGAAGGAAAGAATGATGGTTCAGCGCTTTACTTTGGTCAGGATGTCCAGCAAAATGTTCTTTTTTTTCTCCCTGATTTTTTAAGTTTTCTTGGGCTCTTAGATTTTTCATATCCACCTTTTCTCCAAAATTAAAAAAAAAAACCCGCAAAAATAAACATATCATAGTGCAGAGTGCTACACAGTACATAATAATGAGGAATTTTTTTTTCTAGTAATTTTTTGTAGACCAGGAGAGCACACACAGCACATTGAAATGTTGCGAGGATTTGCAAAAAATCGTAGTTGTTTACAGGAATTTACTTCTCTTCCAGTTTACATATCCCTTAATTATTCCTGACCAATTTGGTCTCCAGTAATTTCCAGCAGGACCAATCTACACAGGTCAGTCATTCCCAAGGACGAGTTTTGTGTGACACAGTGATGTAGTATTGAGTGCCTGCAATGTATTCTAATGGGAGCACCCATTGTGACGTAGCATTGAGTGCCGCCGAGATAGGGCCAGGCGGGGGAGTGAATCTCAAAAAGATGCGCAATGACTGACCTGGGTGGATTGGTCTTGATTTCCAGTTTCATCATTTGCTGGACACCCTGCTTTGGTCTTAATTGCTATCCCAAGTAAAATTAAGCTGCATACCAAGCGATTCATGGACGTTTATTCAGCTTTCTTCAAAGCATCTTTATTCTTTTCTTCATTACTGACCTGTAACACATGATTTGGTGCTTTTTGAGCCATAATCATTTGATTGAATACTTTTGGCTGCCTAACTAATTTTGCTTTGTTCAATTCTCCTTCTTGACTGACAACATTTGCACAGAAGCGAACGGATTTAGTTGATTTTTTGCTCTCTTGTGGGGCACCATTTTCTTTGTTACCCGATTCAATTTCTCTTCTTAACTTTTCGTACTCTTTTGCTGTCTCCTCAAGTTCACTCAGGCGTGCATTTAGTTTTGCAATTTCCTTCTCTTTTGCTTTAATAGATGTTTCAGACATTCGCAGTTTCCGCTCTGCCATATAACAATGCAAACCCTGCTCGTGTTCCGACTGACTTTTGCGTAGTAGTTCTACTCGGAGGCTCTCTGCGTCACTTCGTGCTCGATCCAGCATTCCAGAGACCACTTCTAAGTCACGTATATCGATTGTTTGAATGACTGGAGACTCAGGACGTTTAGAGTATACAGCTAATTGTTTTTCTAAATCCTGGAAAAAGAAAAAAAAACAATACTTAAAGTAATTTCTATCAGACAGCAACAAATAAACAGAATTTTCAAAAGATGGTGTCGGTAGAAAAAGAGAACTCAACATGATCTCAAGTTTGCCAAAAAAAGTTTTAAATCCATACATTAATTTTTGACCAAGATATGGGATTTTTCTTTTCTCAAAGATAGCTGGCCTGCTTCAAAAAATTATTTTCCTGTGGGCCAGCTTTTGTCTATCTAAACACATTATGGTAAAGCTCCCTGACAATTTAAAATACGCAGATGGTTAAGAAGACTTAATTTATGATAGTTTTCTTGCAAAATCTGTTGTTCAAAACGTCAAACCCATTCCAGAAAGCAAATAAAGATGACTTAACTATTTTTTTCCTGACACTTTCTTCATTTTCCCTGACATTTCCCGGTATACCCTGACTGTGGCACCTCTCATCATCCATGACATTGTATTTGTAAAATGCTTTCTGTGCCTGTACTGATTTTGGTCCAAAATTAATAATCGGAAGCATTGAAGAATCGAAGGAGGTAACTTTGATGATTTTCCCGAAAAGTTGACATGACTGTTTCAATTATTCTGATTCTAGAAAAGTCTTTCTTCTCAATTTTTGCTTTCATTGGACTAACCATGAGACAAAAGAAGTTACCTAGCAGAGAAAACACTCTCGCACTTACCTTAATCCTAGTTCTGTAAGATTCCATCATTTTTGCTTCAATACGTCGAACTTTATCATTACTTGCCTCGTTCAGCAACTCAATATTTTCTTCCTGGGAACATATAAGATACCATTGTTAAAAAATCAAATTATCCAGTATTCAGGTTACACATTTTGAACTATGTAATACATGGTAGTCATATCAACAGTTGGAAAAACTTGATCAATTAAATCAATGATATAAAACAGGGGGGGGAGGAGAGAGAGAGACACACATATTAAATTATCATTCTGCAATCCTTGCCTTCGTTGAGACACAGCATTTTCTCAGTCATAGCAGCAGGGATGATTTTAGCTTCCACTTTTCACATCCTTTTAACTTCAGTTTCATGTTCTTGGATGAAGCAGTCAGAGTGCAACTGGCTATTGATGGTAAAATTCCCAAACCACGTATCTCGTTTGTGGCATTTATAAATCTCTACTCCCACCTTATTTTTTACATGTGTACGAATCAATATCATTCCTTGAAGTTTTCATGGAATTTTCTACACACACAAACCGAGATACGAGATTTTGAAGTTTTACAATCCACTTGTGAAGCCTTTAGTGTAAAATTTATTGAGACAACATTCTTGATTTTTAATACCTGATAAATCTGGATTTGAGAGACTTTGAGAAAGATATTTTTCTTCCTTGAAGATTTACAATTTGCATATGATTGCGACTTCAAGCACACTTGTTCCTGAAGTTAGAATTGTAATTATCACTTATTTACAAGATTCAATTGCTTTCATTGAGATGCACATAACATTAAAAATTTAAAAAGGTACCTTTTTGGCTTTAGTTTTTCAATTTAAAGACCAAGATAAACCACTGGATAAAGTAAAGATAGTCAAATGTTGATAAAATAAGTACATTGGTACCTTTAATTTCTTGAGCTCTTCATGAGCTTGAGTGTATTTTTGGCTTAATTTGTTGTACTTGATCTTCATAACCTCTAGATTTTTAGCTGTGCTCTGTCGTTTGTCTTCCACCTCTGCAAACAATGAATTACCTCGCTGGTTCACATTAACATCAGGCACTCTGAGTTGGTTAAGCTCTGCTTCCAAAAGAACTTTATCTTCCGTTAAATTCTGCATAAAAAAATTGGTGAGGATAACAGGTTAATAACTTGACAATCTCATGAAAGAAAAACATGAAAAAGCGTGAAGAACAACTTAAACAGCCAGGGCACATGATAAAATAATAACTTAAATAAGGGAAAGGCTGTAGGAAATACAAAAGATAAAACATTTTTAAAAAAAGCCGGGATGTTTCGCAACTTTAAGGCACTGTTACTGCAAGATCAAGACTCATAAACAACTCACTTCCCACTTTTTTCCGGTTGAAAATGAAATTATAATTATTTCTAGACATCCCGGTTTTCTTTCATTTTAAGATCTTTTATACTTCTTAATATGTATTTTTTAAATAAATAATGAATAATAATTCATAATAATTCATAATATATAATAATATAATATATTTAATATATAATAATAATTATAATAATTCATAATAAATAATGTCAGGCTGCTATAAGGAAAAAACCAAAAGAAAATTTTACCTCTATCATCTGCCGTGAGTTTAGGAGCTCCTCTCTCTTGGATTCATACAATGAGGTCATGTTCTCAAGTTGATGCGCAGTAGATTGGTAATTACCCTCCAATTCGCTATATTGTTTTATTAGTTCCGCATTATGATTCTTCATTGCGTCCAGTTCTTCTTCCATCTCTTTGACTTTGTGCTAAAAAATAAAATGTATACCTCTTATCAGTGATTAGGAACAATGTTGAGCTATTAGAGATTTGAAATTGAGAGTTGCTTGGAGCTGAAATTAAGAGAGAGAAAGCTTTTGTTCTATTTCTATCAATCCAAGTCCAGCAATAGCGTTTCAACACTCCTCAACATCTTCAGGCTACATCATAATTTTAGTAATGATGAATAATAATACTTTAATAATAAAAATTTTGAATTGCTTAAACTGTCACTTTCAAGACAAGAGAGTGAAAAAACTTCAGTGGAAAGTTTAGTCTACATCCAACTTGAAGAGACAAGAAAAGTTGAACACATCTATGCAAAGTAACGAGTGGGTGGCATTAACACACTGTGCTTATGAAGCATTTACCCTTGTGTTTTCAATTTTTTATGGCCTTTTTAATTGGTGAAATATGCATACTGTTCAACATTAAAGTTGATACAACCATGTGTTTTGCCTACTTGTGTTTATTTGTCTTCAGAAATGACTAATTATTTAAGAAAAAAGATATGTGCTGTCATTATAACTTTTTTTTCTGTCCGTTTACCTCAACATTAACTTAGAGACGTTACAAAAAAATTGAGCCCTTGAGGCTGTGATTAAGCTATCGAGGAAAGAGACAATCTGGGGAGGAAGGCTATGGCGATGTTGAATGTAACCTGGGATCAACGAATTCCGAAAACGAACAAGAAGAGAATTCACATCACTGAAGTGAAAAGTATTCTGGCATACATAGATGTGAAGTTTCACAACTAAAGAAACAGACACAGGATATGCTGAGAGCAACAGAAATGGATTTCTGGAGGAGGTCAACAGAAATTTCTTACAGATATCGGATGCGTATTCATAGAGTGCATTGGATCATGGAGGTCGAAAATGACATCGTATTCGACATCGTGACCCAATGGCTGGTTCAGTGTGGTCATGTAAACAGGACGACAGAAGAAAGGCTGCCAATTAGGTTCCTCCTGAGAGGATACAAAGGGGATGCTCAGTGACAAGGTAGTGATAGGGAATAGGGCATTCTAAATAAAATCGTCAGTGCTAACTTCCTGAAGGACTGTGGGAGGACACTGTGCTGTGGCAGTTGGGTATCAGGTGTTAGGGTCAGAGAGCGATGTGAAAGCGGCTCTAATGGAAGTAAAACGGGTAAGTACGTTTCTTCATAATTTGAAGACTGACATGACGATTGGATACTTATATGATTAACAAGAGACAAGAAAACGAAAAAACAAGCAAAGATGATTTACTCACTTGGAGGGATAGTATAAATGAATCGCAATTACATCCAGCGGGAGAAGGAGACGGTGGAACATTCGCTTGTTTCTTGGAATTTTCCAACTCTTCAGTTAATTTTTCATTCAATATATGTTCTTGTTCGATCATTTCTCTTACAGTTTCAATCTGAAATAGAAAAGGATGATACAAAGGAAACGAAACAAAGGATGGCTTTCATCAAAGTATTCTACTAATAAGCTACGAGGCAGGGTAAAAATTGGAAGTTTCCAGTCTTTTAGTGGAAATTTAATTAATGTTCATAGGCACTTTTAATGTTTTTTTTCTTCCTCTCTTCAAAGAAAATTCTGTAAAAATTTTGAGCCATAAAGCAGGCTCTTCTTCTCTCTCCCAAAAAATAAAATGGGAGCAGTAATTTTAAAATACCAGGATCAAGGGACATAATTTTTAGAGTTTACTGCCGGAATGCAAAAGATCAAGATACATTGTTCTCAATTTCCTGAAGATGCCTTTCAGCCTTCATAGGCCTCTCCACCTCAAGATGAAAGTGGAAGATAGGTTTTCAACACCTATTTTCTTTCACTCTTTAACCTGAAGTATTTCTCAATTTAAGTATGTGGTAAAAAAATTCCTCAGGAACGGTAGCGGAAAATGCGGGAGACTCTCCCTCGTTTCGCTTTTCCCTGAGATAAGGGATACTGATGAGAGGCTAAGAGTCATCTGAGAGAAATTAACAAAAACAGATTTTGCATGAAGTGAATAAGTAATTTAGATGATTCAAAGGTGAAGTCTACAAGGAGGAAACAGTCACGGGAATGTTTGAAAATACATATATCCCAAAAATGGAGGTAGGTAATTTTTTTTATATTTTTTTATTTCACTGATAACCTCATCCTTTTTTACTGTAAGTGCATACGTCCCAATAATGAGGCAAAAATGTGCGATTCAAATTTTTTTGGAAAAATTGGTTTTAGAGTTACATGCAATGCCTACTTAGCATTTGGCATCTGCGGAGTCTTGTGGGCAAGCTCGAGACAGTCTAGATCTGAAGCAGATTTAACCATTCAATTGGTCACATTTTTGACATTAAGCAAACTCTACTTTCCACCTGCCCTGACCAGTTCCTCTGTGATGGCACTTTTAGCTAAATTTTTATCAAAGCAGTATCTAATTACCTCTTCATCAGCCTTCTCTTTAGCACGCACCAATTTTTGCAGATTTTTTTCACACTCATCGTATTTCAATTCCAGAGCATGATAATCAGATTCAATAGCTGCGCATTCATCAATCATTTTTTGTTGCTGCATTAGTTTAATCCTGCTTGTATGTAGCTCCTGGGCCAGCTCCTGAAAACCAACAAATTTGTAGAGGTAGTACACACAGTGGCAAAAAATCTTGATGGTAACAACAAGAACAAGTTCACTGCTATCACCATTCACTTTCACTTTTGATAGTGATAACATTAGGATCAAGTTTAGCAGGAAGATATCAGCAGGTAACTGTAATGAGTACCTACTTGTAAGTCTTGAAAAACAAGGGGTCTGTTTTTGACAGACTTTTTTTATCATTTCCCACAAAGAAAACATACTTACGTGAATGCTCATTTTGATGAACTGCTCAACCTTCATGTGTCCATTTCTGGTCTATAAATCAAATTTTCAGCGAAAAACCATTATTTCTATCCTGTAGTTTATACTAATATCAGGCCAAGTTTACTTCTGTTGGGCACTCCAGCTTCTGTCTGTTCTGTGAAGTCGAACCATTTAAATCAGCGATTGCTTGCAGCTGGAGGCTTCATTGAAAAACAATTCCCTAGCAATGAACGAGAAGTATGATAGGAAGTCTGCAACGCTGCAAACCGAGTTATGTGATTGTTGATATGTTTAATTTAAATAATGTTGCGTCCGACAGTTGGCGTGAGAAACTAAAGCATACAAAGTTGAATAATAGAAAATGGTTCTGAGGCACTTGATTCTAAAGCTCTCCATGTAAAGCTTTCGCTTGAGAAGCGCTTTTTCTGCAATGCTTCATGTTGTTCGGGGTGCTTCAGATCTAAAAGGACAATGTAAATAAAAAAAGTACTTACTTCCCTGCTCATTTCGTTCAGGTCCATTGTGTGGAGGGAGAAAATATAGACGGTAAGAATCTGATAAGAGGAGGTAAATAAATTGTGAAGAGTATAATAATTGATGGTAAAAATAAAATAGTTTGCAGTCGCCGCTGTACTGATAAGAGAAAACCGAAATGTTGCCTTGAAATGTAACGAACTTTTCCTTCTACGAAACCATGAAGGCCGAGGCCGGGCGGGGGGCGGGGGTAGGGCGGGGGAACCCTTCTCAACCCAAACATCAACAATGAAAGTAAGGTTAGGTTATGTTTATGTGTTCGGCTCGTTCGGCTCAGTTTCTGTCGGTAAGCTGGAGCTGATAATGTGAAAATTTTTCTTATGTTTAACTGTTTATTGTTCCATTAATCTGCCGTTTCAGTTGCAATATTGTGATCCTCATTGGCGTAAGTCGGTTGATGCGCTCACTATTACCGCAAGAGCTCCTTCACCATGTCGAAGAAACAGGACGCAGGATCGTCGCATGATAAAATAGGCAAAAACTTTTTCACAGAAGGTAAAATTTTCATTCTCTTAACCACACCCTACGATAATGCAAATTTTACGACCATTTCCGGCAGTATGTATCAAGCCTTACTCTTTGAAGGCAATGTTTAAAAGAGGCTAGGTGCTAATGTTTACTTTTTGAGTTTTTTTTTTTTTTCTTACGCCTCAAGTATCCCTAGAGGGATAATCCTGCGCTTTACTTTCACTAGAGCCCCATCCCCCTCCGTCTCTAATCAAACCAGCCCCAGGTAACCGTTGTTTGAGGCCATGAAGCTCGAGTCACCTGACCGGGTCTCGAACCCAGAACCTCCCAATCATAGAGCAAGCGCTACAACTACTATACCACAGGAGGTCGACAAGTGCTTGCGAAGATTCTGCCCAACACCAAAGAGCACCCGTTCTTTTTAAGCTGAAGAGCTTCATTTTGTTTTTCTGCAGTTGAATTTTTCATGGAAGTAACTCAAAGAAAGGTCACCTTTTTGTTTCATTCTGCACAAGAGTTAAAATGCATTTTTCAAGTTATTCTAATTTGCAATCCTTCAGGAATAAGGTATGGATTTTTTCAGGGACGAACAGCTGTAGTTTGCAAAATTAAATCTTTGAGCTGCTTCATTTTTTTCAATTTCATGTTTTTTCTTTCGCAGCCCACCACACTAGCAGCTATGCTAATTGCTGGGTCTTGCTAGATTACTTATTTTTTTGTATCATTTTTGTGTTATTAAATAAATAATTATTGTAACATAAAAAATAAATGTTAGTTATTTATTTCTAGGTGAAAAAGTACTCTGCTTCCATGGACCCTTAATTTATGAAGCAAAGTGTCTGGAGCTGACTTATAATGAAGATAAATCTACTTATGAATATAAAATTCATTACTCTGGTTGGAACAAAAGGTTTGATCACTCTTCCTCTTCCTCACTCTTTTTAGAAGTCTTTAAGTCTTAGATATCGAAATTTTGTCAATGCTGATAAGTATAGAATACTTTAATATCATCAACTGCAAGAATTATTATTTAATCTAACATCATTTCCAACTTTTTTTGTATTTTTTAGCATTGTAAGAATGCCTAAAAAGATACAAAGAACTTTACCAAGAAGATTTGATAGGTACCTCAAATTTTCTGCCCTCGAAAAGTAGTTAATGTAGAAATTGCTACAAATTCAAAATATGAATTGAAACATCGCCCTGAATTCTCCAAATTCTCTAATTAGATTCTAAGTCCTACTCTCCTGAGGAAGGCTACCAGACCATCTTTACCTCATGAATTTTTGCATGCTTCCATACTTTTTCAGGACTAAGATTATTAATATCTTTAGTCCTGGATGCCAGATTAATGAATCCTGATTTCATTATTAAAAATTAATACTTCTAAAAAGAATATTAGTGAATAATCAAAAAAAAAAAAAAAAAAAAAAAAAAAAAAAAAAAAAAAAAAAAAAAATTGAACACAGCTTTGTGGCACATCCTTAAGATCCAAGCAAGCCACTACATTTAGCCACACAACTGCTATAGAGTGCACCATTACCAAACTTGGCTTTTTGGTCATTTCAAGAAAGCCACTGTCTCCTGTTTTTAGTCTGGCAACTCGTAGATGGGGTGAATTTTTTATTTCTCTCATTCCTCCAAGATAAAATAATCAAGGCAATGAATATCGTCTTGTATTACAAAATTACTTCTCTTTTTTTAAATAAAAAAAAAACCCCTAATGAAAACCCCTTTTTTCTCAGGGGTGTTAAATATTCTCATTTTTTTTGTCAAGATAACGCATCCTAAAAGCGCCTACAAGTAAGAAATTATGCTGGCTTTCTAATGAGTAACTAAGGTAGGTTCAAACTGTGTGCCAGATTCCAAGATTTTTTTTTGAAGAAGTATGTAAGTATGCAAAAATTCATGAGGTAAAGGATGCTCTAATAACCTTCCTCAGGAGGGCAGGACTCTGAGACCAATCAGAAAATTTGGAGAACTCGAGGCAAGGCCTGGTAAAAAATACTTCGAAAAATCATGGCTCTTTTGTTACTTGTGAATTTCAGCTGCTGGTGTTAATTTTCCAAATGCCACCAGCTTTTCAGGAATAAAAGCAGAAAGTCCAAATAACACATCGAGCTTATTTTTGCCCTTGTTTTGATGTGTTGGGTTTTTAGGAAGCTGCAATTAACAAAAAACATAATTTAACATATTGACACTATTTAATGAACAGTATTAAGTAAAGCAAAATAAAAAATAAAAAAAATCTGGCTCAGCAGTGTCATTGTGATCTCTTAGTTCAACCTTCACAGTCTTCAAGTAATGTACTATTCTGCAATAAATCTTAGAATTATAAGAAATCTCTGGCATTTGGCTGTTTTTTTAACAAAGTTCCAGTCTTTCAATTACATAATGTCTCTGAGTCTTCACTCCCCCAACTAACTGTCTCTTAACTTATTTCTTTTAAGCTGGGACGAATGGGTGCCAGAAGATCGTGTGCTCAAATTTAATGAGCAAAACCTCCAAAAGCAAAAAGATTTAATTCTTGCTCAAGAGGCTGAATCGTAAGTAACTGTACCATTACTAATCTTTCTGTATCAAGTTTGCCTAAATTTTCTCACAAAAAAGCATACTTTATAACTTTAATTCCTCAAGAACCACATTTATCAGACCAATTTAACTGGAGATTGCAATCAAAATTTTTATCACCATTTTTCAAAAGTCAGTTTAATGACAAAATTCAGCAAGCAAGAGTGTCTGACAGTAGGACTTTTGAAGAACAATGTGAGAAGCCAGTGGCTATGGACGCTTTATGCAGCAAGTAGTGTTTTAAATTAACAATTCAAATTTACTCTTTGGAAACAGTTCTGTTTTAACTCTGATCTGAACTTTTATTTATTTATTTTTTCTTCTGACTGGGAAGATTATTCAAAATTCATGTAGAAAAATTATAATTTCTTTCAAATTACCCTGTGTCTGTATTCATACCTTTCAAGAATTTTGAAGTCCTAAATCTTTTGCTGTGTTCATTACATTGTCACCTATGCCTGATCCTTAATATTATTCAAGCAATGATTTTAATTTTTTTTTTTTTTTTTAGGAAAAATAAAAGAAAATCGAGAAAAATTGCAGGCCCAGACTGTCCACTGAAAGAAAATTCAGACAGCCGTTCTTCAACTCCAGTTAATGACAGATCAGGTACATTCTCATCATTTTTTTTTCCAAGTTGAAAATGTAAGAGATTAGTGAATACTAACAGGCGCATTCCAAAACGTCAGTCAGGGATACTATCAGTTCCTATGCAAGATTATCTGGTCAAAAGTTTATCTAATCGATAGGTTTTTTTCTGAACCAATTCTCAATAAAATGTGTAATTCTTCACACCTGAAAATTTAAGATTGGCTTTACAATTTATTTCATTTTTAGGTAGATCCAAGCTCTATCCCAGGGAATGGCTAATATCAACTTCGAGATCTTAAATTCCTCTTTATTTTTTACTAACCCTTACACAAGAGGTAAAAAATCAACATCTTTTCTCCTATTTAATTAACATATTTACTTTAATTGTTGATTTATGTTAATCCAATTTTTAAATTTTTTTTGGACGAAGGTCCAGTTTTGTACATATTGCCACTTATTTATCTTGAAAATAAATCTGGCTGTAGTAGCAAATGGATAAGATATGATATTTATTTTACTTTGAATTTTGTTTATGAGGATTTGTGCACTGCTTTCCATTTTTCAAATAAGATCTCTAAAAGTGACCTCTTATCCTCATCCTTATCTGTTTGCAGAAAAAGGAGACCGACGGAAGCATACCGCAACTGTGGCACCATCTATCTCCTCATCGCAAGAATCTTGCAGTGAGCAACCTTCAAAACGAAGAGCTGCTAAAGTTGATCCTGCTGTTGAAACAGTAAGTTTATTCCACCTGTTAGAGTACATAACAACAACGTAAAACACAAATTGAAAAGTTTGCAGGAAATAAAAAAAACAATGCTTATCATTTGCCATATTTCACTAACCGTAGAACTATCTATTTACGTTGAATTCAAACTTTCGTTCAGTGAGATTCTCTTGTTACAGATATATTTTGAAAGAAAGATACTAATACTCATTAAGTTAGAATTGAGGTTAGTATATAGACAGTTTTCTTTCTCCACTAGGCTTCTTATAAGTAAAGTACATATCAATCTGAGCTCCTGTCCTGGCAGGTTAAATTTTATTTCCAGTTTTGGATTCTAGGTCGGAGAAAACATATGAATATTTCAGCTCATAATTACTTTTTCCCATACGTTATCAAAATGCAATGAGAACATAAGTTATGAAGTGAATCATTAGTAAACTTAATTATTATTGTAGGAGCCACTGAATCAAAGAATGTATTATTTGTCGACAAAGCACCTGTAGATTCATCGAATTGGTTATTGAGCATTGATCAAATACTCCTGTACTCAAAATGCTAAAAATCTCTGTATCATTACCTTTTTGTTCCAGGAAGAACAATATTCAACCAGAATAGAGATAAAAATTAAGTTACCGGATGAACTGAAGCCTTGGCTCGTTGACGACTGGGATTACATAGTCCTCCAACGAAAGGTACGCTTTGTCTAGGTATATTTAAATATTTTAGTTGAAATAATTTTGTTCAAATTTTCTTGCAGTTCCATGAATCATGTCATAAGTCTATTTAATTATGTGATATTAATCCTTTCTTTTCTTTTTTTCTAATTTCTCTACAAAATTTTTCTTTGAATCATCATAAGGGGGAAGTACAGATGGAAAAGAAGTGACCCATAATCGATTGCTCAAATTTTAGGAGATTCAGCACCCCTGATCTGCCTAGTTAATCTCTCTCGCTGGATGTATTTTTTAATATTTTAGCTGAATTAAATTGATGTTTCTTTGTGTCTTGAAACTAAATATGAGACTGTTACTACAGTCTTTCAAGAAACTGTTAAACAGTCGAAAGAAACAGTGGAGAAACAAGCACACCAAATCTCCTTGTCAACAAGTGAGCTCAACCATTTTCAGACTTTTGCTAGATTTGATTGAATCCGCTCTCCGAACGCTGCTTGAGGTTGATTATTTTGCGTATTGTTTTTACCGCTACTTCTCTTTCAGTCCAGCTGTAGTCTGAACTGGGAAGTCAGGTGAGTTAATCATTGATAAACTCACTTGACTTTCCCGTTTCAGCTATGATCTTATGATCTCATTTTCTCTTTTGCATCATTCTGTTATGTAGTAAGTCATTATGACCTGATGAACTCAGTCTGTAATCGCATACTAAATCTGCAAAAGGTCTTTATTCTCTTTATGGACATTTGTCCTGCTTTACCTATAAGATTTATGATCATGAGAAATTCTTATTTTGTACTTCAAGCATTAATCTTTTTATTTTAAAAATTACCTACCCCGGTCTGTTCTGGTGTAGGCCTTCTGTGCTGTAGTGGTTGTAGCGCTGGCTCTATAATAGACGCATCTAATGTGACATCACATCTTGCTTTAATTTCAATATCTCAGAAGTCGAAATGTGCCCCAACAAAAGAACACAACGTTCGTCCGAAGACTGAGTATTATGTCACGAGCTTATTATATTATCAATTCTTGTGAATGTGGTCTCAAACCATTTGGAAAATGACCAGCTTTCATAATTTTACGGTACCACGGATTAATGTTTTAGTTTTAGGCTAGTTTTAGCATTCATTCATCAATTGTTCGTTTCGGAGGTTATGTTTGTTTGTGGGGGCACATTTCGATTTTCAAGATATTGAACCATCAATATCGCTCCGAAACGTGACCACTAAATGCGTCTATCAGGAGGTCCTAGGTTCGATTCCCGGCTAGGCGACCTGAGTTTGATGGTCTCAAACAACGGTTGTCTCGGGCTGGCACATAGTAGGGACGGAGGGGGCGGAGCTCTAAGTGGAAGAGGAGGATCACCATTTGTGTGATATTTGAAGTAGTAAACAACAGGAAAAAAAGAAGAAAAAAAGGACTTTTCTTGTCCTTTTTTATGACACTTGAAGTGAAAATCTCTTACCAAACAACCATGACTAAACAACCATGCATGTTACTAGAGTATTAATTTTAGCAAACGAAGTTGATGCATATAAATTGGTGTTTGACCTTTATTCCAGTGGCTGAATCTACCAGCTCGAGTTACGGTTGATCAAATCATAGATGACTACAAAAAATATAAACTGAACAGCCGTGGAAATAATGCCAAAAAGTGAGTACTTACTTACTCCTATTTTGATCCTATGAGAAGAAAAGTACCTTTACAGGAATTTTATGTTTCTCCCATAAGCACAGCTAACAATCAAGAAATTCAGCCATTATCAAAACCTTAAATGTTGCTGCATTATAATTTATTTGTATAATTTATGTTTTTATTCTTCCACTGAAATTTTAGTGCAGCCAAAGTGTTAAATCCAAATTTACTTTTTTTAATGCTCAATTCAGAAACCTTGATTCATTAATTGTTTTCTCTGATTCTCACTCCAGATTTATGTTCCTCCACTCAGTAAAGCCTTGCAGCTACTCACCTAAAAACGTTTTTTCCCTCACTCTCTTGAGATGTTCTTTCATTAATATCGCTTTCCTTTCTTTTCTTGTTCAAAAGTTTTACCTCTCTTTGTCTTCTTGTCTGTTCATAGAGAAGTGACCATTGGAACTCTATCCAATGGAGTCAAAGAATATTTCAACATAATGTTGAGCTCGCAGCTCCTGTACAAGTTTGAAAGGCCGCAATACAATCAGGTTTGTCAATTGACATATGTATATCCTCCGGTTTTTCATCAAAACCATCCCTACAATTTGAGTCTACACCTCCCCCCCTGCACTTAAATGTAGCAGATTCCAGGATATACCTCTACTTGCTATTGCCTCATAGAAAAGTGCAGTGTTCATTCATTTTTTTGTTTTCTTCCTGTGGATAAAATGAAGGAAAACATTTACCTCAGCCTTAATCCTTCCTATAAGCATTGAAAATAATGGAGAAAGTTGTCCTTTAACCATTGAGGAACAGCATTTCTTTGTCTGATTGACTTGTTCATCACCAGATTGTTTTTTTTTTTCATTCAATATGATCTGCGAACGCAGCAATCTGATTGTGGTGATTTTGGCGAGAAATTGTGAGTTCTAGAGGCTCACATGTATTGTAATGGTGACTGTAGAAATGAGCTGAAAAGAGCTGATTGGCTAGACCAATCGAGTTAACGGCCAGACTGTACCTCTTGCTTTTAGTCAAAGAAAAGAAAAGAGGTGAGAAGAGAGGGAGGAATATTTGTATGGAAATAAAATATGTAACTAAAGAAGGCGAAAAATAATTAACTCACTAACTGAGATTACAGGGGAAGTTTTAATAAAAATGGAACCTTTCCCCTCCCGGCTGGGAAGAAAAGTCCATCAAAACAGGGGTTTTAAGATAAAAGAAGAACACGAGTAAATACTGATGAAGGCGAACAGGACAAGGAATAGAGCTGACAAGCGATGTCGGAACAAACTCAACAAACGAATAAAAACACAAAGCAAAGAAAGCTAAGTTGACAGGTTTAGCCCCCCCGTCAGGGCAGACTAAATCTGACTTACATTTTTTAAAAAGGAAAGGGAATCTGCCGTAAAAACGAGAAGACCGAACAGCAGCACGTACACCGAGGTCAAAGAACGAAATCCAAGCGGAGAGTGGGGAGCCGAGTAGTGCTAAGAGCCGCCACGCGACCACTAGCGCTACTTGGCAGGCTAAAATTTTGAAAAGTGAAGGGGTAGGGGGGACACCCCGTTACAAAAAAAAAGGAAATAATGCGTATCTAAAGAAACAAAAGGGGGGACTGTCTAAGTAAGATCAAACTATGAACAAAAGAAAAGAAAAATAAATAAGAGAGACACTAATAGACTCAATTCCTGGCTTCCAACAATAACCGACTTAATCGACAAAAAACCAAACGCCTATCTTGAGGATCGAGCTCCTTGCACCACAGAAGCTCTCGCCAACCTGAATTTGCTGTCGTGACCAGGGATCTTTGTTGCCTCCGGAGTGTTGCTGGCCATCTGTGGGGATAGCTGAATCAGCACATTCCCCTGTCACCAGAAAAACAAGCGTTTTCTAGCGGAAAAGGACAGGTGCGATCCTTCCTTTCGCTCTGGCTCGAAATGTTACGGAAACTCCGGAGAGTATTTCTCTGATCACCACATACTCACTCAATGATCATTTTTGTAGCAGTATTCCAGTGCTGTACTATTTTTTCACTTTTAGCGCCCAGTATGAAATCAGGGAACAGGACCTTTCTAAGCTGTGACTAAAGTCTGAATCTGTGACACAGTGTTGTTATTTCAGCACCACTAGTGGATCTTTTGGGAGTGTTATTGATACAATCGCATGGTCCTTAAACCACTTGAACTACATTTTGCAATGGGGGACTACTATTTCTGGCTCTCTATCAAAACGACAAATTGTTGATGAAACTTCCACACCCCACATATCTTGATTTGCGGCATTGTAAGCTTCTTTTAATACTTCATTTTTTACATGGAAAACTTCTCAACAGTAGCTCTTAAAATCTGCCTTGGTTTTTCCTTCTCAGTGCAAAAAAACTTCTGTAAAAACTTTGAGAAATGATGTTGATTTGCTGTCCTTTAAAACATTAAGTAGAAGTATTTTAAAACTCTGCAAATGAGATAAATGTTTCGGGAGTTTCACTGCTGAAATGGTCCATTAATTTCCCCATACAGGTAGATGCTTTAATGAATGAACCAGAAATAGCAGTTTCTAATTGCAAAATGTATTCATTACGTCTATAAGTATTTAACTCTGTATTTATCTAATAGTCTGATTGTCTTAGCGAGTCTATACTTCTAATATTATGTTCTACGCTCCTTTTTTTAGATTCTGCAGAAGCATCCTGACACACCGATGTGTCAAATCTACGGTGCTATTCATTTGCTCCGTCTTTTTGGTATGTGCTAATCTTATTTGTCATTTTTTATGCATTCACTAGTAGATTCTCTCAACTTTTTCGAGATCCCACTGAGTTTCATAGCTCAGAGGGTAAGAAAAAAAGTGAAAAACAGGAATGTTTCAAAAAAACCTTCAAGGTTCAGTTTTACCCCAGGTCCAGGGAATAGACCACTTAACAAGGTACAAATTCAAGCAACAAAAATCACTGAAATGAACTCCTATCTTTTATATTTAGCATTTATTGATGTGTAAAATCTAACCTCCATTTCGTGAAAAAACAGAAGTCTACCTCCATCATACATGAATTTGTTCAGAAGATGTTTGCAAAAAAATCTACTCGCAGATGAGCAATTTTTTATAGATTATCATCCTTTTCTATTCTGGTGTTCTCGTTTAAAATCCAATACATTTCCTAGGTAAATAGATTATAAGTGGTTTCACAGGCTGCTATCTACTTAGACTTTTTTTTGTTTATTTTCGCCCGCAGTGAAAATTGGAGCCGCTCTAGCTTACACTACATTAGATGAAAGGAGTGTTCAATCTCTGACCGTCTTTTTCAATGAATTTGGAAAGTAAGTTTGATTTATCCATCCATTTTAATTTTTTTTCCTAATATTGGGGCCAATAACTGGAAAATGGCACAAGAATCGTGCACTTCTGCAGGGATGCCAAACTTCCGCAACTGAACAACTGATCCGGTTGTAGTCGGTTGAGATAAAAATGTGAAGGCCGCTGAAAATGAGTTTCTCAAATAAAAAGGCCCCTGGAATGGGGGAAAAATGTAAAGGCAACTCCATTTATTATGAATGAAACTGTTAAATGCGTTATTTTTTCCCTGGGAAACTGCTAAGCTCATTACGTTTAGCAAAGGAAACTGTGAACTGTGTGTTTTATGCAAAGAAATTAGGGAAAGTCACACTCTTATGTAGACAGCAATGTGAGACGCTGCTTCAAAGAATAAAAAGGCAAGAAATTTGCCCCCCTGCACTTCTGGAAGAACGCATGAAACTCTCAGGGATTCATCACTACCCTATAGCGATTCAATTTAGACATAGACCTCAAAAATCTGAGATCCCTGGGGGGCAGGGGGGCCGCTCAAATTTTAACTTTTCCCCAACTTCAGTACGGTTAATGTCAGCATATTTTTTTCTAAAAAATGTATTTGGAACAAAATTGGTCCCTGCATTTTTTTGCAGGATCAAAATTTATGGCGTGGAATGCCTATTTTCTTTTTTGCCTGTTTAATTTCGCCTAGAGAAAAGAGATGTATAACATTGATTCTATGGAAAATTTAACGAATTTCAGTTTTAAATTTTGATATCAAGTCAACTCTCAGCAATTTATAAGCTCCGAAAAAATCAGACTTTAGGACATCTTACCGAATTTGGCGCTTTTCGGGCAGAAATTTTTTGGTGTTAAAAGGAACTCCGAATCCAGCTCCAAAAGCCACTTTGGAAATGCTAAGAACATAGCTAACCAGGATTTTTACAAACAGAAATAATTCCTGTCAGCATGGATTACAGAAACTGATCACACGAGGAATCAAATTTTGAGGTTTGATGCAGCTACTTTGCGAAGAACAGATTATAGTTCTGCTGCTCCTCTCTTTCAATTGTCTATTTTTTTGTCCTCAGCTGTCACGAAGATTCATTTTCACACATCTTTTTTTAATTATTTGATATGCCTAATTTTTAATAATAATCACAGGCAGTCTGCATTTCAAGCAATTCAGCTAATTATACATTGATTGGGCTCACTAGCTTTTCCTCTTCTGAGAATTCCTTTTGATAAAATTCAAAGCAATTTTGACATATCAGGAACAGTTTTATGAATCAACAGAGCTAATTCAATTGTACAAATAAAGAACACTTCATCCAAATCATGATTTTAAAATGGAATGCCAATGCCATATTCAATGCCCAAATTTACATCTATTAATTTTTTTCATTTTCAGATACTTGGTTAAAAACAGTGCTTCCCTGTTCAACAGAGATGATTATGTGTTATCAGAAAGTCAACGTATCGCTACATGATAAGTTCGTCTTGTGTCCGATTCCACCTAGTCCTGCTCTCATAGAGCTCATTTCATGCCTGCCTCCGGATATTCTGGAACTTACCTTTTTAAGCAAGTTAGTTTTAAAACTTAATCGAGGTCTTCAAGTATGGTTTTAAGTTCATTGTAAATCTAATTTTACCCATCTTTGTTTGTTTTAAGATCTGTTAGATCTCAACGCAGTATGTGTTACATTGAAGTGGGATATGAGAATATGAGTAGGGAAAATGAAAATGAAATTTTTTTTAGTCACTGAAAAAATTTTGAAGACTGTGATTTCAATATCTGTGACTCTAGTTTTGTTAATTTGAAGAAAAAAGACTTTTATTATTCTTTGACCGGAGATCTCTTAAAATAGCTACTTCTGTGAAGGTAGTTTTGTTGAATTTCCTCATTCATTTTAGGGAACCATTATTATTTTGAACCTGCATAAAACTTAGATCTCATCTAGCAAGTAAATTTTAAAGTTTAGGACCCTTAATTTTTTCACCATCTTATTTATCCTCTTGCCTTCCTTATTAAAATTAGTCCAACTCTTATGAAGTATTGAAGGAAAGGCACTACAGTCACATAAAATGTAAGAATGATTTGCTCAACACTGCATCTCCAATTTTCTCATTTCTAGGATAAGCAGACTTACTTTTCCTGTGGTCAGCTTTTTAACCATTTTTTAAACCTTACTCTTATAAAGTTTTTGAGAAGAGATACCTACATCTTCCTTTTCTGAAAGTATGAAAAGTTACTTCTCTCAAGCAACTTTGTAATTGTTATTCTTTAGGTAAAGCCAACTGTCTGTAAATTTCTAGAGTTTTTTGGGCATTTCTTGTCAATTTTTTTTTTTTTTTTTCTGTAGTCTGACATAAAAATGTATTAATTTTTAAGGCATTTGCTGAAAAAAATATCTTGCCCTTCTCAATTGAATTTGCTCTCTCAGTTTGTTTGGAAGTTTGCCATAGAGAGCTTTCATCATTTTTTCACATATTTTATCAAATGAAGCAATGTATCTACAGTGAAACTCCAAAATCTTATAGTTTGTTTGCGGCGTTTTATAACCTGCAATCCCATTTAATTAATCAAAGTAGAACTTACCAACATTTTTGCTTGAAATTGTTTTAGAATATTTTTCACACAGGGAGGAAATTTGAGGGAAGTTTTCAAAAAATGACCTTCTATATTTCTCCATTTAATAAATGAATCATGACAGCAAGTATGGAGCATTGCAAACTCGTTTTTGCTGTTTCACTGTCGGTTTATATTAGCTTCTTGAAGAATGTCCTCTGTTACTTACTATGCCATCACGCAAACGAGTATGCACCAAAAAGTAGAATTACTCTAACTCTCAAATAATCTTCTCCTTTGGCACGATTTTACATACATGTATGGAGGCCCCTTTCAAAGGGCCTACTGACGCTCCGCAACCTGTAATGATTTATAAGAATGTCAAAGAATGATTTTATATAAAGTATGGCACAATTGTATTAGAATATTATTTTTATTCGTTTATTTTTTTAAATTTATTTTTAACATTACTCCACAGATGAATCTAGAATTCAATTCTTTCTTATATTTAATGGTTTGGTAAAAAACCATAACTGCCACTAATTTTTGCATCTCAAACTGAGTGACAATAGAACAAAACATGTTTTTAGTTTGAGAACTTCTTTTCATATTTGACTAAGTTATGTATTCACTATCATATGAATGGATTTAAAAAATTAAATCCTAGATTGTAGTCCAAGGTACAAGTATTGATTCTGATGGGGAAATTTAATTTCTTTTCATGACAATATTCTCTCTTTTAACAGAGAGGAAAGGAGGGAAGCTTAAGTTCAAACTTACTGGATTTGCAACCACCCTTATTTCTTCTTGTCTTCTTTTTTTGCTTAATGCGACTAAATGGGATGGATTTTAATTGTGTTTAAAAAATATTTCCGATGTTAGCTCTGTGAGAATGTTTGATATCAAAACCACCATCTCCCAATTCTTCCATCCAGCAATATTTGTATCTAATTAATAGAGTATGCAACCCATCGTGTTTTTTTACATTTTCGTGTTCATTTTTATTTACCTACAAATGAATGGTGAAACTGCGGGAATGCCTGAACGGTTTGTGACTTTACAGACTTTTTGCCATACTTAATTTTTTAAATGAAAATTACTAAAATCGCTTCTTAATAATTTTTCTGATTTTTCTTCCCTGTGTGAAGATTATTCTGTAAAAATTTCAAGCAATGGCGTTGGTTTGTTTCTCTTTGATGAAATAAAATGGGAGCTTAGATTTTAAAATACCCCAAACAAGATAACGATGGCAAAGAAACAATGCTGCCAATCTGCAAGTTGGCGATTATACAGGATAAAGAGAAAACTTCACCATTTTCCTGTAATTTCTAGGTTAATTAGTCTATCAGTCAGTTTGTAAGGTTTGCAATTTTTTTTTATACATCACACCGTCATTACAGTGCTCCCATGCAGAATTAGAAAAAACTAGAGACATCAACTTGTGTATTTTATACTGTAGAATGTGGCAAAGTCACTAATTCTTTTTCAACAAAATTGTCAATCAGCAGTACATATTGTTCTTCAGCCCTAGATAAACTTTTCTGCAGTGTCACCGTTGATAATACATAATTACTTATTTCAGTCTTTTTCTTGTAATATTAGGTAGCATACCTCAAGGCAAGATCAATCCACCCAAGTCAGTCATTCCCATGGACGAGTATTGGAACTTAACTGCGCTGTGACGTAGAACTGTCTGTTTGCAATGTATTTCTTAAGAGAGCAGCTGATGTGCTGTCACACTTGGTTGTGGCCGAGTTGAGGCCGGGCAGGGAAGTGAATTTCAAAAAATTGCACGATGGCTGACCTGTGTAGATAGGTCTTTCCGCAAGGAAAATTTTAAGGATTGTTAGTCGTTGCCTATGAAATATTTTAAAATGGCCTAACTGTAACTTCTTAGTGTTTTATTTCTTGCTTTGTCCCCTGTATATTAATTAAAAATGATCTATCTTAAATATAATTTTTGATTTTTTATGATCAGGACATGTTTTAACGGTGGAGAAGTGTGCATTTCAAAAACCACCTGAGTGCAACAGCTCATTCATTGTGCAATAAATGAATGCATGATAATTATTCTTTTCATTTTTCTTTTTTTCAATTGATATCCTTACAGTAAGTGTAAAGAATGTTTTCTTCCATTATTCTGTACCAAATAAAATTTAACCAGGCTCAATTTTTGTCATCCCATCTTAGCTGGGTCATTTATAAACTTTTCCAAATTTCAAATTTGCCGCACAAACAGTCATTTTCAGAATAAGAGATTTTAAGTTTCAATCTTCTTTGTTCAGGGCTCGTATTCTTTGGCCTACAATGCAATCTATTTGCCTCTCACGCCAGAAATGAATGAAACTGCCAGCAACTGATTCTTAAAGATACTACACAGAATTTTCTTTCAAAACTAAAATTCCAATTTTTCTCCCATCTTCAGTTTAGCGGTGAAAATAAATTCAAGAATTAAGGATGGTGGACCTTCTGTCTCAATGTAGAAATGGGAAAATTTGACGTGAATCCTAACTAGGAATGAAGGTAGCAAAACAAGTTAAACAAAAGTTAGTAATAAAAATGTTTATTATTATTTCACAATTGAGGAATTGTGTATTAAATATTTACTGGTTTCCCATAAAAATTTACAATATTTACTACAACAGCTGTACAATTGATTTATAAACAAAATAGTCATCAACTAATGACTAATTTGCAATTTGGGAACACAAACCATTGCATAATCTAAATTTACAGATCAATAAAAAGAAAGAAAGAAAGAAAAACGATCTGTTACTTTACCTTTTACTTGTCAATTTACGAACTTATGTAGTTAGGTACGTACCCAGTGCTTAAAAGTAATGCACAACAATTGTAATTTGAAGTGGCCATTTCATTCTGAGTTTGAGCTTCAGCAGTACAAACTTAAACTTTATCATAAATTGCATCGTGCATTGGAGGAAATGAGACAAGACACATTGAGACATTTTACTCCAGGATCACAAATCATAAATAAAAAGAAAGAGTCCAAAAATTCAGACAACAAAATGCTCAAGCTGAGAATGATGCAGCTACAAGAAAGCACAGAGAAACAATTGAGAGGCATCAATAAAATTATACAAAGAAAACGTTACAACTATGCCAACCAGCTTGCAGATTTGAAATATTTAACTAGGAAAGGAAACAGAAAGAGGGTGTACAGACATTTGATGACCTTTCGATGGCTTTCATAGAATTTGCTGAAATAAATACTAACAACAATCAACCAAGTATCTCGATTGCGACATTCAAAAGTTTCTACTCTCATATAATTTTTTCTTCAAGAATAAAGCATTTAATATTACTGTCTTTAATTTTTGAAAAATATTCATGATGGGACCAAGAGGAGCCACAGAAAATCACAGTTAGTGACGATGATTAAGTTTTCTCTTCATAAAATAGCTGGATTCATCATACATGCATTTCATGTGGCCTAACTTTCTCTCATATTTTTTCAATTAAGAACTGAACTACTTAAAATTTTTAAATTTTACGTAAATTTACCCTAGATTATGAAAAATATACTGACAAAATTTCACCATTGCTTATTTTCATACGTTAAGAAAGAACATCAGAGAAAATTAGGCAATATCTGATGTAGTTACGCAGATTCCAGTTAAACTGGTCCCTTTGAAGTAAATATTTATAAGGTTAAAAATCAAGAAATAAGATTAATTTCTTTTAGCAAGAAGAAAACAATTTATTTTGCTTAGTTTTCAGGCATTTATATTTTTGTTGTTGATAAAGGTAGTTTTCACATAGAACTTCCTTATTAACGAACACTTTTAAAATTAAACTGATATAACGTCTGTAAAAAAAAAAAAGTGTACTGACGCTGGAATAACACACTGGACCCAACAAGGTAAAATCTGGGATTAGGTAATACATAATTATACGTTTTGGAAATAGAATGAAAAGCCGATGATCCCTCTTATTGTTGTTGAATTTCAGACATTTCAGTTATCTTTTTCAAATGAGCCTCGACAAAACCGAAAGAGAATTCCAAAAAATTCAATATTTGAAATTCCTGTAAAAAATCTTAGACCTGCCTCCTCAACAATTTTTTGTTTACAGATGCCTCATCCGCAATGCACGGAATGATCATTTTTAATATGATGTTAACCCTTTCTTAACTCATACGTGTGCATCTATGAGATCATATACTTGTCACTCCATTCTGGAACAGTCGAGTATAGACGAGTTCACCAGCACAGTTCCTTGATAGGCGATTTTTTTGATTGTTATCGTCTGATTGCCCAATAGACAGCACCATGAATATTGTTCTAAAGGTCATTTGACAGTTTTCAGTTGCCCTCCTGGTTGATTGTATTGCTAGGCGCAACAGGAAAAAAAAATGCTCGTACACAATCACCTCCAATCAATTTGTCATCATTATTTAAAAAAATTCATTCCCACGTGATCATTTTCATAATACATAAAAGCAAGCAAGAAAATTGCCAATTACTCTCATTTGGATACTTCAACCATAATTAGCCTAACTGTATTTCAGGTGGCCTAATTTACTCTAGATCATCAAGAATAAACTTTCATAATTTCAATTTAGAAAATTACTTGATTAACTGTTGAAAGAATAAAACAAGGGAGGAAATTAGGCAACGTCTGATAGAGTAAGGCTGATTCTGGCTCATTCCATCCAATATTCAACAAAGAAACAGGTACAGATGACTTCTCAGCACTTCGAAAAGTGTTCTTCACCAATCAATGGCTTAGAATTTGAGGACTACTACATTTTAATCAAAACAACATGAATTCAGCAGATGACTCAACTCATCTTGAGAGGAAGAGAAAGAAATGGACTACATTTTGCAATTCAGAACTGGCCTGGTTTAGAAATAATGTAAGTATAGATCATTAGTTTCCCTGGGTAGGTACTTTAGTGTTTTTATGGATGAGCCAGAAATTGTAGTTCTGAATTGGAAATTGAAGTCCAAATATCCCTCAATTGCAGCTAAATAAACCACAAGACAGGGTTTGAATTCCAGCAATATGTTACATTTTAAACATTAAATACTATTTATCAAATGTTTCTAGGGAGCGATTTGATCCATGCCCATGCAGTGGTATTATTGTAAATCAACCCTTAAACTAAATACTAATGTTTCTGGGTAGACTTCATTTCAGAATCTTCAAAGGTTCAATTCACAAGAAAACTCAAAATCTACTTAGGTTAAAAAAACTGTGAAGAAGTACTTGCGTATTCAATTTAAGAAACCTTTCCTGTTGGATGAAAAATTAGAATACAAATATATTGAGAGAAAATTGACACATTCCAACCAGAAATCTCAAGGACTGTGAAACATGCCAAAATTTACTTAATGTTTGATTTAGCTCAAGTGGATTTTGGTTCTTTCAAGAGTGAGATACATGTTTTAATTTACTGACATGAAAATGGATACCTTGCTTGGGCGTTAGATCCGAAAAATTTTGTCGCTTGTATTGTTCCCTATGCAAATTTTGGAGAGGATTATTAGAATATGATGCTAAAATTCAGACTCTGCTTAGCTGTCTTTTACTCATAATGTTGACATTCAAAACTCGATTCGAAGAAAAAAAGAAGAAATGCAGAGTGAAAATTTACATTGGGCGAAAATAAAGTATTCACGAGCTTAGGTACATCATCTGCGGTAAATTCAATCCTAGTGGTTATCACAAGAAAGAGCAATCAGCTCTTGACGATGACAAATCAGAGAATTAAAAGAGTGGGTGTCAATACATACGTAACTTGCCTTCTAAAAGAAGCGGCTCTTGGAAACTTTCGTCATAGGTATGCTCATATTCTAGTTCTCATAATGTAACGATAGATACAGCTTACAGGACAAAAGTTAACAACAGCTCCCATTAAAAACGAGAGAAAAAATTATTCACAAAAAAAAAAAAAAATAACACTGGAAAAGAGGACGTAAAAATAGGCTTTCTGTAACGATCCACATCACTTTCAAGCCCCAATAAAATTATTGAAATGTTCACAATTTGTCTCTTGAATCAGCTCACCGAATTCAGTGAGGACAGGAGAAGAGAACACAGACTAGAGAGAAACCAATGACAACTGTCCTCCAACAGTGCAGTTGGAAATGGTTTCTCAGATTCGCTCTTTTTTTTTTTTTTTTTTTTTTTTTTTTTTTTTTTTTTTTTTTAACGAACCATTCCGAACAAGATCAAAAGCCAATTTTTAGACCTGCCTTGTCGGGAGGTATATCAAAGGAATGGGAAAATTAGTATTTTCTAAAATGAAAACCAAATCTGCACTGCCAGAGTCCAATTGCAAGGAACATTCAATAAAACAGGTGGTAAAATCAAGTAAAAATAATTAAAAGCAAATTAAAAGCTGAGATTGGATTGGCTGTTGTACTGCAGAATAAAATCTGGTCGGACTTTGTTCCCAGATCAGTAGATGACTTCATAGACAGTCGCTTTCTTGTCACCTGAACCCGTGACTATGTACTTGTCATCGGCAGATATATCACAACTAAGCACAGAAGACGATTCTTTCGACTGAAACACAAAAGAAAAAAGGTTGTAATGAGAGATGACGTTGACAGTAGAAGCAATAATACAAAAATTCTATGGTATATGATGTACATTTTTACAATATTTGAAAGGAACAACAAGGTGTATCACACAAACATCTGATCTTTCATGAAGTTTGCATGCAGACGTCTCAAGAATTGCCTGATCAACTCATAAAAGAGAAAGCAACGTTTTGTAAATTTCAGGAGCCAGACTTCTGATTTGCTTAGAAAACTGAAGACCACTGAAATCAAATGGGGCAGGAAAGGTTTTCTTTCCTTACTCACCGAGGATCCTTCATTTTCAGGGTTTTTAATGAGAAGGTAAAAAGTGGGCACAAAATAAAAATCAAAAAATATTTCTCCAGTTCGAATTTTGTAATGAGATAAAAAGTACGCGATGACTAAGAATTAGCAAACAGATTTACAGTTATACATGAATTGGTTCAATAGGTCGTTCAAATTTGGAGGCAGAAAATGGAGAGGCATTGATGATTGAATCAGTGAAGGTAAGAAAGATTCGACTTACCTGGAATATTGAAGCACCGTATGGCGTTCGCCATGCATTGAGGAGGTTGTCTTTGCCTGTGGAGACAAACCATTTCCCACAGGCCGCAAAGCGCAAAGATAGAACACAAGATTCGTGCAGGTGCAGTTGATACTTGTCTGCCTTGTGGGCGTGCAAGACTTCAACATTGCTATTCTCCATACCAACCGCTAACCATTCGCCCGTTGGACAATATCCTAATGAGAATATCTGCCAACAAATACCACTTGTATTACAAACGGTGATTTGATATCACAACATGAGTTTCATGATACGACTAAGGGGGCATTAAAAATTGACTTGAAACTCACTTGCATAAGGTATATTTCGTTTTGGAACTCAAATAATCTTTCAAGCAAGTTACTTTTTAACCATTTGCAGCCTTTTTTAAACCTGCCCTCATTGACAGTCTATATTTTATGTAATGTATCATGATTTTTTCATTTCCGGTATTTAATTGGGTCTAAAACTGGCCAAGTTATAGGTCTGCAGGTCGATTTTGGCGAAAAATGCGAATTTGTTGGCATTCGACTACAAACCTGCAAAATCCACATTTTCAGCCAAAATCAGCCTTCAGACCCACATTTAGGCCAATATTAGACCAGAAAAGAGACCGAAAATGACCAAATCATGATGTAATCTGTAAAATATAAACTCCGATGAGAGGAAAATGGTAGAGTTAAGGAACTTCAGGGTAGGCCCAAAAACGGCTCTTATCGATATCCCTCCTCAGTTTTCTTCAATTTTCAAGAGGCATCTCCCACAGTCTTCAATAGATGAAAATTTGGAAGACGAAAAACACAGAATTTGACTGGAGCTTGTCAAAACCTCTGCCATTATTTAATTAATGCAAAAAGAAAAATAGATGAACATTAATTAATTCGAAATTTTTGCAGAGTATTCAAATCATCAAAAATTCCAAGAAATGAGATTATTCTTGAATCAGTCAAAAGTGCCACGAAATCTGCAACATTGAAAATTAAAATAAGTGTTTTTGACTTTCACTGTCACTCACTCTTTTCTGACTCTTTCATTTGTACATCGAAACACAGTATGCCAAAATCGTTCTTATTTCACGTCGAACTGCGAAACCTCACAAGAGCACTGAGTCTACTTGAGGATGATAAATTAAAAATTCATTGACATACCTGAGACGAAAAGTCATGCTGCTCCAACTGCCGACCCTCACGCAGATCCCAGGATCGAACAGTATTGTCGAGACCGCCCGTCCACAGTTTTGTGCCGTCGGCAGAAATATCAATGCAAGAAGCGCCGTCAGTGTGACCTTGAAACTGTCGCACCAACGTTTCATTGTGGAGATCCCAAACGGCGATGTTGCCGTCTGAACAACAACTAAAGCAAACCTGGACACAAGAAGTAAAGCAAATTTATAAGGCTATTAGCACTATCAGGCTCGAATTTGACAAAAATTCAGGCTTGTGTGAAAAAAGCATTATTTAGAAAATTTACAATATTAAATTAAATTAATAGAATTTGTAATAAAGAGAAATTGAACGATTCTTTGGATTTCATATTAAAATTTTTTTGTGTTGAAAATAAACAGTTTCCAAAGCTCCAAATAAATACAGCTCTTCTCCTTCAGTTTTATAGTAAAACGTATTACAGTTCATTTTTGAATCTCTGATTATAATTTCTGGAATTTTTTCAGCTTTGATTTTTCTTCTAAATAATGTGGGCATAGCAATGCTCCACCACCTTGGTACTTGACAGTATTTAGACCATATCAAAGTGGGTTTTTTTTTTGTTTTTTTTTTTTTTTTAATCAAAATAGAAAAACACATGACTTTCACGGTGTCCTTCATACTTTACTACTTCTACGTATTTTCCTTCTACCTGTCCTGCATCTCCTGAATTTTAACAAGTATTTTCTCACAATCCTTATTCTGAATGAATTAGAAATGCAGTTCATTTGCAGGACACAAGAAGATTGTAATCTGTTCAATCTGCCATTAGACAAGGTATGATTTAAAGGACTTTTTTGTATGTTTCCTCTTCAAAATTTTACATTGAAAGCAATTCACGCAACGGAAAGTTTGAACGTTAACTCCTCAGCAAGATATTGACATGTACTTGACACGGTTCAAAATGAACATAAACACAACATCATGTTTCTGCGATGGAACTAATATTAATCATGAATATTTTTGGTGATTATTAATCAATATTTTTATAAATAATGCTTTTCATACTTCCTGCTGAGTGAATTATTTTCAACATCAAATGTGACTGATTCAAGCGGAATCGGTCTAACTACATTTGACATTGCCTAATTTTCTCTGGTGTTTTATTTTTTCAAGAGAAAACTAGACTACTTAACGCTTTTAAACTTTCTGTGAATTTATCAGAATAGAAATGAAGTGAAATATAAAGAATATACTCACAAAATTTCAAGTTTCAACGTTGCTCAATTTATTGGTTAAAAATGACACATCAGAAAAAATTAGGCAACGTTTGATGTGCTTAGGTATATTTTGATTGGATCCGTCCAATCATGAAAAGAAATGAAAACTAAGTGCTATAAATTATATGTATCTTAAAATGGTTGTCTGATGGTTTGTTATCGATTATTCAGTGTCAAAAAATGACCACAATGAAACTCTTTTGACAGATATTAGTCTTTCAAAGACAACTTCCTTTTACTTCAGCTGTCACAGGCCCTTGAAGTGACAGACAGGCGTTTTTTGTTCCATGAAAATGTAAGCTAAACACAATATTCAAAATGGTTACCTTGGAGTCTGGACTAATGGCTAAGGCATAACAGGCTGGAGCACTAGAGGTGAGTTCTGCTTTGATCCTAGGTGTCGGAGACGCAAGATCCCATATACTTAAATTACTAGCTTCACCACCGACAATTAATGTCCGCCCATCAGGTAGCAGCTTGACAGATCTTATATAGTTGTCCCGTTGCTGCAAAATAAAAACATTGTGACGCTTGTTAATACGATAATTTGAGAAATTTGAAAGCACTGATAAAACAATTCATTATAATTTTCTTTGTCATTGCCAAACTTTTCATTTTATCTTCATAATGTATCAGACAGCTTTAATGCTGCGGTTACTTTACTAGAGCAACTAAGCTCTCAGTTCAAAGCGTTAAAAAAACTACTGATATCCGAAAATAACACTTACCAAACAGTCTAACTGAGATACAGGGGTCTTCGAGCCAGGCTGGCTGATATCCCACACTTTGACACAGCCTTTGCCTCCCGTGTAAACATATTTGGTGGGATTACTAATGGTCACAGCACAGACTACCTCACCGTGCGATAATGTATTAATCTGCCTTGCATGGCGAGGGATTCCCGGCCCAATCAATGCGTCGGGTGGAAATGGAACAGGTTGCATTTGTCCTTCAGCGCTCACAAAAAAAGAATAGGCTCTGAAAGCACAAACATTGACAAATGATATTGAAAAAAATGAAATGCGATAAAAGTACAAAAGATCAAAGGTATAAGTAATGTTACCAATAAATACAGCCTATCTAGGCATGTTAAAATGATAAACGTCAAGGTCAGGTAGGCCCAATTTGCTAGTTCACAATTGTAGATTGAGATTCTGGTCTAAACATTAAAAGCTTAATCAGCTTTTCTAACTTTATTTAGGTACTGGTTCTGCAATTTAAATTAGGCTGCACTTTCACACATTTAAGTGATTACCAAGAGAGGCTTCGCAATGTCAGATCCCCCCCTTACAATCTGAAGTAGTTTCAGGACGGACCCTTCAACAAGAATCGCTCAAAGCAACATAAAAACTATTAGTGCTGCATGAGAATGAGTAAAATCTTGTAAAAGAGAGTAAAAAACGAATCACAAAACTTACGGCTTTCCTCCTGGAATCCCACTGAGTGCTGGTCCAAGGGGAGCTCTCATCGTTGAATGAGGGTCATAACCAACTAAGGGAGGTCTGGGATAGTTGTTGAGAGTTGGTGCTAAATTATTGTGCAAAGCTCCATATGCACTGGCAGCTTGTAACTCATGAGGTGCAGCACCTGCTAAATAGTGCGGATATTGCGCTGAAAATAAAAAAAAAACAGTTGCAGGATATGAAAATACACAACTTGATTAAAGTTAACTTAGAAAGTACGTGCAATATTTACTGATCAATAGAAAATATCAAAACCGGGAAATTCAAGGCATCCATCTTCACACTGTCAAAAATTGAAACACCCTTCCGATGTTATGCGTAATCAGAATCCTCTAACAGGATGAAAAAACGTCCAGTGCATCTCAGTTGGACGATTTCGATCACATATAACTGCTGAAAAAAACATCCTAATTTGTATTTTTTCAGTGAACTTTTCTTGACGTCAATCTGATTTAAATTTTAAAAAATACTTTCCAAACTTTCAGAGCTAAATTTTAAAACCCTCTGCTGCCTAACCAAATTATTTTAAACACATTCAGCCACAACATCTAACACCCACACATACCATCTTTCTATGTGTCTGCAGTTGTGCATTGGGAGTTTTAAAACAGGACTGAGCTAAAAACTGGGTGAATTTGATTTAAAAATTGGCAATTGGAATTGGCTAAATTGGACGGATTTTATTAGTTGCCCAATTTCCTTTTAAGTTTATTCTTCCGGCAGAAAAGTACTCATTTTGATTCGAAATTTTGTGAGAATATTCTTTACAAGCAAAAAGAAATGTACAAACAGTTTTGAGGCATTATCTTGCTTGGTTTTTGGTTGAAAAAATAAAATTTTAGTGGAAAGGCATAGTAAAATGCAGCTCAGTTGATCCCAGTTGTCTAATTCTATGCAAGGGATTCCTCTCATAAAGGAAAGTCCAAGAGACTGATTCTTTTGTAGATAATTGACTCTGATCTTTTACTTATGATTTGATTTCAGAGATTGTTGACAAGTATATCCTGCATGGTATATGAACTTTTGATGAGACATTTTTTGTGGTACATTAATTCCAACCCTGTCTGAAATTTCACTGCATTTGTTTCGATAAATCTTACTTTTCCATCTTGGACTATTGAAAGATGATCTGAATAATGCTTACATAGAGCAGGGGGTTTGACAAGAGGTTTCAGAGCTGAGGAGGGTCCTCCGACGATGCTACTTGCACTTCCGCCGCTGGTTGGGGTTACAGATTTGGAAATTGGGGTTGTTGGTTTTTCCTCCATTTTCTTTGCCGATGGTGTGCTTGCATTTGAGCTGGTTCCACTTCTTGGACTGAAATAGAAACAATTAAGATACATTGTTAGTTTTTGAAAGGAAAATTTTTTCATTCGAATTTGAGAAATTTTTGCGGTTGGTAATGTTCTTTTCTCCGACAACTCTTATGGGATGTTAGTACTTGACAATCCATCAAAATTTATACAATAGTTTTCGGTACTTTAACTAGAAAATAACTGCTTGGAGCATGGCCTGTTAATTTTCGTGACTTGCTAATAATAATCAGAGCAAAAATGCATACCTATGAGGTCCTATGTGTTCTTTCTTAGGTACTATTTTGTCTATGCCATTTTCTCTAGGAGAGGCAGTGCCATTAGGAGGAGAGATAGGATCCTGAAACAAGAAAAAAGAAATACAAATTAGAATATGGTAAAAGTAAATGGAAGAGGGGGGGGGGCAGATTCTGGAATGGCTCGATCAGCAATTTTTACTCTCTCATTTGCCATGTTTTCCTCTCTTTATTACCTGAAATTGTCAATGTACTCACGATGCAATTTCGACACCACTAATATTTGTTTACCTTCTCTTTACATCGCTTGACATTTCCCTGATATTTACACAGCTAAATACTAGGGGGTGGGTCGAATGCAGCTTAGTATAGTAAGTGCCAGAAATGAGAGGCCTCAGAGATTTTGATCTAAAAAATTGAACTTAGATACTACAAAATATTTTGCTTTATTTTACTTCGATAATTATATATTATGACTTAGTATTATCTATGAAAATTCACTTAAAATTACAGAATATTTCTAGATTTTAGGAGCACTTGGGAGGCATTAAGTACTCATGACTAGGTATCTTATAATTTATAAGGACACCTGCTGTCACTTTGGAAACATGTATTTTCAAGGTTGTTCCTGGATCTTCGAAAAGCCCCGTCCCCTTCCCAAGCTAGACTTGAAAATAAACGCACCTCACTAGCATCATCAACCACTAAGTCTTGATCACTTTTCTCTCCATCACTGGCCTGTAACAAAAATGTAAATCAATGTAATTACATTATAAACATAAATCCAAAATAAGATGCACAAACGAACGTTAAAAATTTCAAAAGATTACAAAGATGTTAAATTCGAAGTAAGTTCACACAAATATTGTCATAAATACACATCTTTCCATTTTGTTGTCAAAATTGACTGAAATAATATTTTTTGCTTTGTAATTTTTTTTATTCATACACAATTATTATTAAATATTGACAATCATCCATCGCAGGGGTGACACTGCCGTGTTCAAGAAAAACGCTGCATGGACCATTGAACCTTTAGGCGTTTCCAAATTTCCTTTGATAAAGTATTGATTTATTGGAAAAGTTGTAAATATTATTCTTCCAATTTTATAGAAACTTTTGTTCGCAATTAAATCTGAAGTACTAGAAAATTCCGCAGAAAAATATTCATAACTTTTCTAAAAACACATGTTTCATCCGGAGAAATTGGGCAACTCTCAAATGCTTGTACGGCGTTCTTTCTTTTTAGCACTGCAGATTACCTCCGCGAATAGGAAGATGTATTTTTCTGAGTGTTAGGCCATTTGAACTTGAAAAATGTATGAGCCAGTATATCCTAGAGAATTTCAACAAATAATAATGATAAAACCAATAAAAGCATCTATAAAACGTAATTTTAGAATCTTCACGATTAATTGTTTCCAAGTAGATGGATATTTTCCGAGTGAAACCCAGCTAAAGGTGATTAAGAAAAAAAAAAAGCTCGAAAAGGCAAAAAAAGGAAGGAACTTACATGGCAGTCTTTTTCTTCTTTTTTAACTTTTTTATGCTCTACTTCAGGAGAACTCCGGGGTCTATATTTTTCCCGTTCAACAGGTGATATCGAATTCCTCTGTAAAAATAAAAAGGCATAAAATCAGTACATGACAATCTGAAACCATGAACAATAATTTCAGAGGTAACGTTGCATGAGCATGGTGTCAAAAAAACCCGAAACTGATCATGGATTCATCGTGCCCTGGCAATGAGAAGTCAAAATAAGCCGGAGCATGATGTCAACGATCATAATGTCAACAAAAAGAAAAATATCTTCCTCACATGGATACAACTTTTAAAGAATCCATGTCCCTCGTTGATGTTGGTTTCAGGAAAATACAGAAAAAATAATATTGGTAAACAGATTAGGCGCGAGACAAATTTCAATTTTGCAGGTTCTCATTGCCTGGACCTTTGACTAAGATCTTCCAAGTTGATATCATTACTTGGCTGGCTACGAGAAGATGTCCTCATTTCCCAAAAGTCTTGCTGATTACAAATTTCTGCAATATCCTTCCAGGGAATACTTGAGACACTCCGGGACTAATAAATAAATTTAAAAAACAAATAAATAAATAAAAATAAAATATATAAGCCCTTCTTACAGCCCGAGGCCACCTAGAGGAAAACGTCCCTACCTCATAGGAAAACTGCTCTAACTCCTTTTATGCAACCCTTAACCCTTTCGTCTGCAGTTTGAAGGGATCCATACGCGGCGTATAATACGCCCCCCGGACCACCCTGAACTACTCACCCACGCGGGAGGAAGGGGGTGATAAGAGCATCGGTGGCGATGATAGCGGAAGAACGGGCAGGCGAAGGCAAAGTTTTAATTGAAAAAGAACAATTAAATTAGACGAGGGAGGTCGGGGGGAGGCAGACAGGTACCAGATACAGGGATCAACGGCTGGGTGGAGGGGGGAGGGTTATAAAATGGTAAAGACGTGAGAGGGTGTGGAATGTTGAATGTAGCCTTGGGAGCCAAACTGCTTTGCTTGCGGTGAGATAGGCGGGAGCGGCGGGGGAGGAGTCATTCAAAACGTGAAGAAGTGTACATGAATAATTAGGTAATTGGTGAGAGAGGCGGCGCGAAAAGGGGTGGGATATGAGGGAGGAGGGGAAGCACCGGATGAAGGAGGGGAGAGCGCCAAAGAGAGTGAAGATAACAACCCGCGCGTCATGTTGCCGGCTTTAGCCATCTAATGGAGGAATTTTGAATCCTTATCAGAAGGGTGCATAAGCGTCCTAAAGTCAAAATTTCAAAAGGACACACAACAAGTGCAGTTGTGAAAAATATTTCCAATAAAAGTCATTTACTTCCTCGACAAAAAAAAGAGAGAGAAGGCATTAAGCACTCAGGGATGAAATTTATTATCAGGGGCGTCATTTTGGAAGACAGAGCACCTCCCTCTTGCTGGGAAATTCTACCGGCTGCCAGGAAATTTTACAGCGTGAAATGTCTTCATCTCGCATTTTACAGCTGAACTTACACTGGGGCAGTCTGGGTCATTGTGGGACCATTTCAGGGCATTTTCCGAAATTTTGAGAGGTTCGATGCCCCCTCTCCTCTAAATTTGGCTGAGATGACGCCCCCAGACGCTGCTTTGAGGACTTTTCGGTTGGGAAAAAGGCAAAGCTCCTAGGGAGAAAAAAATGTACGGGAAGCTCGAAGCGCAGCAAATCAAGATGAGCATGTATTTTTCCACGAATTCTAGCATGCAGAAGATCGTTAGGTAGAACGCTGGCTTGCCTCGAAAATCTCCTTGGATGAAAGATCAACCGAAAAAAGGGATGAAAAAAGGAGATATGAGAAGGAGATAGAGGAGGAGATTTGAAAGAGCGTACTTTAGACATTAACTCCCAAGTATGACAGGCATATTTCGTGTGAGAACTTCGTAAGAATGGCAAGTTTCCTTGAATTTTAATATTTCGTAACTATGTATGCTTTTTTAATGAAAATTTCCCTGACACTTCCATGATTTTTCCAAAATAATGAGCAGGGTAATGTTCCGTAAGATGGAATGGGCCTGTTGCAAACTTTTGCTAGAGCAAAACTAAGAGTTGTTTCCTACAGATAATGCCTCAAAAATTACGATGAGCGCATTGGCAAAGTCTGAAATGCACTCATAACTTCACAATCTGCGTAAGAAATTTGCGGTTTTTTGAGCTTCCCGCTTCGAAAACGATACTACGGTACAGGTGAACATTTTGTTAGAGGAGTCGTTCCATTGGCGGCAATACTCATCATGGCCGACGCCAGTCCGCCAAAACACGTGTGATGGGACGAGATAACACCTGAACAGGAGTAAACCAGATAACAATCGGCGTGTTTACGTTCATATTTTCCTCGCCCGCCTTAATTGACCTTGAGTTCTCCTCGAATTACGCGAGGAACTGCGCAAGCGTCGGCCATGATGAATATCGCCGACGATGGAGCGACTCCTCTAACAAAATGTTCACCTGTGCCGTAGTATCGTTTTTGAAGCGGGAAGCTTAAAAAAACGCAAATTTCTTACGCAGATTGTAAAGTTATGAGTGCATTTCAGACTTTGCCGATGCGCTCATCGTGATTTTTGAGGCATTATCTACAAGAAACAACTCTTATTTTTGCTCTAGCAAAAGTTTGCAACAGGCCCATTAACGAGTACAAAATTCGCGCTCTGCCAAGTAATAGTGCGCTAGGGCAATTGAAGCCGAAAGACGTGGATATTCAAAGCTCGATGGAAAAATTTCCTTGACTTTTCAAGGTTGGGTAGAATTAATTGGCTTTCCCAAGTTTTCCTCGACTTTTCAAAAACTTGGCACCCTACGATAAATATCCAGGTACAGTATGAGAAATAAAATTAAAGCAGTTTCCGTAACTCTCCATAATTTTCCTGCGACCGGTTATTTTAGATAAGTTAGTTTTTAGTGATGCGACATAGCCAGAAATCCTCTGAATGGAGAAAGGGGGATGGGGGTCCATGCGTTAAAACCTCCCGAAAATTATGAATATGCAGGTTTTTGGAGAAAATTTTCCGGTTAAAGGGGGAAAACACATCCCTTGAGCTCCCCCCCTTCCCTCCTCTTGGAAACCCCGTGACATTTTTAACGTCTCAACGTCTCAGACACCCGTGCATCTAAGAAAAAGGCTTTCACCACCTGATACTAAGAATTCAAAAATAAAAAAAATGAAAAAAAAGAAAGAAAGAAAAAAAAAAAAAACTCAGACAAGGGAGGTACTTCACACCTAGCTTAACAACGTTGATTAGCGGTAAAATTTCAAGATCCTCAAAAGAGATCATCTTTAAAATCCGGGACGGCAACAGTGTTGCTAAGCCACGGCGATGGCGCAGGACGCAAGGGAGCCCGAACCGACCCCCCGTGGAAAGCGGGGGACAGGAGAGGAAAAATAAATAAAAAAATATGAAGCGGGGGTAAGTAAAAGAAACATTAGTTGAAATAAAGAGGCAGCATTTGTTTTTGCGAAGGAAACCATCGTTTCGACAAAAAGAGAGAAGAGGATTACAGAGCTCGGAGGCGAGACGGCGAGAACCCGGGGAAGGGGGGGGGCGAGGTGGTGGGGAAGGGGGGTCCCACGGAAAAAAAGACTGTCATTACGATTTGCAAATGGCGGGGGAGG